TGGGTTTAGGGTTTAGGGTTTAGGGTTTAGGGTTTGGTACTTCGGGTGGTGAGTAAGGGTGGTTGTGCTAAGCTCAGGGCTTGTTGGGGGATGAGGGTCTGGTTAGCATGCCTGATACTGTTGATGATATAAATCCTGCATTACCTTAGAACCCTAAACTCTGGGAATTATGGTATGTTTCTTATGGGTATTGCAGGATTTATATCATCAACCGTGGCTCCCTGAGCTGAGTCTATAGGAGGGGGGAGATCGAGCGAGGGCGAAAGAAGCAGGGTCTGAACGAAACAAGGAACGAGAGCGAGAGAGCCCCGATTCCTAAACCATCCCACACCCTAAGGGGTGAGAGAGAGAGAGAGAGAGAGGGAGCGAGAGTGCGAGAGAGAGAGAGAGAGTTTACCCCAGAGTAAGAACATGTTAATTCTTCTTTTGACGAACTGGCTGTCTTCAAGCTGCACGGACCCAAACTCATACCGGCATATAATACCGCATGCTTAAGGCTCAAAGCCATGCAGGCCCAAAACCAAAGTCGCCAGACCTGAGCCGCAACGTCGATCGACCTAAACCCTAAGCCCTAAACCCAAATGGGAGTTTCCGAAAATAGGGGACCCTAATACAATACTTTTAATGTTAGGATCCATATTATAAGGACCCCAATATAAAGTACCCCTAGTTTTCGGAAACCCCCAAATCGCGAGTCTTCAGCCGATCCGTTCAGGTTGGACTCACCACGGCAATGGAGTTCCTGGTGGGTCTGGACGATCAGAGACCTTGCTGCATAGCCCATGACACTACCCCGAGCACCGAAACAGCGAAGCGAAACCTTGAACGAGTCCCATGTTTCTTGACAGGCTTGTTCATCATGTCATCTAGGTCCTTAGGTTGTAGCTCGTAAGGTCGCATGTGGGCTTAAGGCACCCCCTGGCCAGTAAGCCTTACGTCCTGAACATAAGGCAAAACTTCTTCGAGAGCCTTCATGCTGCGAGGGTAGACGGAGTCCTGCAAAACTTCTGTGAGAATATATTTACTTGTTTAACATTTTGCAGTTTTTTGGATAGGTAAAACCCACGAAGGGGAGAGAAAAGTGAATGTTTAATGCTATCCCCACCATAGACCTGACTGGAGAGCCTCTTTGTGGCCTTACAGTATAATTTAGTGTAGGGGCCTTCATATTAAGAATGGGGTTTAGGGTTTAGGGTTAATATAATAGGGGCCTTAATGTTAAGAACGGGGTTTTGGAGGTTGGTTCCTTTTCATAATTATGGTGCAATACGGTTGATGATATAAATCCTGCATGACCCATAAAAAGGAATATACCATAATTCCCATAGTTTAGGGTCCTTAAGGTAATGCAGGATTTATATCATCAACAGTATGACTATCAAGGCCCCTTAATGGTTTCATTGGTTACGTAGTACTTATGTAACTGGGGTCCTCAGCCTCAGAGAACCAGCACTAAAGGAACTTCGGCAACTCCAAGAACTTAGTAGCTGAGTAGATAACCCTTAACCTTTTTTGGGGCTTATATAAGCCCGCCACAGTTGAAAAGGTTAAAAACTGACTTCTGTGGTCCTTGTTCATTTTCTCGGGATACCCCGGTCATGTAGTTAAGGGCTTGGGACTTTGGTCGAAGTAGTAGTCAAGGTCAATCAATAGGACAACTCACGATTAAACCCTAAACCCTTAAACCCTAAACCCTAAAAAGTTCAACCCTCCGTCGAGCAGACGGGAAGTCCAACCACCCTTCAGAACCATGCAATACTTTCACATCATAACCACGTGACCAAAAGAAGCAGTCATGTCCAAATCTGACAGCTACGTGTAGGCTCATACCCTACACCTTCTTTAGAGTACCTTCTTCTCCTATACAACAGATCCTAACCATAAAACTAGATGATACCTTAAAAGAAGGCGTAGGGTATGAGCCTCTAGCTACCCCCCTAAACCATAAACCCTAAGGCCCTAAACCCTGAAGCCCTAAAGCTCTAGACCCTAAAGCCTAAACCCTATAGATCTATAGCAGAGAAAGAAGCCATTGCACTTAAGAAACCCTATAGTTCCCTTTAAAGCAACCCAAATAGATCCTTTGAAAGGGAACCCTATCCTTGGAGCCGATCCCCCGAACACACGAGGGAGTTTCTGAAAATGAGGGGTACCTTATTTGGGGGGTCCTTATGTTAAGGGTCCTACTATTTAGGGTACTACGGTTGATGATGTAAATCCTGCATTACCTTAAGGACCTTAAACTGTGGAAATCATGGTATATTCCTTACTATGGGTAATGCAGGATTTATATCATCACCCTAAACCCTAAACCCTGTAGACCCCCTTAAAGGTACCCTTCTAGATCCCTTTAAAGGCTCCCTTAGGATTTTGTTCAGATTTATAGCATCAGGGTCCCCAATTTTCGGAAGCTCCCACGAGGCCGGTCGCCGGGCTCATCGGCACCGCGACCTCCGTGGTGTCGGTGCCTCTCGCCATCCTCTCCGCCGGCCAGAAGGCCCTCTGGGGTGTAGAGGTTTAGGGTTTTAGGGTTTAGCGGGTTTTAGGGTTTAGGGTTTTTTTTGAGGTTTAGGGGTTTTAGAGTTTAGGGGTTTAGAGGTTTAGGGTTTTAGGGTTTAAGGGTTTAGAGGTATAGGGGTTTAGAGTTTAGGGGTTGTGGGGTTAAGGGTTTACAGTTTAGGGGTTTAGAGTTTAGGGGTTTAGAGTTAAGGGGTTTAGGGGTTGAGCACTTAGGTTTAGAGTTTAGGGGTTGGGGTTTAGGGACCATTGGACCATGCAAACATGAAGGCCTACACCCTCGCTGAACTCCGCGTAGCCTACCTTTGGAAGGTTCGTGTTGATTTGTCATGACTTTCTTTTTCATGGCCTTCAAAAGACGGGTGGGCTTTTAGGGTTGAGGCAAGCCCTAATTGCAGAACTATAGGCCTTCTGATTGGGATAGGGTTGCCGAGTAGATGGTCGCATATCCATAGTTTGGGTTTAGGGTTTAGTCCGAGTTGCGAGAGCGTAAACCCGACAGACATACATATGCACATACATACATAATGTGATTCACATGCAGGTATATGAACGAATAAAGACATCAATAGATATGTAGTAGCAGAGAGGTTTTAACGGGATACCCGTACTAATTGTTTAGGCGAGCCTCCAGAAAGAGTATTGAGGTTGCTTTGAGGCCGAGGGCATAAAGCAGTACATGATATCTCACTTGCATGTCTGTGCGGACTCAACAAAAACGACGACTGGCTTCGGCACGAAATGATTCGCAGCCCATGATGTGCATTGGGGTATGTTGGTATAGAAAAGTTTCACAAAAAATAGACATCAGTATCGATCCATAAGTAATACTTGGAGGTTCATGGGACTTAGTAACTAGGGTTATAAATAAGGTAAGCATACTTGTAAGTACTTATAACCCTACTTGAGGTACTTATAACCTTACTTACTAAGTCCCATGGTCCTCCAAGTAGCAAGGTTATCATAAGTGTTTCCTAAGTTTGCGGGCGACGAGAAGTCGCGAGCATCCTTTCGGCCGTAAAGCCTGCAGCTCAGGTCTTCAGGGTTTGTGGGTGGGGGCTGGTGTTTAGGGTTTAGGGTTTGGGCTTCAGTGATTCAGGGCTTTAAGAGTTCAGAGCCTGAAGCGACGGCACAAGTCCAGATACAAAAGTTTAACTGCAAGCCTTTGTTGGCTGTTGAGCCTAAAGTGTATATCGCAAGGTACTTAGAGGTTCATGGGACTTAGTAACTCGGGTTATAATTAAGGTAACTACACTTTCATGTACTTATAATCCCAATTAGGGTACTTATAACTTTACTTACAAAGTCCCATGAACTTCCAAGTAGGAGTCAGAATACTTGGTAAGTTGGTAACCGCGTTATCCCTTTATCGTCCTGGTAGTCGTGACATATTAGACTAGAATACTAGTTAAGTACAAAGTTTTCTTGTCATATATAGTCAAACGCCTCAACACCCTTCCTCAAATTTTCAGGCTCTAGCCTCGGTGCCAAACCTAAGCTGCGCGGGTTCCTGAGCATGACACCATGCCGAACATCCCATCTCTAGAAGCACACCATATTCCAGAATCTTCCCCTAGAGACCTTCTCTACAATCCCTTGCAGTAGTTCTAGAAGCTCAAACCCCTCGTTTAGATGTTGGTTTTTGCCGACGGTCAACATGTCGATGACAGTGGAAATCGGGCTGCTCAGTGGCAAGACCGCCACTGTGAAAGCAAGTCCGGATGAAGAGGTGGGTAGTTGTGAAAGTAAGGTCCCTTTTTGGGTACCCTAAATAATAGGTGCCGTATTCTAGTAGGGAACCAAGAAGGAACCGTGAATTGGGAGTTTCCGCAAATTAGGGGTACCTTATTTTGGGGCCTTCATAATAGGGATCCTACTATTTAGGGTATTATATCGGGGTCCCCTATTTTCGGAAACTCCCATTTTGACAACCACCCAATTACCCTAAATAGTAGGATCCTTATTATGAAGGCCCCCAAAAATGGGGTCCCCTATTTTCAGAAACTCCCATTTTGACAAGCAGGTAGGGACCTTGACACGTCGAGGAGAGGCTGCGCTTGGAGTCGGAAGCGGGCGGCTCGTGGACTCCTCTGGAAGCCTGGGTGTGGAGGGTCGGGGGACTTAGTAACTGGTTACTTTAAGGGGTTCCTTAAAGGGGTCCTTTAAAGGGATCTATAGGGATTCTACAAGGGTTTAGGGTTTAGGGGGACTTAGTAACTGGTTATTTTAGGGACTTAGAAGTACCATAACCCCAATTAGGGTCCCTTTTAGGGTACTTATAAGTCTACTTACTACCTACTCACTAAGTCCCCCGACCCTCCAAGTGGGTTTGGAATACCATACCTGAGCATTTTTTTATGGGTATCTGTTCCTTAAAGGAACCATTATCTATACTTTTTTCTCCCCGGTTACTTCAAAGCCCAGGAAGTGTTGTGGATGCTTCTTCCACGATCCAGGAAGCCGGGATTCAGAATGGTAGCTCAATGACCTTGTATCTTAGGGCTATTTAGAACTGAATTTTAATCTTTGGTTATTATACCCCCTAAGAAACAGCGAAAAACACGTAATTTTTGCTACGGGTCTAATTTCAGTATAGGTACGTATGCCGAGTTCAGATCCAAAGCTCGCTGGCAGCTTTTGCTGCCGTCCTCGGCGACGGATCTATCGCCAACTGGGGGGTTGCTGACGTTGGTGGTGACAGTAGGGCTGTCCGGGAGAAGCTGAAGAATGCGCTGGGCATCCGGGCCACTCGTTATGCTTTTGCTGCTCTCCTTGGAGATGGATCTGTCGTAAGCTGGGGCGGTGCTGGCCATGGTGGTGACAGTACTGCTGTGCAGGATCAGCTCAAAAATGTGCAGCAGATCCAGGCCTCTGCACAGGCTTTTGCCGCGATTATCGGCAATGGATCCGTCGTTTCCTGGGGTGATGGTCGCTGTGGCGGTGACAGTCGTGCCGTTCAGCATCAACTAAACAATGTGCAGCAGATCCAAGCCTCCGGCAGCGCTTTTGCTGCTATTCTGCGGGACGGATCTGTCGTGTCATGGGGTGGTGCTGACTACGGTGGTGACAGTAGTGCCGTGCAGGCTCAGCTGAAGAACGTGCAGCAGATCCAAGCCACTAGCCATGCTTTTGCTGCCATTCTCGCCGACGGATCAGTGGTGACCTGGGGTGCTGATCAGTTTGGGGGTGACAGTAGTGCTGTGCAGGATCAGCTCAAGAATGTGCAGCAGGTCCAAGCCAACGACCACGCCTTTGCTGCCATTCTCGGCAATGGTTCCGTCGTTACATGGGGTGATGCTCACCATGGTGGCGACAGTAGCGCTGTGCAGGAGCAGCTCCGGAACGTACAGCAGATCCAAGCCTCTTACAGCGCCTTTGCTGCCCTTCTCGGAGACGGATCTGTCCTAACTTGGGGTGCTTCTGAACATGGTGGCCGCAGCGGCGCTGTTCATCATCAGCTGAAGAATGTGCAGCAGATCCAGGCCTGTCATCGTGCTTTTGCTGCCATTCTTGGTGATGGGTCCGTCGCGACCTGGGGCGATGCTGACTCTGGTGGTGACAGTAGTGCCGTGCAGCACCAGCTGAAGAAGGTTCAGCAGATCCAAGCATCTGTGTGTGCTTTTGCTGCCGTTCTTGCTGATGGATCTGTCGTGACCTGGGGTGATGCTGAGCGTGGTGGTGACAGTAGTGCTGTGCAGGGTCAGCTGAATAATGTTCAGCAGATCCAGGCTTCTTTCGCCTCCTTTGCTGCCATTCGTGGCAACGGATCTGTCGTGACCTGGGGTCATGCTGACTGTGGTGGTGATAGTAGTGCTGTGCAGGATCAGCTGAGGAGCAGTGCCAGCTGGAGCTGATCCCTGTAGCTGCTTAGCTAGCAGATGTCCGCTCGAATAATTAAGACTATACGGTTTCCATGGCGGTGTAAAGCGTGTTCGGTTCTGTGCAACCGGAACGTCCACGCACACGCTTGTTCCTTGAGGGTGTGGGAAAAATAGAATGCTCACCCCAAAGCCGTAGAAAGACCCACACCCCACAACGAAACGCTACGGCTGTGGGTCCAACTGCCTCACCCACAGCCTCCATTAGTTTTAGGGATCCTATTATACTTTAGGCTATATCCCTTAATTTCCTTATACATCCCCGTATAGATCCCTTTAAGGAAGCCCTTGAAGAAGTTTTATATATAATCCTTAATTAAAGCATAGTGGAGTCTCCGGGAAACCCTGAACCCACAGACCCTAAGGCGCTAAAAGCGCCACAACCTTAAAGCTCCAAGACGCCTGTAATGGGAGTTTCTGATAATTAGGGGTGCCCTTACAGGGGTACTATAAGGGTTCCTCAAAAGACTCTAACAATGGTTTAGGGTTTCCGAAAATTAGGGGTACCTTATTTTGGGGTCCTTGTTTTGAGGATCCTACTTTTTTGCAGACTGTATTAGGGTCCCCCATTTTCGGAACTCCCTTCTGGGCACAGCAAGAGCGCAGGAGGCCAGAGCCAGGAGTATAATGGCTTTGTACAGGTTTTGCAAGACTATGGCTGTAGAAGGGCTTTTAGGGTCTGTACAAGGATTTGGTAAGGGCCATGAGTTCATAATGGCTTCTGGAAAGTTCTTTAGTATAGGGACTTTATCAGTGCCTGATAGGCCCTAAACCCTAAACCCCTATAAGGCTTCTTCAACTTGCCGGGGTGATGATATCAAGGTCTCTCCTATTCAGGGCCTCTGCCACTCCACCCTAAACCGTAAGCTTTCTGGGAGTTGACAGTTCAACCCAAACCTTAAAGTTTAGGGGGGTTAGAGTACCGTGGTGCCGACAGACCCTGAACCCTTGTTTTTTGCCTTTGGCGGTTACCAAACCAAACTAAACAGACTCCCGGCAAGTAAAACTCTTCAACAAAAGGTTTTGTTTCTCTGCATCCCCCGACCTGGCAGAAGTTCTGGATGTCTATTGTGGATCCCTAAACCATGCTAAGCCCGAATCTAAAATGAGCGGCCCCTAAATCTCCAAAGTCTATCACCCTGAAACCCGACAGTACGTAACTCAAAGCATGAACCTTGAACCCGAACCCATATAAGGGATTCTAGCATGGTTTACGGTACCCCTGACCCAAGGGACACCGGATCCTCTGGGAGCAAGTCTTGTCAGGTACCGCAGGTCTCTTTCGGTGCGACGACTCCGGCATTGTCCAATAAGGCTCCCACAGGGTCGGTCCGGAGCTATCGGGGTTTAGAGTGTTTAGAGGTTTAGAGTGCTATAATAAGCGTTCAGGGTTTAACATTCTATAGGGGTTTAGGGTTGGAAGGGTGCTACAAGCGTTTAGGGTTTAAGGTTCTATAAGCTTTGGGGTTAAGGGGTTTAGGCTTTAGGGTGCTACAAGCGTTCAGGGTTGAAGGTTCTATACGGGTTTGAATTTTGGCGGTGTAGGGCTTAGGGTGCTATTAGTGTTTAGTGTTTAGGGTGCAAGGTTCTATCAGGGTTTAGGATTAAGGGGCTTGGGGTTTAGGTGTTGACGGTGCTTGGATCATGAAAATTGGTAAGGATATGACTACCTTAACCAAGGTTTTAGGTGGCTAGAAGTATGGTCACCTTGTTTGTAACCCTAGCCCTAGTTACGAAGTGTCGTAATCCCTTAAGTATTGGATTTCGGGATTGGGGTTAGGGTTTAGAGTTTAAGAGTTATGGTTCACGAGGTTCATACCGAGGTCCGACAACTCGGTAGCCCTATCCCCTGAGGTCCCACTATGGTATACCTTGGGATCCGAAAACCTACCGTTTTAAGGGGTCAGACCCTCTGATTAAGAGGTCATAACCTACCATTTTGTAGGGTTTGGGGATACAGGTAGGGTTTAGAGCTCACGGATATAGGGTGTAGGGTTCACCAATAAATGCAAGGCATGCAAGGCATGCATGCATGGCGTGACATAAAGAGCATGATCCAGCCTATGCAATGAACGGAAACGTGGTTATTGCAAGTAATGCAAGATCATGATCGTGATCAAGCCATGATCATGCAAGGCATCCATGTAATGCAAGTCATGATCGTGGTCGATCTATCGATAATCATGCAATACAGACATGGATGTGATCATCGAGCTATACTTGACTTAATGCAAGGAAAACATGCCCATGGCAAGTAATGCAAGCCATGGACGCGATCAATCGAGACATAATCATGCAAAGAACACATTTCATGCAAATCATGAAAGGCATGGTCGTGATGAGAAAACTTCCAAAACCACAGATACATAATCAAAAAGGCGTCCCGGGTCCCAAAATCAATAAATGCACCATCACCCCCCAAAATACACGAGGACGTTAAAATCACACCACAGGGTTCTCCAGTAATCATCGCCCATCGAAAATCGAGCACGAAGGACATGCGTGTGAAGGTTTGGACACATGAGGTATGATGACCAAGAGTGGACCAGCGAGAACGTGACCCGCAAAGCGAAGACATTGCTCCAACCCCGGACAGGTGCATTTCTGCTTTACGGAGCCCTTTTTGGAATCCGGGTGCAGTCCCACATCGCGCATGCCGAGGTAGCCACTGCAAGTTGCCACGGGTCCATATTGGATGACCTTGAGCGTAGCGTTCGCTACTTGCTCCACGAAGGGAAGACACTTTCCTTGGTCCGTGTGACCGTCATCAAATCCAAAGCCCGACGCGGTGGGTGCCGAGCGATCCAAGGACGCGCGCGCGCGAGGCAGCAAAGCGCCGCCAGTGGCGTGCCATTCGGGCTATGGTGGTTGCTGGCGGGCCACCTGCTTTGGCACTGGTGGATCGATTGGTTCGCCCGCCTGCCGAGATTAAAGCAACGTGGTCTTCGCTGTCCCCTGCATGGACGTGGGATCAAGATGAACTGCATGCTGGAATTTGCTCTTCTCGGGCGCTGCATGGAGAGAAAGCATGACTACGATATATATTCTCGTCTGGAGTTACTTCCGAACTACTGTTTGCTGGCAACAGCCCGTACCTGCGGGTGCTGTCGAATTCATATGACACGCCAAGCAGAATGGCCGGTATGTCTCAAGCTATGCAGGTTTGAGAACATGATGAGGCACAACCCTTCAACTGCCGCCCGCTGGACAAACGGTCTCTCAGTGCATGTGCTGGCAACGAATTTCTACTGCATGGGGAAGCAGAGTGGCAGTCTGTCCCAGGTTACACTGGTTGCCAGCGGATTTGAAAATATTTGGCGTGTAGCTGCACGGGTATTCGACCTTTTGCGTGATGGTGTAAGTATGAAATTCTGCATGTGACTGATCTGGCAAGCCGAATTTACAGAACGGGATGATGAGGAGACCGAAGACATGACGCACAAACAGTCACTGAACATTGTTCGACGACTTGCACGACGGAATTTGCTCTTTCCTGGAGCTGCATGGAGAAAAGCATGACTAAGACCCTAACTGCGGGGCGACACATGTTCTTTTCTGGAGCTGCTTCCGAATTGCCGTTTGCTGGCAACTGTGGATACTTGCATGTACTGCGGACGAATTCTGGTGCATGACAATCAGGGGGAGCAGCATGTCCCAGGTTATGTTGGTTCTGGGATGTGATGTGAAGGGGAGTGCTCTGCATGCTGGTGCATGTGAAAATATTATGCACGTGACTGGTCCGCTGAGCCGCTGCTTGGTATTGGAGTCCTCTGCATGACAATGGCAGTGCATGCGTGCATGGTGCCCCCTTGGTATTTTGCTGAGTGAGGGTAGTGAAACCTTGGGAGCGCGGGTAGCGAAGCCTTGGGAGAAGAAACTCGAGATGCGATTCAGTTTCACACGTCTTCTGGGTGGCTGAACTAGGTCGTGGGGTGATATTTGGTTTAGCGGTTGCCACTGTGGAGGACTGCTGTCAGTTGGAACCTGAGTTATGGTTGTGTACCTGCTGTTGGCTTGTTTCTGGTTTCGTCTGACAGCTGCCTGGCGAGTTACATGGGCTTGCTGGGTTGTTAACGAGATCGTCGAACCTACTTCTGCAGACCTTGCCAGGCTTTGTCCGAGTGTGAGTGTCAAAAAACCGCCGTTCAATGATGGAGGTCCCCATACTCGGGGCTTGGCGCCTTTGAGGGCTTGGGGTGGGCGGTTTGAGGCCGAGTGGTTCAGTCAAATTTTCCTTGAAGCGTCCCGCCCGAGCTTCCCTCGAAATTTCCCTTGAAGCTTCCCCCTGAGCTTCCCTCGAAATTTCCCTTGAATCTTCCCCGCGAGCTTCCCTCGAAATTTCCCTTGAAGCGTCCCCCCTGAGCTTCCGTCGAAATTTCCCTTGAAGCTTCCCCCCTGAGCTTCCCTCGAAATTTTCCTTGACCCTTCCCCGCGAGCTTCCCTCGAAATTTCCCTTGAAGCGTCCCGCCCGAGCTTCCCTCGAAATTTCCCTTGAACCTTCCCCGCGAGCTTCCCTTGAAGCGTCCCTCCCGAGCTTCCCTCGAAATTTCCCTTGAAGCTTCCCCCCTGAGCTTCCCTCGAAATTTCCCTTGAAGCTTCTCCCCTGAGCTTCCCTTGAAATTTTCCCTGAACCTTCCCCGCGAGCTTCCCTCGGAATTTCGATTGAAGCGTCCCGCCCGAGCTTCCTTCGAAATTTCCCTTGAAGCTTCCCCCCTGAGCTTCCCTCGAAATTTTCCTTGATCCTTTCCCGCGAGCTTCCCTCGAAATTTCCCTTGAAGCGTCCCGCCCGAGCTTCCTTCGAAATTTCCCTTGAAGCTTCCCCTCTGAGCTTCCCTCGAAATTTCTCGTGAACCTTCCCCGCGAGCTTCCCTCGAAATTTCCCTTGAAGCGTCCCGCCCGAGCTTCCTTCGAAATTTCCTTTGAAGCTTCCCCCCGGAGCTTCCCTCGAAATTTTCTTTGATCCTTCCCCGCGAGCTTCCCTCGAAATTTCCCTTGAAGCGTCCCGCCCGAGCTTCCGTCGAAATTTCCCTTGAAGCTTCCCCCCTGAGCTTCCTTCGAAATTTCCCTTGAACCTTCCCTGCGAGCTTCCCGCGAAATTTCCCTTGAAGCGTCCCCCTGAGCTTCCCTCGAAATTTCCCTTGAAGCTTCCCCCCTGAGCTTCCCTCGAAATTTTCCTTGATCCTTCCCCGCGAGCTTCCCGCGAAATTTCCCTTGAAGCGTCCCCCCTGAGCTTCCCTCGAAATTTCCCGTGAAGCTTCCCCCCTGAGCTTCCCTCGAAATTTCCCTTGAGCTTCCCGCGAAATTTCCCCTGAAGCTTCCCGCCCCTGAGCTTCCCTCGAAATTTCCCTTGAAGCTTCCCCCCTGAGCTTCCCTCCAAATTTCCCTTGAACCTTCCCCGCGAGCTTCCCTCGAAATTTCCCTTGAAGCGTTCCGCCCGAGCTTTCCTCGAAATTTCCGTTGAAGCTTCCCCCCCTGAACCTTCCCTCGAAATTTCCCTTGAACCTTCCCCGCGAGCTTCCCTCGAAATTTCCCTTGAAGCTTCCCGCCCGAGCTTCCCTCGAAATTTCCCTTGAAGCTTCCCCCCTGAGCTTCCCTTGAAATTTCTCCTGAACCTTCCCTGCGAGCTTCCCTCGGAATTTCGATTGAAGCGTCCCCCTCGAAATTTCCCTTGAAGCTTCCCCCCTGAGCTTCCCTCGAAATTTCCCTTGATCCTTCCCCGCGAGCTTCCCTCGAAATTTCCTTTGAAGCGTCCCGAGCTTTCCTCGAAATTTCCCTTGAAGCTTCCCCCCTGAGCTTCCCTCGAAATTTCCCTTGAACCTTCCCCGCGAGCTTCCCTCGAAATTTCCCTTGAAGCGTCCCGCCCGATCTTCCTTCGAAATTTCCCTTGAAGCTTCCCCCCTGAGCTTCCCTCGAAATTTTCCTTGATCCTTCCCCGCGAGCTTCCCGCGAAATTTCCCTTGAAGCTTCGCCCCTGAGCTTCCCTCGAAATTTCCCTTGAAGCTTCCCCCTTGAGCTTCCCTCGAAATTTCCCTTGAACCTTCCCCGCGAGCTTCCCTCGAAATTTCCCTTGAAGCGTCCCGCCCGAGCTTCATTCGAAATTTCCCTTAAGAAGGACCGGCATGACGACAATGGCGTGTTCTCAAGTCCTCGAGTTTGGAGGAGAGGAAATCCCAAAGTAGGCCCCCTACTTACACCCTGAAACCTAAACAAACCTGAACCTTAAACCCCCACACCCTAGACACGAAACCTAACCCCTGCACCCTTGAGAACCCTGTTCCCTTAGATGGGCCTTATATTCATTATGACAGGAAAGCTATCCCTTCTTCCTCCGCACGATTCCGCCGGACAGCATCCAGTCGATCGCTTTGTTGACCTGGCTGGATGCCTTTCAGGCCATAGGGAGCAGGGTTCAAGCTTTAGGGATCCTTTAGAAGATCTATAAAGGATTCCTGTAAAGGGATCTGCAAGGTTTTCGGGTTTAGGGATGCACGCACATAGCGAAACCGCTGTGTATTGCGTCGCGGCTGACAGGTAACTGAGAGAGAGAGAGAGAGAGAGAGAGAGAGAGAGAGATGGTTTTAGGGTTTAGGGCTAAGGGTTCAGGGTTTAGTTTTCCAGAAGGGTTTAGCGTTTGGATTGTAGGGTTTAGGGTTTACGGATTTAGGGCTTCAGGTTTAAAGTAGGTTTCCTGTCAGGGTTGCTTTTGGGGTTCTTTGAAGGCTTCCTTTCAGGGTGTGTTTAGGGCGTGTACAGAGGCTCGATAACGATTCTACAAGGACTCTTGCAAGACCAAAGAAGGGCTCTATACAAGTTTAGGGTTTACCGTTCCTTTAAGGGTGCCTGGGTTCTATAAGCGTAGGAGGGCTTAGGGAGAATAGGGTAGGGTTCTACTTGGGCCCTTTCGGGTGCCTGAGCCCTAAACTGCTTCGGGCTTGGGAGCTATGGGTCGTTCGTTTCAGAGGTCCCCTCAATGAGAATAGACGGGTCGACGTACCTTGTTTTAAGGGATTCGTGTTACAGGGGCTGGGTGACAGGGCTCCCTTCCCATCTTCCTGACAAAGAGAACTCTCATGAGGAATCACAAGGAAGTGGCATTGAGGCATATTTTCAATATCACGCTAGGGCCACTTGATAAGGAATCGCCAGTGGAGGTATATCGAAATCCGACCCCAAACCCTTGTGATCCGATATGGGTGGTTGTCACAATCATGGTCCCTTTTTGGGTCCCTATTATAATACGGCACCTATTCTTTGGGGTACCCAAAAGGGACCCTAATTTTGACAGCCACCCATATGCTTAAGGGACCAGAAACAGAGATGGCCTCCCAAAAACCGTGCAGCCCCGCAGCTTAGGGTTTAGGGTTTAGGGGTTTAGGGTTTAGGGTTTCTTGGGTTGGGTGGAGGGTTTGGGGTCTTACGGTAGGCTGCTGCATCTTCTGGCTAACTTGCTTGGAGACCAGATGCAACAAAATAGTTCAGGGGTTTGGGGTTCCTAGACTCTAAACCCACCCTGAGCCATTTCGGGTTTGGTGGCGCATAAAAGCCACAATCGGCGAGGTCCACTTCGCTTTGTGCATCTACTCTGACGAGGCTCCCTCTGTATTTGGCTTAACACCCCAGCTTATCGGTTCATGGGGCTTAGTAATTAGGGTTATACGTTATAATTAAGCTAACTTTACTCATATCTGAATATAGCCCCGTTCTTTCTGCTTCTAACTGTTACTTACTAAGTCCCTTGAACCTCCCAGTCAAGTTTTGAGGGTTGTGGCTATCATGGTTACAAGAAGGGTTGCCCCAAGGGGTTACTACAAGGGCTGCTGGTTACTAAAGGCTTTCCAGAGACTCCACTTATCCTATTTAAGAGGGTTCAGGGTTTAGGGTTCAATAAGGTTTGCACCTGAAGTTTCAGTTACAGGCTGGTTTACGCTTGCAGATTTGTGCTTATGTAAGTGGTTTTGGAGTCTCTAGCTCACTGATGATTAAACACTTCAGGTTAAAGAGTTTAGTTAGGGCCTCAGCACTGAATGAGGGTCTTGGCTTCTGGCCCTAATAGCGGCGCCTTAATCATTCGAATCAGGTTTTGCGATACCTTACAGCAGGTCTATCTTAAGGCATCCAGCTCTGTATTACGCCCTGTTAGCCCGATGATGCATGCGCTTTAGGGGATTCGGAGCCATAGCACACTACTGAAAGTTTCGTTGCGGAAAAGTTCATGAATGCAGACCGCAATCCCCAAGCCGTTTGTCCTCCAGCCTAAACCCAAACCTCTCTAAACCCTGCGGTATGAGCCGTTGCAGCACGGGGAGAGCGCGAGACAGAGAGAGAGAGAGAGACAGAGAGCCATGCATCGCAGGGCCAATGGAGCCATGGATGGATGATCGGCCATGGCATTTTGAGTTGGAAAACCGGCGGACGCTACGAGGCCTGAGAGGATTCGACCCTGCGAGGGCCCGTTCGACTTCCGAAGCATCGGCCAGGTGCTCGTGGTCCACTTGCGAGGCATCGAGAAAGTCTCTCAATCCTGGGCGGGCGTCAAGCTTTAAGACAGCCCTTTCAAAGTCCCCAACCCGAACAATCCTCGCTTCCAGAGTCCGAATGTTTAGGGTTTAGGGGTTCAGGGTTTAGGGTTTAGGGGTTTAGGATAAGAGGGTGGATGCACCTTTGTAGCCCCTAAACCCCAAACCCTTAGCACTGAGGGCAATCTTCATTGATTAGGGGCGAGTGTCACGCGGATCGAGAGGCCTCGTCTGGCGCAGTCCGAGTTGCGAGAGTGTAAACCCTAAACCCCGACCCCTAACCCCGAAACCTACACATAAGATAGGTCCTTTGCGGTTACTTCAGGGCCACAGTGTCTACCGTGTGGGTACACGGACCCTTTGATATATAATTTCGTGCGCATGGAATCCTCCACCGCTACCCCTGCTTAGAGATCACTGGGTTGTGCTTTGGGATAATTTTTTAATTTCCCTTATTTCCTTATAAAGGGAACCTTTTCATAGATAATTTTCAAAGGGTTTTAAGCACAACCCAGATCAATCCCCGAGGCATTATAGAAATGATGAAGCCCAGGCCGAACATTGGGGGCCCCAAAAGCACATACGCATAAGCATTTTGTAGGGATATTCCTACCATATTGGGCTTCATTATAGGGGGGCTTCTATGGGATATCCCTATCCTAATTTTTGCTTATGTGCTTTTTTGGGGCCCTTGAACATACTTTTGTGTAAGACCTGTGCTAAGAAACTGAAGGCTCAGAGTAAGTAGCCTTTACAAGCTAGGGTTTAGGGTTTAGGGTTTCTAGGGCTCACGTTTTTAATCTGGAGGTTTTGTAATTGTGCCCGCAGCCGAAGAAGCTAAGACTCTGAGGAGCTCATATTCTCCGTTTGGAAGTTTCTAGTTGGGCCCGGCTTCCGCAAAGTCTACATACGCTGAGAATCTGATGGATCAGATTTTTAACGTGTAGAGATTTGGGCTCGGTTGATGCAGAAGAGAGTACAGGGTTCAGGGTTTGCGGTTTAAGGTGCAAGTATGCGTGTGATAATATGCTCGAGCGCCTTGTTCACATTGTGAAGACCTCTCTAATAATAGCTTCATGCAAACAGGGACCGATGCAGACCCCAGAAGCCCCCCAAGCCCCTAAACCTACGGCTCACATTCTGTCTCTCTCATTCTCTTTTTCGTGCAATAATGCGGAGCATGAGGTGGGGTAGAACACTTACACTACTACACAGCTGTCTTTCAGACAGCTCAGACAGCACGCGAGTTGCTGAGAGATGGAGTGGAGGCCACGCTTCGTACAGCCCTCATGTTATAAGTACCCGAAAAGGGGTCCTAATTGGGGTGATGGTACTTATATCTCTATGAAAGAACTACTCAGTAATTTACACCTCTGGAACTCGGAGTTTCGCTGTTTGCGACCATGGAGATAGCAGCGGCCGGGGTTTCATGCTCGGTTACACATGCTGTCAGCATCACCCAGCTCAAGAGCTAGATGAAGTAGAGACATATGAACATGAAGCCGAGCTGAGCGTTTTAAACCCTTAACCCCTAAACCCCAAGCCCTACAACCCTAAACCCTAGACCCTAAACCGTTCCGGGATCCAGCTCACCGACAAGAATGAGCATCTCAAAGATGCCTAAGTGGAAAGCTCGATGAGTCGCTTGTGGGAACTTGAAACACGTCACACCCTGCTATAGGGGCCTTAATAATTACCTATACTTTTTTTTTGGGGGGGGGTCCTTGTTATAATTACATTATAATGGGCCCCAAGACCCTATTCTAATTATTAAGGCCACCCTGATCATTTTGCGAAAATGCCATCAACCCTGACCGAAGGCCTACGGCCGGGGCATCTACCTGGCAATGCAAGAGCAGGCAGAGCAAGCAATACAGAGTTCTATAGAGGGTAGTGTAAGGCATGCTTTAGGGGGGGGTCCTTTAAGGGTTCCACAAAGGTTTGGGGTTAAGGGACGTAGAGCTCAAGCTGAAACATTACTAGGTGTTGCACGGCTTGTCTAGCTTCGCAGGAAGACTGTTCCAGGGCGTAAGCTCTACCCTAATCCACTAGAGCCAACATTGCGCCAATGCAAAGTCCAATTGCGAGTTTAGTGATTCGGCGTCCACAGAGAAACGAGATGATGTCACTTCTCATCCGGGAACGAGAGTGTTGACATAAGAGAAACTACAAAGTTTGAGATTCATACAAGCCCTACGGAATGCCGAAAGAAGGATGACGTCGGTATACCTGGGTGTGTGTGGTATGATAACCCTAAACCCGAAACCCTGTATCTGACCACAGAGAGGCTGAAGATATTCTGAACGGTTTTGTTTTTTTCAGGGCCACCTTCCCCTGCTGGAATGATATCATCGGACGTACTTAGTGTGGGTAGAAGCAAGTGAGCTACAGATGGTTTCGAACCGTTAGAACCCCAGAACCCTTAAACCGTAAACTCTAGCCAGTAGCCTGAACCTTAAGCCCATGTGCTAACCCTTAAACCCTAGACCTTGAGCCAAAAAGGAAGAGAGATGTCCTTATTTTTGAGAGATGTCCTTAGTTTGAGGCCATACCTCGTTTTGAGTAGAACCAAAACCCTAGGGAAAAAAAGCCTTAAACCCCAAAACTTTTTTCAGATTCCCCCTTATAAACTGAACCCATGCGGCATAAACGCAGCAAAAAGAATCCTTATAGACACCGCAAACTAGGTTGCCCAGCGTGGTATACTTTTCCATTTTCTGATCTTAGGTTTTCATTATATTATAACGGGCATCAAGAAATTTGTACATGTGCACGCATGTGTACATGTCCCCGTAGAAAACTGAGCAGCCTAACAAGGCAAGCCTTCTCGGTGTAGGGTTTAGGATTTAGGTGCGAACCGTGATTGGGTCCTCTATTAACAGGATACCAAAGAACCGCATTTGCCCTTGCTTCTCACCCTTGGCTCGAGATGATCCAGCTATATTTTCTTAAAGTTTAGGGTTGCTATACATAAAGGTGGCTATCAGTGGTTCCATAGAGTTGGTCTAGCGGTCATAGGGGGAACTATAAATCCGGCCGAAAACCTCTTTCATAGGGGATTTGTTTGTATGTGTGTGTATATATATATATACATACATATCTATATATATATATATATATATATATATATATCTATGTATAGAGACATACATACATAAAACTTGACCAACACCCAATCGCCCAATAGCTCCTTAATTTGGAGTGTACATGAAGTCATAATGTTACGTCACCGAAACCTGAAAACTTCAGCGATAATCAAAGGATATAGAGCTCTTCCAAGGGCTCTGGATTGGTACCAGATCTGCGTTTAGGGTGTGGGGGCTTGTCCGGCCCCTACGAACAGCAAAAGCAGCACTGCCCAACCCCCAAATAACCACCTAACCCTTTCTTTGAGGCGCCATTAAAAATCACCTGATATCTAACAGCCCTCAAAAATATTTTTATGCGTCCGATAACGACCCTACAGAGCCGGTATAAAGCTCAGAAGCCATGTCCCGGTAGTAACTCCTTTACACTTTTTTTTTATCTCAAGGCAGCGGCTTTATAATTGGAAAAAAAAAGGGATACCCTTGCTATGAAGGGGCTACATCGGATCCTAGTCAACACGATTACAGTAAACCACAGGGTGCAATCGTAAATAATAAGGAGTCTCACACCCTAAACGTCTAGACTTTGTGAATGGGAGTTTCCGAAAATTCAGGGTGCGTTATTTGGGGGTCCGTATCATAAGGGTCCTACTATTTAGGGTGCTATATTAGGGTCCGCTATTTTCGGAAACTGCCGAATCGCACGAAGCTAGAGCTCCCGCAGACTTGAGGCCACCGCTGCCGGGGAACCGGATCGTCTGTCAGGCCGTCTGCAGCGGCCCTCTAGGGTTTAGGGTTTAGGGGTTTAGGGTTTAGGGTTGATGTTCAGGGTTTTACAGGTTCTTTTGGACTTTGCAGATGGAGGGAATTGGTGGTTAGAGAGTCTTATAGCAGAGGCCAGAAAGTTGGAACATAATTATCCTTATGCCCTTAAGGTAAAGTATAAAGGATCCTAGCATTAATCCTCCTAAAGCCATGTTCCAACTTTCTGGCTTCTACTGTAGGGGCTTCCTCGTAGGGGCTTGCAAATTGTGGCGTGCAGGCTTCGGGATGTCGGTTTCGGTGAGGGTTTCGAGGTTTCTGCGAACCACGGCTTAGCGTCGAAAAGTCGTAATCCTGAGGCAAGACTTCTTAATTCTTGGCTTCCGGGTTTCCGGGCTCAGGGAAAAGGGTTCAGGGTTGTGGTTTGAAGGGCTTCAGCCTTCTTCTTTCGGCTTAGGCTCCAGTTACCCAAACAGTAGGTTACCAACGAGCAGTTCGTAGAGTTGCTCATAAACCCGAAGTCCTAAACCTAAACCCCGATGAGAATCTGAATGGTACCCTAAACCATAACACGCCCCTAATCCCTGTACCCTATTCTAGGACTTTTTTCTGTACCTTTTTTCGACTCCTTAAAGGAACCTTTCACGACAGGTAGCCCCCACAGCTCAGACCCAAGACTTCTTCAAAAGAAACATCCGGCTCAAGAATTAGGGTTTAGGGTTTAGGGTTTAGGGCACCTCTGACGGAAATATCAGAAGCCTGCAGCCGTTAGCTTCTAGGATCTCTGGTTCAGGCTGCTGTAGTGTGTTGTTACAGGAGCTTGGGCTTACGGATCCCAGGTTTATCCCAAATCCCTGGACACCCTAAACCATAAACCTCTAAACCCCTAAACCCTAAACCCCGAAAAAACTCTTAACCCTAAACCCCTAAACCCCTAAACCCTAAACCCCGAAAAAACCCTGAACCCCTAAACCCCTAAACCCTAAACTAAGCCCTGACCCCCTCAAACTGTGAACCTAGAGGCTTTAGCCTTGAGTGATTGGAATGTAGATGTGATTTTGTGAGCCCAGAGATCCCAATATCCCTTATAAGGAATGTATCCGAAATTACAGTAAGACCCAGACCCCCAATATGATTCTAGGTAAATTCCTTAATTCCCTGATAGAACCTTTACAGATCCGTTTAATGAACCCTTTAAGGAACTTTTAGGGGTATATTCCTTAGTTATGGGACATTGGAGTCTCTGGGAAGTTACTTGGAGGGGCAGGGGACTTAGTAAGTAGGTTATTATAATAAGTAGAGTTATAAGTACCCTAAATGGAGTTACCCCAATTATAATCATACTTATAAACGACTTACTAAGTCCCTGCCCCCCTAGGGGTTTAGGGTTTAGGGTTCAGGGGTTTAGGGTTTTAGGGGTTTAGGGTTTAGGGGTTCAGGGTTAGGGGTTTAGGGGTTAGGGTTTAGGATTTTCAGGTAAAAGGAGAGTTCAGGAGCGTTTGGCTTGGAGATTAAGGGTTAGCTATCCGGAGTCGTAGGCCCTAAACCCGAAACCCACCAACACCCTCACATAGCCCTAAACCCTGGACCCTGGACCCTAAACCCCGGGAAAAAACCTAAACCCCAAAGTAAACCCTAAGCCCTGAACCTCCTACGCCAGGCCACCGGCTCCGGTACATGGCCCAGTCCTTCGATAAAGAGGAGGCCTCACATTTTCGAAAGCCCCTCTAGTCTTAGGTTCAGGGTCCAGGGTTTACGGTTGGGGACGCACCCAATCCAAGCCCATGCTGAAAAAGGACGTGGGGTTTGGGGTGTAGTGTTTCGGGTTTAGGGTTTAGGTTTGGGTTGAGTGTTTCAGCTTTGCGGGCTTAGGGCTTTCCTACGGGTTTACCTTGCACCACCAAAGCCTACTTTCTTAGAGGTTCTTAATGAATTTAAACTCCAATATAGTTTTTGTCGGAGCCCTCCATAAACGTAGACAGTAAAATCGGGTTAGGGCTCAGTGCGTCGTGAGCTTGGGAGTAGCCTTTACCTGGTATAGGGCCTTACGAGTGGGATTCTGCCTAGGGGCTTCCTCCTTCGAAGCAGAAGGGTTTAGGGTTTAGGGGTTTAAGGTTTTCAGTCGCTGAGGAGGACTTCAAGACTTCAATTGCAAGTTTTGTGTTAATAGTGTCTCCAGATGCCCGGCTCGAAGATGAAAAGGCAAGAAGCAAACCCCACGGCAATGTGCACCGCAGCCCCTGCTCAAAAACAGGGTTTAGGGTGCAAGACTGTAACCCCTTCAACACCTTGAAAGCTAAAGTGAACACATGTTTAAACCATAGATCTCTACATGCTTAACTCAGAGACTTCAATTTCCCCTAATTAAGGAATATATCTGAAAAGTCTCTACAAACCCCAGACCCTCAACCCCAAAGCCTTCTTGGAAGGGCAGGGGACTTAGTAAGTAGGTTATAAGTAGGGTTATAATTGGGGTAACTCCATTTAGGGTTCTTATAACTCTACTTTTAACCTACTTACTAAGTCCCCTGCCCTTCCAAGTAGGCCCTAAACCCTAAAAACCCACAGATCCCTTTAAGGAACCCTATAGATCCCTTTAAGGAGCCCTTTAAGGAACCCTTACTAAGTCCCCTGCCCTTCCAAGTTGAATTCTTCAAAGCTCGCAACTCGCGACCTTGGACCCGAAAGCCCCTAAGCTAAAGCGCAGGGACCGGGCTTGGTTCTGAGAGGGGTTCGGGGGTTCGGGTTTAGGGTTTAGGGTTTAGGGGGTTTAGGGTTTAGGGGGTTTAGGGTTTGGGGTTGAGGGTTTAGAGTTTAGGGTTTAGGGTTTAGGGGGTTTAGGGTTTAGGGGGTTTAGGGGGTTTAGGGTTTGGGGGTTTAGGGTTTGGGGTTTAGGGTTTAGGGTTTAGGGGTTTCGGGTGTAGTGTTTAAGGTTGCGACTTCTCTACTTAGAGGTTCATGGGACTGAGCAAGTCGGGTGTTTTAGTTCATTAACTGGGGTTTTAAGCAAGCATAAGTATCTGTATGGTTACCTTAGTCATGTTACCTTATTTGTGGCCCAGTTAGTAAGTCCCATGAACCTTTTACTGGGGTCTTCGGTTTTCCGGCCTTCAGTGTCTCCCGCGGACAAGAGGACGCACGTTGCCCAAGAAGCATGGCTGGGCCTCCGCGGGGTTTAGGGTTTAGGGTCAGCAGGTCTTTCAAGACAGTCTTTGATGGCTTCAGGAGTTTGAGAATTGGTCTCCTACCGGATTTTGAGGCAAGTACCTGTAACCGCTTTTCCAAGCAAGCCTCATTTGCAGCAGCGCACCGCAACAGCAATTCGTCAGATTATGACATTTAGCCCTATCCATGCCCTTATGCTCACCTGACAGCACGAGCTGAAGACAAACAGTTCGCCCTTCCATGAACAACTGGATAGTGCAACGTAAGTTGCTGCCGGTTATCACGAATTCGTTCTACTCTTGCAGCATAGACGGCTATACTATTGGAGCCTAAATAATTACCTGTTATACTATCCTGGTGTTCCTTATTTTAAGTTTAATATAACATACCCCGACACTCCATTCTAATCCCGAAACGCTATTCTAATTATGAAGCCCCCTATACTAGAAGGCTATAGCAAGTTATGCAGAGAAACCAAGCTCCATGGCATCAGGCACGCGGCGTGGTGCAACATGCCAAAGCTCCTTAGCGGCTGAGTGGATACACTTTACACTTTTTGGGAAAATATCACCCACTATAAAACGAAAAGTGTACACTTTTTGGGGCTTATCTAAACCCTAAACCCTAAACCCTAAACCCTGGGCGTATGAACTCAGCAACTGAGGCTCAAGGTTCTCGCTTCGTGCTGGTCGCGATGATGCCTGCTCGCATCAACTCTTGGGTTTTGTTATTTTTGAGGTTTTGGGTTTAGGCACTGTAGGGGATCCTAGGGTTCCCTTAAAGGGATCTATAAGGGACCTATAGGGTTTAGGGTTCTATAATGGCATAATAAGTGTTAAGAAGGCTTTAAGTTCTAAGAAAGGCTTTATGAGAGCTGTTCACTTGCACCAATGTGGGTGCTGGTCAGGCGCAGGGGCGCCTGTTCAGAGAAGCTTGGAATACGAGCTGAAAACGACCGAGGAAGCACGAATCAGCAACCTCAAGCCTAAAACTCGATGCCCCAAACCTCCCAGTCATACATCAAGTCTAACCTGCAAATCCTGAATTCTGACCAACGTGCGCTGCATTCTGATGCGCGACTTTTGAGGTTCTGAAGTCCGGAGCCTCACGTTCAGGCCCAGAGCAATGAAGTACCGTAGGGGCCTTAACAATTACCTATACTATTTTCGCGGTTCCTTATACGAGTTATATGATGGGCCCCAAAACACTATTCTAATTATCAAGGCCCCTATATTATGCTCTGAGCTCTACACCTAGCCCCAAACGTTGCTACTCAGCACGTTGGGTTTTGGATTGCTTCAGTATGTGTCCATGCGGCATTTCTGCCTGGGTCCTTGGGTGGGTCTATAATACCAAAGCCAGAATTTAGCAACACTATCCCATCATCGTATAACCATGTAACAGTATTCTCCTAAACCCTTTGAGAACTACTATCACCCCCTTGTAGCCTTAATCATGCCACAACATTGGGCTTAGGGCTTAAGGTTTAGCGATGAATGAGTTTTACGGTTAAGGGTTCAGGGTAATCCGGAAGTGATTAAAATCCGAAAAAAAGGCCTCTGGACCCCTAAACCTTTAAACCCTATACCCCAAACCCTAAACACAACGCTCATTGCCAGCAGTCCGAGGGTGAAGCATCTGGGGGGACTGCTTCTCGTTCTGGATGAGGAAGGCGCTTAGGGCTTCGGGCATAACCGCTTAGTTTAGGGTTTTTGGATTATGGTTTAATTAGGGTGCTTGCTTTTTTTTGGGGAGGGCGGGGGGTGCTTAGATTAGGGCCGTTTAGGCCCGTTTAGGCTTTGTGGGTTAGGGTGCTTGATTTTTTTGTTTGCGGATGTAGAGTTTAGGGTTTCGGGCTAGGCTCGGAAGGCGCTTTTGCTTTTTCTTTGATGGGGGCTTCGCGTTTTGGGTGGAAGGAGCGTTCTAAGAGGGAATGTAGGGGTTTTTTATGAGGGTGCTCTCCATGGACAAGGTTTTAAGACTTCGGGCTTGTTGCTTTTGCATGGTTTTGTTTTGGGTTTCGCCGACATACACTCGCAGCCAGTTATTCTTGGCTTCTGCCAACAGGGTCTGGGGTGCAGGATTATAACTATAATGATAATCTTGACATGGGGTTCTCTGAACTAGGATTCCTGATAGCCACTCTTCAAGGCTCTTTTAGTAGGGGGCTTAGGGCTCAAGGGAAGTAGGGTTGATACGGGAAGCACGGTTCATGAGGGGCTTTATAGGGGCCGCATAGTAGTATCAACAGCAGTAGCAGTAGCAGCCGCAGTCGCAGTGCAGTAGCAGCTACTGCAGCAGCAGTGGCAGTATCAGTAGTAGTAGTAGTAGTAGTAGTAGTAGTCGTAGTAGTAGAGTGTAGTAGTAGAGTGTAGTAGTAGTAGTAGCAGTAGTAGTAGTAGTAGTAGTCGTAGTAGTCGTAGTAGTAGTAGGAGTAGTAGGAGTAGTAGGAGTAGTAGTAGCAGTAGCAGTAGCAGTAGCAGTAGCAGTAGCAGTAGCAGTAGCAGTAGCAGTAGCAGTAGCAGTAGTAGTAGTAGTAGTAGTAGCAGCAGCAGCAGCAGCAGCAGCGGTCATTAGTATTCTGTGCTGGCTTTCCCATCTCTGCCAACTTACTTAGTATGAGTTGGCCTTGCACTGGTGTTAGGGGAGTGGTAGCTGATCCTCGCTGTTTTGATTTGTTGCTCACTTCCATTTAAGTTGGTACTTCCCACCTGCTAAGCAGCTGGAAGCCACTCAAAAACCACTCAAGCCAAGCCACGCCATTACATGCAATACCTACAAGTTTGGAACAGTAACAAGGGTAACAGTACCAGCAGGAACCTTAATCGCCTGGTTAACACACAACAAGGACACTGTGCACTCAGCCCTTGATTAAGCCGTCAGTTCGCCTGTCACGCGATCCTCTGTACCAAGCCCTTTAGAGCGCCCAGAAGCCCGCCACAGACATGTGTGATGTGTTTTTGCAGACAAGGAGCCCAAATTACATCATCCTGCACCTTGGTCAAATGATTTCTAACAAAGCACTTTGAGGTCTACAACCAAAAGCCGGAACCCTTCTGTGCGCTACAAACAAGGACAATGTCCGTTACTCTGGAAGTCGCGCTGCTCAGTGGAAGGACAGTTACCGTAGAAGCAGACCAGGCTGAACAGGTGGAACAATTGAAGCTTCGAGCGCAGATAGTGCTTGGAGTGGGAAAAGGGCGGCTGCTGGACTTATCTGGAAGCGTTTTGGATTCATGTTCAACAGTCGAGGCTGCCAAGCTTCGCAATGGCGATTCACTGACCTTACATATAGCCAGACTTCAAATTCAATCCACGAGTACCGCTTTTGCTGCCATTCTGGGCGATGCATCAGTCGTGACCTGGGGTCGTGCTGACCATGGGGTGGACGGTAGTACTATGCAGCATCGCTTGAAGAATGTGCAGCAGATCCAAGCCAGTGATCTTGCTTGTGCTGCTATTCTGGGTGATGGCTCCGTCGTGACCTGGGGTCATGCTGGCAACGGTGGCGACAGTAGTGCTGTGCAGGACCGGCTGCATAATGTGCAGCAGATCCAAGCCACTGACCATGCTTTTGCTGCCATTCTTGCTGATGGATCTGTCGTCACCTGGGGATATGCGGACCATGGTGGTGACAGTAGTGCCGTGCAGGACCAGCTGCGGAATGTGACACAGATCCAAGCCACTGGTGCCGCTTTTGCGGCCATTCTTGCTGACGGAACGGTCGTGAGCTGGGGCCATGTTGGCGATGGTGGCGACAGTAGTGCTGTGCAGGATCGGCTGCAGAACGTGCAACAGATCCAAGCCTCTGACAGGGCTTTTGCTGCCATTCTTGGCGATGGCTCCGTCGTGACATGGGGTGATGCAGAATACGGTGCTGACAGTAGTGCCGTGCAGCATCATCTGAAGAAAGTGCAGCAGATCCAAGCCTCTTGGCGTGCTTTTGCTGCCATTCTTGGTGATGGATCGGTCGTGACCTGGGGTCAAGCTGAATGGGGCGGTGACAATAGTTCTGTGCAGGATCAGCTGAAGAATGTGCAGCACATCCAGGCCAGCAAAGGTGCTTTTGCTGCTATCGTTGGCGATGGGTCTGTCGTGACCTGGGGCGGTTCTTTCCTCGGTGGTGACAGTAGTGATGTCCGGCATCGGCTGAAGAATGTTCAGCAGATCCAAGGCACTCGTGATGCTTTTGCTGCTATTCTGGGTGATGGCTCCGTCGTGACCTGGGGTGATCCTGGCAACGGTGGCGACAGTAGTGCTGTGCAGGACCGGCTGCATAATGTGCAGCAGATCCAAGCCTCTTGCCGTGCTTTTGCTGCCATTCTTGGCGATGGATCGGTCGTGGCCTGGGGTACGACTGATTTTGGGGGCAGCAATAGTTCGGTGCGGGACCAGCTGAAGAATGTCAAGCAGATCCAAGCCTCTCACGGTGCCTTTGCTGCCATTCTTGGTGATGGATCGGTTGTGACCTGGGGAGGTAAGGATCATGGTGGTGACAGCAGTGAGGTGCGGGAACAGTTGAAGACGAGCGAGCCGCCAGCCGAGTGAGCGGGCAAAATGAAGCCTTCTGTCGCGGAGCGAGCATTCAATCACATGTAAATATTGTCAAGCACAGGGTTTTGTTCTCATCGTTGTTTGGCCCGGGTCTTGATTCACAGTAACGCCAAGGACCTTAAAAGGCTAGAAGCTAGACCACGCTAGAACTAAGCATTCAGGCAGTTAGAAATTCAAAGAACCGATCAAGCTAGGATAGGGTGCATCCTGAGGTGTAGGAGCTCAACCCTCAGCCATAGATGGCACATAGCAAACTACTACTACTGCTGCTACTGCCACTACTATCAGAAAATGATGATAATAAATACAATGCTACTACTGCGGCTGCTGCTGCTGCTGCTACTCGTGCTTCGTGACCATGCAAGAGGAAAAACTATTACTGATTCTACTACTACTACTACTACTACTACTACTACTACTACTACTACTACTACTACTACTACTACTACTACTACTACTACTACTACTACTACTACTACTACTACTACTACTACTACTACTACTACTACTACTACTACTACTACTGCTCCTACTCCTACTCCTACTCCTACTCCTACTCCTACTCCTCTCCTACTCCTGCTCCTGCTCCTGCTCCTGCTCCTGCTCCTGCTCTGCTCCTGCTCCTGCTCCTGCTCCTGCTCCTGCTCCTGCTCTGCTGTTGCTGCTGCTGCTGCTGCTGCTACTGCTACTGCTACTACTGCGACTGCGACTGCGACTGCGACTGCGACGACTACTACTGCTACTGCTACTGCTACTGCTACTGCTACTGCTACTGCGACTGCGACTGCGACTGCGACTGCGACTGCGACTGCGACTGCGACTGCGACGACTACTACTACTACTACTACTACTGCTACTGGTACTGCTGCTGCTACTGCTCCTGCTACTGCTACTACTACTACTACAACAACAACTACTACTACTACTACTACTACTACTACTACTACTACTACTACTACTACTACTACTACTACTACTACTACTACTACTACTACTACTACTACTACTACTACTACTACTACTTCTACTACTACTACTACTACTACTACTACTACTACTACTACTACTACTTCTGCTACTACTACTACTACTACTACTACTACTACTACTACTACTACTAGTCCTACTGCTACTACTACTACTACTGCCACCGCCACTGTCACTGCTCCTGCTCCTTCTCCTGCTCCTTCTCCTGCTCCTGCTCCTGCTCCGGCTCCTGCTCCTCCCTCTCCCGCTCCGGCTGCTGCTGGCTGCTGCTGCTGCTGCTGCTATTGCTGCTATTGCTGCTGTTGATACTGCTACTGCTACTACATAAAGCTTCCGAAACTTTGCCTAGAATCCAATCCTAAACCGTAAACCCCTAAACCCTAACTTTGGACCTAAAACCCTTTTAACATCCAGTGTGTCCAGATTGCATGTGGTCCTGTTGCGGCCTCCAGAGAGCTTGTGGACGAATTTCGCCACTCGCGCGCTGAGAGTTTATCGCACGCCGCATGCCACAGCCGGTTTAGGGTTTACCTGTGACCCCAAACCCTACAAAATAGTAGGTTATGACCCCTTAATTAATTAGAAGGTAGAACCCCTAACACGGTAGGTTTTTGGATCCACAGGTAGGGTTTCCGACAAAAACCTTCCTACCAGCGGCAGGCATGCTGGGTCCCCACTGGCAGATCTTGGGCTCGGAGTACGTGGGGGATATGACGCCGGAGGACAATTTCTTCCCAAGAGGATCCATATGGGTGGTTGTCAAAATTAGGGTCCCTTTTTGGGTCCCTATTATAACACGGCACCTAATATTAATATTTAGGGTACCCAAAAAGGGACTCTATATTGACAACCACCCATATACTACTATTATGCAATTGGGCATGTTTAGGCTTTGCCGCGGAATGGCGCATGGCATAATAGGCGACAGTATCTTGCGACAAGGTCGTGTTGAGCGCGTCGTGCTCTGGTGATGAGGTGTCAAAGCCTGTTTGTGGAAGGCTTTACTGTCTTTCTCTCCCACTCCGCCGTCGAATTGCCTGAACTCATTCATACATGTGCTTTCTGTCTTCTGCGGCCATTTCCTTTGATATTGAATCCCGCCCGACGGTAGGCCTTGAGCTTTGGGCTTCTAGCTTCACGTTGGGGGTTTCGGGTTTTGGGTCTTTAGTGCAATCCTAAACCCAAAGCCCTCAAGGAGTTCCCCGTGGGCTACATGCGCATGAACCCTGCCGACAACGGTCCGAAACTGGACGCCTTCACAGGCAGGGTCCGAAGTCTAAATTTAGTTGGAGGACATTTTCCTAGCTTGGGACATATCCACTCTGAAGACAAAAACTTCAACGCCAACCCGAAGCCTTGAACCCCCACTCCCATGGACCCTTGAACGCTGAGCCTACATCCCCAACCTCTAACTCTAAGGTCAAAAACACCACACCACGAACCTTCACCCTAAACTGCACCCTGGTTTGGGCGATGGATGAGCCCTCGGGGGGTTGGAGGCGTGGAGGTTGTGGCCCCAAACCCTTCGCCCTCAGCACATAGCCTTCAACCCGAGACCCTCAACCATCCGACCGACACCAGAGACCCTAAACCAAGGTGTCACAGGTCAAGAAGCCTGAGCCCAGAGACCCCAATAACCTTTAGTTAAGCAATATACCTTAAATTACAGTAGGACTTTAAACCCTAAACCCTAAACCCTAAAGCCTAAACCGACTTTGGTTTGAGGTATATTTCTTAATTAAAGGACATGGGAGTCTGTGGAGTCTCAGAGTCCTGCATTGGAGTTGATATCCCCAAGCTTCCATCCTTCGGGATTCAGGGTTTAGGGTTTTAGGGTTTTAGGGCTTTAGGGGTTTAGGGTTTAGGGCTTAGGTTTAGGGTTTAGGGTTTTAGGGCTCTAGGGCCTTTAGGGTTTGGGGTTTAGGGTTGGGCGGTTCGGGGTTTTGGGTTCAGGGCTTAGTGTTAGGTTTTGGGGATCGCGGTTGCTCAGTTTTTCCCCTTCAATCCCAGGGCCATACATGCTTTCAACAAGAGCACAGAGAGGTAGTGAGATTCGAGTGCATCCGAGCGGTTGCAGGAGCATGTGATTGAACTCTGCACAGCATACAAAGCCCTAGTGAGTTTACAATGGCGGGAAAAACCCCTAAACCCTAATCTTTGAGCCTCGAAGCTTGAAGAGTTTCAGGGCCAATAGGGTTTAGGGTTTAGCGTGTGGGTCGTAGACTGGCTTGACTTGAGTCCAGTGGCAAAAAAGGGTTTAGGGTTTAGGTTCAAGGTTCAGGATGAAGGTTCAGCCCTCAATGCGCTGGCATAGGAGAGCAAGTAAACTGCCAGTATCTGAGTTCTGGATGCTACAACCCTCGTCTAATCATGGAACAGTGTTGCTTTTTTAAATGGGAGTTTCAGAAAATAGGGGACCCTAATATAGTGCCCTAAATAAGAGGATCCTTATTATAAGGACACCATAATAAGGTACCACTATTTTCGGAAACTCCCAAATCAAAAAACGCCGAACACTCCCTCCTCCAACTCCCCAAAGGGCCTAAACAACCCCAAAGGCTCAAGCACTGGAACTCTAAAAAACCACAAACCCTCAAACGCCCAAACCCCCTAAATTTCGGAAGTCTGACCCAGATTTCTGGTCTCAGCTGACCCGGGAGGATGTGTCCTGGCAGTCATGGGATTTTTGCTTGACTCGCTTACTTTAAGAGGCTGTATAGGCTTACCACACACACATTTTCAGAATCGTTCTGTAGAGAGTTTTCAGGGATACCGTAAGGGTTCTGGGAGGGTGTCGGGGTGCCGGATTGCTGGGCTTGAGAGCTAGATTTGGGAGTTTCCGAACATAGGGGACCCTAGTATAGTACCCTAAATAGTAGGATCCTTATTATAAGGACCCCAAGATAAGGTACCCCTAATTTTCGGAAACTCCCATTTCGAGGTTGAAGGTTCAGGGGGGGAAGCCTGAAGCGGTCTCTAGAGTTTTTTTTGTGTCTTTCGCAAGAGCTTGTGGGTCTTTTGCATCGGGTGGCTATTGTCCTATATGCTTGTACCCTGAATTTAGGGCACTTAAAGCTCTATGATTTTTGCCCATGAACCTCACATGGCTCGAGGTTCACGTTGGATGACCGGCCACCCTGCACAACATCGGCAGCAAGTAGAACATCAGGGCAGCAGAAGAGGTTCTCAACTTACCGAGACTAGAGCTTGGTCGTCCACGGACGAAGCGTTCCTGCACTTATGATGTGCCGTACTTATGTCGTACGCGTAGAGAGAGGGATTCAGCACATAGCGCCTTAAGCAAAGAAAAAGTCTGCTCATTGAAGGAACTCTTGAACCCTAAGCCTTCAAACCTTGACCCATAAACCGTAAGCCCTAAACCCTAGACCTTAAACCCTAAACCCTATAGATCCCTTTAAAGGAACCCTTATAGATTCCGTTGAAGGAACCCTTCTGGATTCCGTTAATGAACGGACCCTAAACCCCCTAATGAAACCCAGAAGTCCAGGTGGTAAACATCTTACAGGAACCCTGAAACGAATCCTCCCTTAACCCTAAACCCTTAAACCCAAAACCTTAAATCCAAAGCCCTAAACCCTAAACCCAAAACCTAAACCCAAAACCCTAAACCCAAAACCCAAAACCCTAAACCCTTCCCTAATGAAACCCAGAAGTTCAGGTTGTGGGCCCGGCGGCGCAGGCCCGCTACAAGCTGGGAAGCTTGAAGATTCCTCTGGAGGCACCGGGGGGACTCTTGGGTTCCTTCAAAAGGGATCTATAAGTTATTCTATCCGGGTACTATAATTTAGGGTTTCTTAAAAAGGGATCTATAAGGAAGGCTATAAAGGGCACTATAGTAATTATAGGGGTTAGGGTTTAGGGGTTTAGGGTTATCTTTTAGGGTTTGGGGGTATAGGCTTCTCTTTTGGAGTTAGGTTTAAGGGTTTAGGGGTTTAACAAGGGCTTAGGGCTAGGAGCTTACGGCTAAGGGCTTTTAGAATTTGGGGATATAGAGGGGTTTAGGGTCTACCTGTATCCCCAAACCCTACAAAATAGTAGGTTATGACCCCTTAATTAAAGGGTCTGACCCTTGAAACGGTAGGTTTTTGGATCCCCAGGTAAGGTTCTGTTTTTTTGCAGGATTTAGGGTTCAGGGTTTCTCCATGGCTAAGTAACCCTAAACCCTAAACCCTAAACCCTAAACCCTAAATACTAAACCCTAAACCCTAAATACTAAACCCTAAATACTAAGGTTGTTCTTGAAGGGTCAGGGTTTTACGGTTTCCGGTTTACGATAGCGGCCTCAGGGACTTCCAAAACGGTTCCCTAATGTAGTTATAGTATAATGGGCCCCAAAACCCTAATCTAATTATGAAGGCCCTTATATTACAGGGAACCCCAGAAAGTTGGAATATGGTTTCATGGTAGGATACCCTATAATTTACCATAGAAGGGTTAGGATAATCTGAAGGCCCTTATATTACCTGGACCCTACGGAACCTACCTTTTTAGGGCCCCACTAATATGATTTCTTCATATCAGTCCCGAAAATGGTAGGTCACGTGGGGTTAAGGTAGTTGATGCAACCGAAACCCTTTTACACGCTGAGGACCTCAGCCCGAGAGGGTGGGAAGGGGGGGAGGGTTTCAGGGTTTAGGGAGGGTTTTGGGGGATCTGAAACTGATGAGGCAGCTCTCTAACTTAGGGTGCCTTTTCGGGTCCCCCCTTAAAGGATCTATGATCTATAAGGGCTTTTGTCGGGTTTCTATCGAGGTGCTATAGGGGTAGGTAGTTCTTTAAATTAGGGCCCATTTGAGGGTCCTTTTTGTTCGGGTGCCGTGTTATTTTAGGGACTTGTGTAAGTGACGCTAGAATAGGGAACTGCTCTTATGCTCTTGACTTAGGGGTACTTAGAAATAATTTTCAATTTTTGGTTATTATAATCCCTAAGAAACAGCTAAAATTATGATTTTGGCTAGGGTTCTAAGTTCAGTATAGTTGATGCAAACCAGGGGTCCGCTAAACCCGAAACCACGAAGCCTTCCGAAGCCAAGGTCGCCCTTGGCCCTTGTACGCCATACTACGGTTGGTGATATACACCCTGCATTGCCTTAAGAACCCTAAGCTATGAGAATTATGGTGTATTCCTTATTATTATGGGTAATGCAGGATTTATATCATCAACAGTCAGTATCCCTGAGGATGCCGGAATAGAAGAATTATAGTATCCTGGGGTGCAAAAATAGCTCCAAGTAGGTACCATTTTTAAATAAACTCTACAATCCAAAATTGGTACTATTTATGTAATTGGAGCTCCAGGGGTATAATACACACCGCTAAGCGCGCTTCTATGGAGGCATATATGATGACAAACACCCGGTAGACGCTAATTGCAAACCCTTCGAAGTGCCTACAAAGCTGAGTGGACTTTCTTCCAACCTCAACATACCCTACACCCTACCTTAACCCTCCAAACCTCCGTTATAAGGGCTTATATATAAGGACATCATAATAAGGAGCCCTCAGGCAGGTAGGCTTTTACAGGGCGGTCCATGTGAACCTTACCTGTAGCCGAAAAGACCGACATTCTTAAGGAACTATATATAGAAACCATATTAAGGAACCCTAAAAAAGTAGGTCTTTTCGGCTACAGTTAGATCTTAAGCAAAGCCCCACTGACCGAAAGGACAACCCATCTCCCCCGATTACCGACAGCTTGTTCGCGGCAACACGGCGTCGAAGCAACAAGCAAGATATAGGTTAGGGTTTGCGGTCTGAGCTAGTATTTCTTCGCTTGTAATTGTATTTCGTATATACATATATGTTTACTATCATACACCACAGGACCTTACTCTTTTTCGTACGATCCCTATGTTACCGACATGAAACTTCAGGGTTCAGACGTCCAGGACCTATCTATATATATATATATATATATGTATATATATATATATATATATATATATATATATTCATATTCTTCAGGGTTTAGGACCGTAGAGTTATTATGGCTTCATTGTAAGGGTTTGAGGCTTCTAGGCTTTAGGGTTGAGGGTTTTTAGGGCTTCATGGTTGCGATTTACATGTTTTGGGGTTTAGGGTTTTTAGGTCTTCGTCGGTGTTTACATGTTTTAGCGTTTAGGGTTTTTAGGGCTTCGTTGTTGGGGTTTACATGGTTTAGGGTTCAGGGCTTTTAGGGCTTCGGTTTACAGGTATCAGGGTTTAGGGCTAGGACTGTTGTGGTTTGCAGGAGTCTTTGGACTCAGCCGAGCCTGTGCAGCTAGTCTACTTCAGTCCGAGCTTGCTGTTGCTGATGCTTGTGTGGTCGCGAGGGAGTAAAGGTGGGGGCATGAAACTCTGGAACTGTCATTTCCTGGTGCTCTCAATACGTCAGCTATAATATTCCCAAGCACCCTTTTTGACTGTGGCCCCTATACTGAACCCGACAATGTTGCAACCTTTGAAGACCCCGTTTGCCGACAGCCTATTCTAAGCATTAATAGGTGTCACTTATAGACTGTAGGCCCCGCCCCAATCGTGACCCGAAGCCCGAGAACATCAATCTCAGAAATCTGAACGCTATGAGTCCCACAATCACCAACTGTAAATCGGTTCTGGTTCTGCGCAGAAATAGACCTATGCCAGCCTATAGACCTGTACTTAAAGGATCATGGGATTTAGTAGTTGGGGTTATAAATAAGGTAACCATACTTGTAGTTACTTATAACCCCAATTAAGGTACCTATAACCTTACTTACTAAGTCCCATGATCCTCCAAGTATGGTTTAAGGCGGGAATTACAGAACCCTAAACCCTAAACCCTATAGATCCCTTTAAGGAACCCTATAGATCCCTTTAAGGAGCCTTTTAAGGAGCTCTTTACTAAGTCCCATGATCCTCCAAGTAATGGGGTTCTTGGAGTCGCGTTCGAGGCCTAGGCTGCATGATTGAGCGATCTCAGGGTTTCGGGCATAGAGTGGCAGGGCAACTCCAATCTACCTTAATTAAGGAATATTCCTTAAATTATAGTAGGATCCCTTTTATGATTTAAGGAATCTTCCTTAAATTTTGTAGGATCCCTTATATGATTTAAGGAATCTTCCTTAATTAAGGGATATTGGAGTCTCAGGGGTGGCAGGGCAACTCAAGCCGGTGAGCTCAAAAGACCCAAACCCTCAGCCCCTGAACCTCCGCGTGAGGCCAACGCAACGCTCAACCCTAAACTGCAAGGCCTAAACTCCCTAATAGCCTTACCCTAAGGCCCCAAAGTAGTTCCTTTTTGTGGTTCGTATATAGAATCCTATATAAGGTAATCCCCAAAAGGAACTACTTTGGGGCCTATGGGTAAGGAGGCCGTCGAAGCTCAAAACTCTGAAATCCTGAAGTCCTGTACCCCTGCCCGAAGCCGCTGAAGTCTGAAACGCGACAACCAGGAGTTCCTAGAACTTGGAACCCTTATACGGTTTAGGGTTTAGGGTTTAGGGTAAACCTCAAACCCCAACCCTTCAACCTTAAACCGCCGAAGCCGAGCCCTAAACTGCTTCGAGCCACAATTTCGGTTTGGGCGTTGGGGAAACTGAGGGTCTTGTTGATGGGGTTTAGGGTTTAGGGAGGGATGGTGTTCTGGGTTCATGGGGTAGGGGGCACGTCTCGCAGACCCTGGCCGAATGTACCCCTCGCCTAGCAAAGATTCTGCCGTGCTTACGTGCCTCCAAGGGTAAAAGGAGGGACCCTTAATAAGGAGCCCTAGGTATATACCCTTGATATAGCTAGTATATACCCATTATATAGCGCATTAGAGGGTAGGGTCCCCATTAAGGGTCCCTCCTTTTCCCCTTTGAGTGCCTCAGCCCCAAACTCGAAACTCAAAACCACTACCTGGACCCTTAGGAACCTACCTCTTTAGGGTTCCCTACTATGATGTCTTTATATAAGTCCTTAAAAGGTTGGTTACTTGGGGTGAAGGTAGAGCTTCGAACCCTGAACTCCCAACCCCTCGAAAGCCCATCCGTTGAGCCCCAAACCCTGAACCCCTAAACCCTAAACCCCACCTGAGAATCCAATTGAACCCTTTTCACACCGACTCCGCACCCAAGAACCTCGCCTGGCTTCGTCCGAGTTGTGAGAGCGTAAACCCTAAACCCCCTATAGATCCCTTATATTTCCTTTGAAGGATCCCGTAAAAATCCCTAAACCCTATAAGGCTTTAAATCTATTGCACGGCAGCAAGGGTGGAGATGGTGTCGGCTCGGTCGACCGCTTCCTCATCGATGCAGGTTCCGGCCTGGGTTTCGTTTGTTTTTGAAAGGTTTTTGTAAGGGTTCGCGTGAGGTTTCTATAGTTTTACGGCCTTGTGCCGGTTGGGTTTGGGGCTTCAGGTTTAGGGTTTAAGGTTGACTTCAGGTCTTTACCTGGTCCTGCAAAGGTTTCTGGGAGCTTTGTGCTTCTTCTGCACGGTTTATGGTGTGTGTTGGGTTGTATGGAGGTATGTATCGGATGCCATGAACTTGTTTTGAGGCTTTGAGGGTTTGGGGTTGTGCAGGTCGGTGGTCTGTTTACTTGGGGTTTCTGTTTTCCAGTAACCAAGCCAGCCGTGTAGTCGGCAGCGACCATGACTGCTAGTTAGGCTTGCCTCTCTACAAGCCTCGCGCGGCCAGCAAAATCGCGCGTGCCACTCTGCGTGGCTTGCTGCGCCACCTGCACCGTCTGCGAAAACGCGAGGCACGGATTGACCGATTCCGTGCCAGTCAGGCGCTTGAGTGCCCTAAAATAGTACCCGAAATAGTAGGATCCTTATTATAAGGACCCCAAAATAAGGGACCCCTAATTTTCGGAAATATGCCAATGCCGAACGCCATGTTGCACTTGCAGGTTTAGAGCCTAGGGATTCCAGCTTAGGTTCGTACACACGCTACTGCTGCTTATACGACTCGCTTTGGTCCTGCTCCTTATCCACGTAACACTCCTGCTACTACTCCTGGTTATACTCATGAAGATCATGCCTACTAAACTACTGCCACGTTGGCAACTTAAGACTTAGGGCACGACGGACATAACTGCAGAGCACCTCTGAGATTTTCCGGAGCGTCTCCTTGCCTTCAGCCGACTCGTGTGGCAGCCGCTGCCTTGTGAAAAACATCTGCGACGAGCTTCGACGGTGCAGCGAGGGCCCGCAACCGAAATTCGCTTTTGTGTTTGTTCGTGTGAGCTCCGTGTCGCCAGCCCTGCCCCTGCTAGAGCTTTCGTCCCAGCCCGCGGCTCTCAAGTCCCTATGAATTTCCTTCTTGTGGTAATATTGAACCCCGTATATAACAGTAACAAGAACCCACTTATAGATAGATCCCTTTAAAGAAACTTTAAGGTAGAAGCCAGAAAGTTGGAATATGATTATCCGAACCCTTCTATGGTAAATTATAGGGTATCCTACCAAGAAACCATATTCCAACTTTCTGGAGTTCCCTTTAAACCCCTAAACCCTAAACCCTAAACCCTAAACCCCTAAACCCCTAAACCCACTTATAGATCCCTTTAACGAAACTTTAAGGGGCCGCAAGCAGGATCCTCAGTGCCCAGGCTACAGCTTCATCCTGGCCATCAACAGCCTCCTCAACGAAGGCCCGGATTTGTGGTCCCTTTAAACGGGGATCCTTAAAGGTTCCTTTAAGGAATCTATAGGGTCTAGGCTTTAGGAGAGGGGCCTTAAGGGCTCCTTTAAGGGATCTATATGGTTTAGGGTCTAGAATAACGGCTTTAAGAATTACCAAAACGGTTCCTTTTTATGTAGTTGTAGTATAATTTGCTGCAAAACCCTATTTTAATTGTTAATGAAGGCCCTTATATTAGTTGATGCATTAGAGCGGCCCAAATCATTAGGATTAGCATTCCGGTTCTTAACATTTTTTTGTCGAAAGTATTCCCACGCGCCCTACTTTGAATTTCAAGGACCGATATGATGGCTTCAGGGCTTCATGCCCGAAGTAAACCCCACCCTGCTGTAATAGACGAAAGCACCGTGGAGGGCATTTTGGCCGGAATGCGCACAGAGAGGAGTTTTAAAGGACCAAGAGGAGGTTTGAATCAGGGAATTGTAGGGAGACTAGGTTTGGGAATTACACATGTGCCGAAGTTCTTCCTCTCTCTCTCTCTCTCTCTCTCTCTCTCGCTCTCTCCCTTGCACAGTTTATGTTTGAGGATTATCTCGGCATCCGGGCGCCTTACCGATTGCCAGAGCGACTGTGTACTAGAACGTCTGAGATGAGGACCGTAGGGTCTGCGGCCTGCCCGCGGAAGCGATTACATGGAGGATCATGGGACTTAGTAAATATGGTTATAACTACCTTAATCGGGGTTATTTTTAAGCATTTAATTATAAGTATGGTTACCGTATATATGACCCCAGTCACTAAGTCCCATGATTCTTTAAGTAGAATAAATCAGCGACTAAAACTCCCATCCAAACCCCAATGAGTCAAACTTTGTGTGTGTGTTTTTTTCATATTGGTGGGCTGTAATAGCTGGGGGAAGAGATTATCGTGTTTGGGTGCAGCCGCAAGGCATTCAGGTTTTCCGGCAAGTATACTAAACGAAGGCGAAGGCTTCAAAACACTCTAGCCAACCCCACACCCTTACAGTCGCCCGTGTAAATCCCTATAAGAAGCTTCAACCCCCAAACACCTAAAGCCGTCATAGAACCCACATACCCAAAGATTCCAAAAATCCCCTAATTAAGGAATGTTCCAAAAAAACAGATGAGGGATCCTACTATAGTTTAAGATAAACTCCTTAATTAAGGGGTATTGGGCTCTCTGGGTAAACCCCTGTAAAACCTCTCATAACAGGACCATGGAGGCGCCTCAAAGCAAGCCTACGGTTTAGGGTTCAGGGTTAAGTTTTAGTGTACTCTCGCCACGAGTGCTGTGTGCTTGGGGATCCTGGCCGGGCGAGCACTAATCAAGCCTGTGGAAAAAAAGGGTACTTTCATAAAGACTCACCAAGTCCTACATAATGGGACCTCTAATGGGGGGACTTTTCTAAACCGCCACAGCGTACCGTAAGCTGCCCAAACCTACTTTTTTGTAGGGTCCCTATGTGAATTTCATGCTATGGTTTGTAATCAGATCATTTTTTATCGAAATTTACAATGCATGCAGGTCTTATACTTTAAAGTAAACCTTAAACCCAAAACCAAAGAGCCCCCAAACCCACCATCCCTAAAACACCAAACGCCGAAGAGCCTAGACCCTCGCCTCCCTCAAACCTTAAAGCTGCACATCGTCACAAAACCTAAACCCTAAACCCCTCCCTAAAGCCCTAAACTCCCTAAACCCTGAACTCCCTAAAGCCCTAAACTCCCTAAAACCCTAAACTCCCTAAGCCCCTAAACTCTCTAAAGCCCTCAAAACCACTTGAAGCTAGAGCCCTAGACCCCCAAGAAGCCCTACACCCAAGCCGAAGGCTTCAAGCTCTAAAGTCCACTCCAATACTAGGACCCAGAGTAGGCCCTTATTACCTTTTTTATGGTTTAGGTTCCCTTACAGCCCCCTGTAAACCAAAAAAGGGCACCCTTTTTCTTCCTAGGTTACTCTTAGGTCTAGAATATCCTTTCATTAAGGAATATTCCTGAAATCATAATAGGGATCCTACTATAATTCAAGGTATATTCCTTAACTAAGGGATACCCAGAGACTCCAAAACCCCTTAATTAAGGAATATACCTTAAATTATAATAGGAGCCCTAATATGATTTTGAGGTATATTCCTTAATTAAGGGGTTTTGGAGGCTCTGGGTATTGGAGTCCCCTGAGGGGAGCCCTAAACTCTCTGAACTCCAAGAACTCTGGGAGCCTTCAACCCCCCTAGGACCCAGACGAGGCCCTTGTTCCCTTTTTAGGTAGGGTTTAGGGTTTAGGGTTTAGGGTCTAGGGGTTTAGGGTTTAGGGTTATTTTTAGGGTTTAAGTTCCCTTATAACAGCCTTTAAGCCGAAAATGGGCACCCTTTTTATTCCTAGGTCCCTAGGGCCCTACTGTAGAGATCCCTTCTAGAACCCCCTAAGGAAACCCTTAAGGAACCCTTTAAGTTACTAAAAAAACTCTAGGAAACCCTCAACCCTTAAACCCTAAACCACCCCAAACCCTGAAGGTCCCTTTAGAGGAACCCTTATACATCCCCTTTTAAAGGGAACCCCGAAAACCCTAAACGCCCTAGAGCCCTACAGTAGCTCTTCAGACCCCTTTAAAGGAACCCTGGGAACCCTATCTACCCTAGCCCTAAACCCTAAACCCCTACACCCACCCTAAAGGCCCTAGAGCCCTAAAGCCCTAAACCCTAAACCTAAGCCCTAAACCCTAAACCCCTAAAGCCCTAAAACCCTAAACCCTAAAACCCTAAACCCTAAACCCCTAGACCCTAAACCCCTAAACCCTAACCCCCAACACCCTAAAGGCCCTAGCGCCCTAAATGCCCGCCGAAGGCTTCAGTCTCCAGGAGATCCGAGGGCAGCGTCTGCTGGAGCAGCTGCAGCGCCGGGGCAAAGAAGAAAAGGGAGGGGAGGACTATAAGAGCAAGTCCCTTTTAGAGATCTATAGGGTTTTAGGGAAGAAGAGAAGGGACGGGGGGGAACTAAGAGTAAGTCCCTTTAAGGGGTCTATAAACTAGGATGAAGCCCCTTTCAGGGATCTGTAGGGCTTTAGGGAAGAAGAAGAGAAGAGAGGGGGGAACTAGGATGAAGACGGGATCTGTGGGGTTTTTAGGGCAAAGAAGAAGAGAAGAGGGGGAGGGAACTAGGAATTAAGGAGTACCTAGCATTCCTTTAAAGGGATCTTTAAGGGGCCCTTTAAGGGATCTATAGGGTTTTAGGGAAGAAGACGAGGGAGGGGGGGACCTAGGAATTAAGGGGTACCTAGGGTTCCTTTAAAGGTTTCCCTAAGGGCCCCTTTAAGGGATCTATAGAGGTTTAGGGAAGAAGAAAAGGGGGGGGGACTAGGTTTTAGGGACTCGGGTTTACAAGGTTCAGGGGTTATAAGGTTTAGGGTTTGGGGCTCAGGGCTTATAAGGTTTTAGGGTTCAAGGTTTATAGGGTTTAGGGTTTGGTATGGTTTAAGCTTTGAGTTTCGAGTAAGAGCAAAAGGGGGGACTAGGAGGGTTCTAGTAGGGCTTAAGATGATTTTCAGTGTTTGGGGTGCGGGATTTGGGGAAGAAGAAAAGGGAAACTAGCAGGGTTCTACTAGGGTTTAGGACTTGTAGTTTTGAGGGTTGAGGGTTAGGCTGTTAGGGTGTTTAATGTTATGGCATGGGGTTTAGGGTGTATTATATTAGGGTTACTTGGAGATTCAAGGGACTTAGTAAGTACACTTATAAATACCTTGACTGGGGCATAAGTGGTGACGAGCATAGTTACCTTCATCCGTTATCCTAGTTAACTCTTAGTTACTCTAAATGTTCTTTTAGACTTCAGGGGGGCAGAGTTTATAGGTTTAGGGCAGCCCCTCCTCAAATAAAGGGCTTGAGGGTTTAAGACCCTTTTCTACTGGAGGGCTTTCAGGTTCGGGTTGGGGTGTAGGTTTTAGTGGGTTTTCTGCAGCAAGCGCCTGGTTCCGTTGTGAAAGGGCTATGAAGGTTTTTCTTGGTTGAACTGTGTGCTTTAATTTTGGTAGGGTTGTTAACGAGCTTTAGATGATTTTGATAGTTTGACCGCTGTTTTTATGTATCAGCTCTTCACGCTGATTGAGCAGGTTTGAAAGGATGTTTGCAAAGGTTTAATAGGCAGGTTGTATGGGGCTTCAGACGGGACTTAATCGTCAGAATAAAATTTTTGGGGTATGTTGCTCTATATGTGCCAGCATCCGCGCCCCCCCCCCCCCCCTCCCCCCCCCATGGTAATCCCCCTCCCCCCCCCTGTGGTTCCTGTGGTTCCCCCCCCCCCTGTGGTTCCTCTTGGTTTTCCCCCTCCCTTTTGTGGTTCTTCTGGTTCCTGTCTCCCCCCTCCCCCCCTGTGGTTCCTGTGGTTCCTCCGCGTGGTTGCTGCTGCTTTGTTGTTGCTGCTGTTCTTCTTCTTGTTCTTGTTCTTGTTCTTGTTGTGTGGTCGCCCGGGTCGGGGGGGGGGGGATACCATTGGGGGGGGGGGGGGGGGTCGAGAACGCGGAGCGCGGGCACATATAGGGACTATGAGGTGATATTGTGATGAACGTCGGAATGAAGCGCGGGCAGGAGAGCCCAGTATCCCTCAATTAAAGAAAATACAGTAAATTATCGTAGGGACCCAGTGTGATTTAGGGCATATTCCTCAGTTGCGGGCTATTAGAGTCTTTTGGGTGGGTAAGAGAGTGACGACGATGGCCTCGACAAAGAGTGATGAAGCTTAAAATACAGGGTCCGGTGCCCGTAAACCCATAAGCCCAAACTAAACCCCTAAACCCTACACCGCAAAACCCTCACGGTTTCAGAATTTCGGATTTAGAGCTTAGGGTTCGACGCCTCAAACCCTGAGCCCTACACATCTCGAAAAGCTTCCATGTCGGAGCCAGGAAAACGACTCTTGCTGGCCTCACGGGCTACGTAAGCTTCGACGACTCGCGGGCAAATTGTTGAGACCGGGGGATTGGCTTTGGGCATGGCCATATGGGTAGTTCCGTAAATTAGGGTCACTGTTAGGGTCCTTGTTATCAGTGTGCCCTAGTTTTTTGGTGACTTAGAATTGGACCCTAATTTTAAACGCTTCGCGTCGTCCGCCTCGGCCCGGCCTTAGGGGTTTTTGAGGCTTTTGGTTTCGTCCTTTCCGGTCCATGTGTTGTCCGGGCTTTTAGGTTTTATCAGGAGGCCTAGGTTCAGGTTAGGGGGTAGGGTCAAGAGTTCAGGGGCAGGCCGCAACAAGTAAGGGTGCTATAGGAACATTTCTGTATTCGGAGACTCAAATATAAGTAGGTGTTGCAAGCATTGGCGGCATGTGATGTTTATCCCAAGAAGTTCGCAATGTACTTATCCCCAAGGAACGAATGGAGAGCAAACAACAAGAATCGAAAGAAATAAGCACGAACAACTCAACCGGTTTAGGGTTTAGGGCAAGGCAGGGCAGGGCCAAGCAGGGCAGGGCGGGCAGGGCAGGGCAGGGCGGGCAGAACAAGAACCTGATTTAGTTAGAGAAACACTGATGCGGTTGATGTGAAAATTGTTGTATTTCCGAATCCTGTGCCTGATATTCGACATAGCCCCTAGCTGGGCGATGGCGATGCTTGAATCTCCGATGTCGGAACCCTGCACCCTACTAAAGCCTTCCACGCCGTATTTCCGAACCTGTAAGTTTTGTAGCGGAGCTCGCAAGCTTCAGTTTCTGAGCGTACAAGTCGTAGCAGCAGCGGATGGAGCTTGCGCTGGCACCGGAACTTGGAAAAAGATACGGGGGCGGGGGGGTGGGGGGGCAGGAAAGTGGGTGAGACTGCCTACAGAGGGTCAAAATCCGTTGGACAAGCTGAGAATTCCTGCCGGACCTTGAGGCTCATCTGCAGGTTTCCATTTTTTAGGGCGGGTACCTCCCCCTCCGCGCGGTACCGCCAAGGGGGTGGGTGACAGGGAAGGGGATTGAGAGGTGGGGAATAGAGCGAGGCGAATTTAGAGAACTTCCCACATATTTGAGGGTTCCGTCTTTTGGCTTTGTTGGTTGCGAGCTTGGCAGGCTGGAGTTTCGTACTTAGCGTTTTAGGGGTTAGCGGTCAGGGTTTCGAGTTCTAGTATGGACGGATTCCAGGTTTGAAGTGCCTTTGTATCTGTTAGCCCACACTGTCAGCGAGAACAGCAGCTCAGAACCGCAGTGAGCATGGACAGGCTGTCAGTATTCGCAAAGGCGTTGCATATGAGTTTGTTTTGGCATCCGAGTTGGCGAGAAGTTAGTCACCAAACTTTCTGCTGGTCTGCAAACTCATGTGGCCACACAAGCAAGGAGAACGGAGATCGGTGACTCAGCTGCGATGGCCCGGGCTGAAATCTCAAACCCGAAACATTGCTTCATCCATGCAGCCTTTCCTAAAAGACTGCTGAAGCCTTATATACATTTGCAAAACCAATAATACATGCCCAAGAGAAGCAGCAAACCCAAGCCCTAAACCCGGAAACCCTAAAGCGCTTATCCGGTTTACAGCCACAAAAGTTTTACAAGGGTGCCACAAGGGTCGAAAAGGGGTTGTAAGTGGTTTTATTGGGTTACTAGCAGGGTCTTGTAGACCTGCTATAAGGGCGCGTCCCCTCCAAGGGGATTTTTTCGACCCCAGTATGCCTATCACTAAACTGTTGAACCGTTCGCCCCAGCCCTCTTTGCCCCTTGCTGACGTCCACTGAGCAGGGCCGGCAACTACTACCACCTGCTGAACATCCAGGCGACACTGATTCTTAAAACCGACATTCGTCTGGAAGCTGCGGGGCTTTGAGATGTATAGTTTTGTCAGTGCTTCAAAGATCCCTAGTGGTGGTAGTACCAGTCGTCGTCGTAGTAGTAGTAGTAGCAGCAGTAGTAGCAGTAGTAGTCATCGTCAACGTAGTCGTAGTCGTCGCAGTAGTACTAGAAGAAGAAGTAACAGTAGCAGCAGGAGTACTAGTGGTAGCAGTAGCAGCAGCAGCAGCAGGAGCAGGATGAGGAGGAGTAGTAGTAGTAGTAGTAGCAGCAGCAGCAATAGTTGTTTTCGTTGTTGTTGTTGTCGCTGGTATCTTTTATTTTGATAACGGCAACAGCAACCCAATACAGTCATAGCCTGCCAGGTGGTCGAGGGCCAGCGCGCTTGGGTGAAAGAGGGCATTTTCGACCAGGTGGCTTGGGTGTAGAACCGAAGGCTTTAACAGTTAAGGTTTCTGTGAGGTTCCTGAAGGCGTGCCCATGAGGGCTTTTGCAGGATTCTATAGCAACTCTTATGTTCTATGGAGGGGTAAAGGCATGAGGATCTGGGAGTTTAGTAGCCAAAATTGTGTCTAGGCCTTGGGGTGTAGGTCCTTGGGGTTAGGGTCCTCAGGGTTTGGTGGGGGCTTAGCCTTAAATCCTGAATCCAGGAGCCTGGTCCGGTACTAGTACAGGCACCCTGTAGGGGTTTAGGGTTTGGGCTTAGGCCCTGGTTTGGGGATAAGTGACGCCCTAAACCCTTAAACGCCCTATATTAGAAGCCATGCCAGCCGAGTAAAGACTTTCGGAAGCCCTTGAGCTGCCAGGGTTAGGTTTTAGGGGTTTTGGGCGTGGGTTTAGGATCAAGGGAGTCAGTATGCAATTTTATAATAAGTACGTACCTTAATTGGGGTTACTACGGGTATGGTTCCCTGGTTTAAAACACAAGGGCTAAGTCCCATGATCCTTTAAGTGTCCCCTGGAGCCTCCAAGCTGGAATTTGTAAATCCGGGCTTGAGTGCGTTCCTTCAAAGGGGTCTATAAGGGCTACTATAAGGGGATCTATGCATTTAGTGCTTGGCGGTTTGGGGTTTCAGGTTTCAGGGTTTGATTTTGAGAGTTTGGGATTTAGGGTTTTGGGGTCTAGGGTCTGCGTTCCAACCGTTCCGACGTTGGCAAGCTTGACTCTTTCCCAGGCGTTTGGTGGCAAAGCGACTAAACCCCGAAACGGCCACAATAGTAGCAGCAGTGATCACAGGATCGGCAAACTAGGAAGCAGAGACTAAAGACCCTAAGCCCTAAGCCCTAACACCTAAACTCCGAGACACTGAACCCTAAGCCAGAACGCAAACGGTCTCACTAAGTTCGGGATTCAGGGATCTCTAACTTCGGAGATTTCGGGTATCGGATGTCAGGCATTCTGGGTGTGGAGTCCGGCGGGCTTGTGGGACAGATTAGGCCAGTGTCTTATGGGACATCGCGAATTATTGCAAAAAATGATAACAAATCCTGCAACAGAATAATTCTGCAAAGACTCGCATGGTACATGCAGAATTTTCTTTCGGGTAACTTGTGCTCGTATGCTCAACGATTTCCTGTACAAAGACCACATCCCGGAACAAGTGGAGCGGGGGGTCACAATTGCAATAGTCTCCAGTGTGATCTCAAAGGCGAACCTTCAGTTCCCCTCAGGATACTGGAGAAGTGGGAAAACCCTAAAATTCTAAACCCCTAGACCCTCAACCCCTAAACCCGTACCTTTTAAGTATCCTGAATCCTTAACCCCATAGCCCCATACCCTAAACCCTAAACCCTAAACCCTAAACCGTAGCTTTCAAGGAACCCTAAGACCCTACACCCTTAAAGGGGCCCTGGGGTCTCCTAAACCGCATAGAATCCGTAAAAGAACCCTGGGACACATACAGCCTTATATCCGAAGCCCTTACAGTAGAAGCCAGAAAGTTGGAACATGAGCTTAGGAGGATTAGTGCTAGGATCCCTTATACTTTAAGGGCAAGAGGATACTAAGGTTCCAACTTTCTGGCTTCTACCATAAAAGAAACCCTAAACCCTAAACCTAAGGGGTTTAGGGTTTAGGGGCATGCCTCTGCGTGGGGAGACTTGGTGGGAGGGCTAGGTCTAACATGTGTAAAAAAAAACCTAAGGGGTAGGGGAAAGCCTCTGCTAACCCTGATGCAGGCGAACCAACGGCTGAACATCTCGGAGAACTTGACCTGGATGGAGCTTCGGCCTTTGGTTTACCTTAACCGTAGGGTTTAGGGTTTAGGGTTTAGGGTTTAGGGTTTAGGGTTTGGGGTTTGGGGTTTAGGGGTTTAGGGTTTAGGGTTTGGCCCTTGGTTTACCTAAACCCTGAAGGAGCTACCTTTTGAAGGACTTTCAGAAGGAAATCATAGTAAGGAACCCTAAAAAGGTAGGTTATTCAGGGTAGGGTTTAGGGTTTAGTCTTTTGGGGTTGTAATGGTTCTGGGCGGGTTCCTGAAAACGGATCCTTAAAGGATTCCTTAACCTCGGCTTTAGGGTTTAGGCTGCTTTTTGCACTTATAGGGTTTAGGGTGTGTTCTGTGGTGTGGGGTTTAGGCTTTTGGATGGTTTAGAATTTGTCGTTTAGTTTTTTTTTATTTTTTTTTTTGCGGGTTGAGGGTTAGGAGTTTTAGGGTTCAGAAAAGCGGTTTCACTAGGGGTGCTTATGTTGTGAACAAAGGTTCTTGTGTGAGTGAGCTAAAAGGGTTTTGTAAGGCTTGTAGTCAGCACCCAAGAACCCTTTGCCCAAAGTGAACTCCAGACTGCGAAGCCACGAAGTTGTGAAGCTTTAACTCATTAATGAGGACAGACCCCAACTAAGTTCCGTGACGGATGCCGATCTTATCTCACGTGGTCATGCATGGGGTCGCCACAATATCAGAGACTTATGCTTGGTGTGTTGGTTTATTGATGCAAGCCCAAAAATACAGGCTTCATTGTGGCATATAGGCTTACTCTAAATCCTAAACGGCTCTTAAATTCCTACTGCTCAACCCTACAACAAAAGATATGGTCACAAGCTAGCTATGCTGTCTGGTCCTTCAGGTTGTGACCACTCCAAGGCACACCTACTCCCCGCTTCCCGTCGACGTTCCATAGTTGATGCGGCCAAGGATGGAAATCGCAGCACTACTGCACCGACGCAGCCTCTCAGATATCAAGATGCCAAGATCGTCGAATTGAGGGTTTATTGAATTTAGGTTTATGCATCATTGCCACGATGACACCTGTCGCTGTGTAGGGTTCGCACTACCTGGTCACCTGGTACCCCGACTAATATAGTTTTTGCTTGTTACGAAAGTTTGCGCTTTAGAGACAGTGGGTCATTTCAGTTTGGGTTTGTTCTCAAAGGATCTGGCTACTATTTGAGTTTTTTGTTTGTTTTATGGTGCTCTTGATTGGGGATGGTGTAGCACAGCCCTCCCAAGAAAATGTGAACATTTAAGATGTTGGTCACTGTGGGCATTCCGGCATGTATAGGCCGCTAACCGCTTTTAGGAACTTGGGCGCCTAGGATTTAGGGTTTTGGTTTAGGGTTAGTATGGTGCGAGCGCTTTTGTAAACAATCGACTGCAGAAAAGATGTGGTCAGCAATCCAGGCATAAGGGTGGTGCTACGTTCGTTTCCCATGCAGCGCAATCTTCTGTAGAGTTTCGGGTGTTAGGTTTTGGGGACTATTTGATTCTGCTACCGTTGCTCGCCGAAGGCACCCGACGGCCCTATCTCTGAGACTGCCCTAGTAGTAGAGTAGGTAACCTTTTACCGCTCTGGGTACTTAATACTTATATAATCCAAATATACTCCCAAAGGTTAACTGACCTTTAGTTCCCCAGGATACTCGACAAGTAGGCTGCGCCTTCTTCCGGCTTTCTACTTTCATGGGTGCTGTGGTGTCGTGAGCCTTAGATGCAAAGCCATGAGCTTTTTGTTCGTGTAGTGGTCCGAATGAATAGGACCACCATCTCCTTACACCCGAAACTCTGAACACTAAGCCGTGAACCGCAATCCGTACATAAAAATACGACAAAACACAAACACCCGAAGCAACTGGCGAAGTTGGAGCCTTGTCTCCAAGGGGCCTTTTGAACCCCACGCTCTCTGCGTGACGGGTTTTAAGGATTTCAAGGGCTCTCAAAAAACATCATAAAACATAGTATCGTATAATGCAGTGTAGTATAGCATAGTATTCTACTGGCTCCTGAACGTTTTGTACAACACAGGACAAGCGCAGGAGAGAGGCCTTTGCTTTGCTTGCGATTGCACGCTTGCCGCCATGTGGCCATAGGTTCCGTGAGAGAGTCTACCGCCAGTGTGTCGTGTCTAGTCTCCACTGAGGGACGTGGTGGGAAGATGCATCCACCCGGAGTTTGACAGTTGGCTAATGTTTATAATGTAGGTATACATGCCCGAAATATGACCCTTCATACGGACTGCTGCAGGGCGTGGGCAGAACCCAATAAATGTTTTAGGGTTTGGGGACCTCGGGATTAGGGGTCTACTTGGAGGTTCGGCTTAGTACGTACGTACAACTGAGGTCATAACCAGTTATAAGTTTTCAGTATTGTTACCTTATTTACACCCCTACTCAGTTACTAAGTCCCATGAACCTCCAAGTAGAACCCTAGACCCTAATCTCTATAGATCCCTTCAAGGAACCCTATAGATCCCTTTAAGGAGCCTTTTAAGGAGCTCTGGACTAAGTCCCATGAACCTACAGGGAGCGTAAGCGTAGCCCCAACAAACCAGCCCCGAGGCCCTCCGCCTTCAAAACTCTACAACCCCTAAAGGGAACTCCAGAAAGTTGGAATATGGATTAATGGTAGGATCCCCTATAATTTACCTTAAAGGGGTTACGATAATGATATTCCAACTTTCTGGCTTCTACTGTACTTGGAGGTTCATGGGACTTAGTACAGAGCTCCTTAGAAGGCTCCTTAAAGGGATCTGTCGGGTTCCTTAAAGGGATCTATAGGGTTTAGGGTCTGGGGTTCTACTTGGAGGTTCATGGGACTTCCTAAGTACATTTATAAGTACCATGATTGGGGTTATAAGTACATACAAGTGTAGTTACCTTAATTATATCCCTAGTTATTAAGTCCCATGAACCTCTAAGTACTGCAATCCTGAGAGGCAAAGCCTTCGAGTACACATAACCCTAAACCCCAAACCCCATACCGTAAATCCCTGGGAAGCTTTTCGAATCTAGCGAGCCGAAAAGGGACGTTCAAAAAAGAAACAAAGCCCTTGGGGAGTTCATGAGAACCCCGGTCAAAAACCCCGTCGTCTCAGTCTCTTCTTGGTGGCGGACTGCGAGAGCGGCCTTTTCCAAGATGATCCGCGGTGCCAGCCCTGTCCCAAAGGTCCGGCGTAATGTAGGAGTTTCCGAATTTTAGGGGTGCCTGATTTTGGGTCCTTATAGTAAGGATCCGACTATTTCGGGCATTATATTAGGGTCCCCCATTTTCGGAAACTCCCATGTAGGAGCCGACATCATTACCAATCTTATTTTGGGGGTTCCTCTTTATGATTATAGTATAATGTACCCCCCAAAAAACCTTTTTCGAATTATCAAGGCCCCTATATTTGTTTTTCGGGCTTCGGGATTGGCGTGAGTCTGTTCTCACAGTGTTGTAACTGGATATCAATCGGTGTTATAAATGTTGTTAGGGGTCTTTAGGGATTAGGGGAAAGCCCTACAGGGGTTCATTGCCCTTTAAGGTCATTTTTCGAGTGCCCTGCATAGCCCGAGGTGCAAAAAAAGACCTTGTGACGGTACTTACGGCTTTGCGGTCAAGTGGGTGTAGCATCTGAGGCAGCAGACTTTGGAGTTAAGGGCTTAAGGGAAAGGCCCTGTCGAAGGCTTGTTTGGAGGCGAGGGCCTGGCACTTGGTCAGGTACTTAGAGGTTCATGCGACTAGGGTTATAATTAAGGTAACTACACTTGTATGTACTTATAACCCCAATCATGGTACTTATAAATGTACTTACTAAGTCCCATGAACCTCCAAGTAGAACCCTAGACCCTAAACCCTATAGATCCCTTTAAGGAACCCTATAGATCCCTATAAGGAGCCTTTTAAGGAGCCTTTTACGTACCTACTAAGTCCCATGAACCTCCAAGTAGTTGTCTGTTGCTCAGGATGGGCCTCTGTCGCCTCCGAACGGGTGTGCGTAGTATAGGCGCCTTAATAATTAGAATAGGGCCGTTCCTTTAAGGGGTCCTTTTCCTGGGTTCTATAAGGATTACAATAAGGGGTATTATGGGGGGGTTAGTATAGGGGCCTTAATAATTAGAATGGGGTTTTGGGACCCATTGTACTATAATTATAATAAGGAACCCCCACAATACTATTGGTAATTCGTAAGGCCCCTATGTTATGGGTCAGCGAGTTGTCGGCATTGTGTAGATCCTTGCCCGCTTCGTGCGAGCTGCGAGGGTCGAAACCCTCACTCGGAAGAAATCATCTTCCTCTTGCTAGGCTTTTTCTGCGTGGGTGGCAACTCCTCCTTCCAGCCTTGCCCACGAGGCGCCGTGAGGAGTGCAGTAGCCAGCGCTATAAAGGATACCTGGGACGAAGCAAGTGAGGGTTTAAAGACAAAATGCTAGGTTTTGGGCCTGAGGGTGTGCGGTCAGCTAGCTAAGATCAACGGTGAAGCCTGAACCCCTTAATTTCAGAGACTCCGAAGCCTCTTAATGAGGAGTACACACATGAAGTTGCAATGCGTAAACCACCCTCCACCATAATTTGCGGTATATTGGCTTCTTGAGTAAGATAATTCTTCAGCCTCTGGAAGCCCAAGGCGTACTGGAAGCAAATCGTCAGCATCCCAATGCGGTTCCAAATTTGACGATGTGGAAGCGTGGATTCTTCGCAATAATGACTATATCTTGTTTGGTTCCTCATGAGAAATATAGTACTGGTACCACGTGTCCCAAAGCCGCTTTCCTATGTGTTATACAGGCCCCCCACAGGAATTATTCTCTTCAGCTCTCTCTTTCTGTTACCAGGTTCTACGAGGCATAAGCCCCTACCTCCCATGCTCCTCCATGATCCTCGCCGAATCGTCGCTCTAAGGGTTTCCCTTGTACCTGCTGCTAACACTTGCTGCTGGCCTGCGAAGTCGTCCTTTGTAGGTAGCCCCGCTTGGAGCCCCTGCGCCACAACCTTGAATTCCAAGGACAAACGAGACCACTTTGGGTTTAGGGTTTGAGAGTTCAGAGCTCCCTACGAGCGGAGAGGAACGGAGTGCGATGATTCTGCAACGGACCCTCGAACAGCGGGCGCAGCGGCCATTGCAGGCACTGCAGGTCTGGGAACGACTCGTTCGCGAGCAGGCTTCGGCATGGTGGCAACCCATGACCGAGGTTGTGGATGCAGCCATGATTGGCTACACGCACGACTCAATCAGTGCACAGTGCAGCGGCGGCAGATCCCTTGATCAGCTGGTCTGGGATATGTGGTACTTGGAGGTTCATGGGAGCCCAGGACCCAAGGATAACGCTGACTGTCATGCGCACAAGGAGTGTCCGGAGTCATGTCTGTGTTATTTGGCTATGTTGGGGAGTCATCTGCGTTACCAGCCTCTGGTTGCCAGTCGAGCTGCTGACGGTTATTTGGACGTTGTTCGTGAAGTGCATAAATCACAACTGGCTATAGATCGTGGTAAACCCACAACCCTAAGGAAATCGATCCCAGCGAGTTTGTTGAGCAAGGCATGGAAGGCCTTCACGAGAGCTGCGCCTCCGTGTGCTCGATTGCACAAGTACTGATGCACAGAGGGCTTTAGGGAGCTCGGCTGAAGGGATTCAGGGCTTTTTCTCTGCTCAAAAACCCCTAAACCCTAAACCCTACCGTAACCCCAATAACCTGTCCTATTCAAGGATTTACCATAAGGAAATCATCGTAGGGAACCTGAAAGAGGAAGGTTCGACAGGGTCCAGGTAAACCCTAACTAGGACCCAGAGTAGGCCCTTATTCCCTTTTTTAAGGTTTCGGTTCTGTTATAACCCCCTTTAACCCAAAAAGGGCACCCTTTTTATTCCTAGGTTACTCTTGGGTCTAGCTAAACCCTAAGCCCTCAGGGTTTCAGGGCTAAGTTGTAAAACCCCCAAGTCGCCAGCCCTACAGCAGGTCATATCATATAGTATGATGTCATATCATATCATATCATCTGATGCAACATCACTTAGGGGTAATAAGAAATAATTTTGAATTTGTGTTGGTTAGAATCCCTAAGAAACATCTCTAATTAAAATTTTTGCTAGGGTTTATGATACAATATCATGTGATATGACACTTGATGATAGTATGTTGTGCAGACAGAGCTTGGAGGCCTTGTCTTTCTACATGCCTGGCTACCTCTGCTAGGGACCCTGAACTTAAGCCGCAGGCCCTAACCGGAAGAGCTTGGGGTTTATGGTTTAGGGTTTAGGGCTTCTACGGAACATCGTAAACTCCGAGGCCAAAGCGAAGGTACCACAAGAAGACATCAGGAATCAACCGTGCCAAGATAATCATACAGACTCTACACTCACAACCCCAAGACCCTGCATCCGAAGCTTAACCCGAAACCTTAAACCTTACACCCTAGACTAAGCCATGGGATTCCCCGTGCGCCTGCCAGGAACCTTTACGAATGAGACGGGTATGTCCAACTGTGCTCCACCTGCTTCGGGTTCAGAGTTTTACAGTACAAGCACAGTAGTTTGAAGTAGTCAGTTGTGTCTCTGCTAAGTTAGACACCAAGCTGAGGTTTTTATTCAGGGTTGATAACCTGCCTTGGGTCTAATTCCTGGTACGGCTAGAGGAAAGGTCACTACGGCTAACTGTGCTACCAACCTCAAGCGCTAAAGCATGCTTAGCTCATTAAACCAGAAGCTCCACCCGCAATGCTTAAGCTCAAAACCCACATACCCAAAGGCCCCAAAGTAGTTCCTTTTTGGGGTTCGTATATAGAACCCTATAGGGTAATCCCAAAAAGGAACTACTTTGGGCCTCTGGTTAGACCCCTAGCCAAAATAACAAAAACTAAAGCGCTACTTGCTCAGCCTTAAGCCGGCCTCCAGCTTGCTCTGATTCCAGCTTGCTCTGATTGCACGTTTATGAAGCTCAGCTGGGATAGCTCCTGTCTCGCGCTTCAGGGCAGTGCGGATTTGGATCCAAGCTTCTGGATTTTAGAGCTTAAACCCTAAAACCCCAAACCCCTAACCCTAAACCCTAAACCCTGAAACCCTAAACCCTAAACTTTAACCGCTAGGCATTCAGAGAGTAGGGCTTCAGGCTTTGTGGGTTCTCGGGCTTTGGGGATTTTCTGTGTGGCGCTCTGGGCGTTGAGGGTTTAGGGTTAGGGGCCTGGGGCAGCATATTGAGAAGGCAAGTAGTCGGGGTTTAGTCTTCAGGCTTCGGTCAGGGTTTAGGGTTTAGGGGCTCCCCTTGTCGATTCCTTGAACCCTTAGGGTTTGGGGTTTAATATAGAGGCCTCAATAATTAGAAACGGGTATTTCGGGGCCCATTATGCCACAATTACAATAAGGAACCCCCCCAAATAGTACGGGTAATTCGTTAGGTCCGTATATAGGGCCTTTAAACTTGGTTTCGCATAGATACCGCAGTGAGTGTCAAGTACAAGATGCCTGTTGCAACAAGCTGCCTGCTACTGTTAACCAAAGGGTCCACATATACTACCATTATGGAATCAGGCCCCAAAAGACCATCCCCGTGATGGTTTTGGGGGGGCTAGTTCCATAATAGCAATACATGTGGACCCTCTTGCTTGCGATAGTTTCCACAGCAGCCGCTAGCATTGATACTTTCGTCTTCTGGATCATGCTTAATGCCGTTCTAGCCAAGGTAATGCTTTGTTCTCAATTTCAGCGTTGTGTTCACGGACCGCTCCTTTCAGCAGTGGTGTGTTCGCCGTGTGTTGCATGGTTTTCATGATTCGTTGCTACGATGGCAAACATGTCCATCAACGATGGTCTCTTGTTTCTTGTTCATGCGTTGTGTTCTCGTAGTTCTTGTCATGGTTCCACTATGTTCTACTCCTCTTGCTACTTTCATCACTGTCGCGAGGCCTGGCTTCACGGGCCAAACCTGGTTTGATCTGTGGCTGGGGATGCCAAGCATGGAGTTTCAAGATTCAGGGGTTCGGCTATCGCGTTCGCTAGCCGAATGCATCAAAAGCCGAATCTGCGCATGCGAAGTTCCTGCTCAGACATAATCCCGAATCCGGCATGTTACTAATTCCCAAGGCTTTTATATGGAACCCTATTATTGTTATAGATCCCTTAAAGATCCCCTTTAAAAGGAACCCCTTAAATGGGCCCCTACGTTACTGCAGAGGTACAGCCTGCGATGTCGGACGCTTCTCGTCAACGGTGGCCTCAAGAGCCCAAGCTGCATGTTGCTATACTTTCCGGAACAATAATTTCCAAGTCAGGTCTGCTCAGGTCTTTGTATTCCATTATATTATATCATATTATATCGTTGTATATTATATCTTTATATTACATTACATTATATCATGTTATATTGTTGTATATTAGATCATAAGAAAACCGCAGTTCACTTTCCAAAGTTCCTCCGGACGCCTCTTCCATTCACGCTAAGGCCGAATGTACCAGACTGACTCAAGACTCTAGAGCAGGACGCCTTAAGCCGTACATGAAACATGGGGAACTTAATAATTACCTGTGCAAATGTGGGGGTTCCTTACTTTAATCCGCCCTGTGGCCCCCATATTATCGCATTTCTAAAAATATTAACTTCAAGGTCTTGTGTTAGAGAAGTGGCATCGTCACGAAAGTTTGTAAGCATACACCGAAAATCGTAGAAATAAAGCTTGCCTACTCGAAAAAGCAGGCCCTCACGCCGGCATGCACTGCTAAAGCAATATACTTCAAGCCCCTATTCTAATTATTAAGGCCCCGCTGGGCGGGTGGGAAAAAACCACCGAAAATACCCCTTATAGTACTCCTTCTACACCCCTTTAAAGGGAACCCCTTAAAGGAGCCCTGTTCTAATGAATAAGGCCCCAACAGTATCGGAATCCTCTTCCGCTCCCTTCTTCAACCCTAGATCCTGATGCTCAAAGCTTAAACGTAAAAGCCTCCACCCTCGAGCCTGACGCCTTGAATTGGGAGTTTCCGGAAATAGGGGTACCATATTTAGGGGTCCTTATAATAAGGATCCTACTATTTAGGGTACTATATTAGGGTCCCCTATTTTCGGAAACCCCCAAATAGTATGGGGGCCTTAATAATTAGAATAGGGTTTTCTGGCCTGCAAAAATTATAACACGGAACCCCCAAAATAGTATTGGTAATTATTCATGCCCCTACAGCAACCCAAGCCGCAATGTTACGGCCTGTTGGTGCTTGCATGTTGTGCCCTAAGCCTTAGGCCCAGCCCAAAGCTCAAAATCCTGCACCCTAAACCCTGGAACCCTAAACCGATGCCTTAAACAAACCCTAAACCGAAGCCCCAAGCCCTACCTTAAGGCCACGTGACCTACCTTTTTAAGGACTCATATAAAGAAATCATATTAGGAAACCCTAAAAAGGTAGGTTCCTTAGGGTCCAGGTAAGCCCTAAAACCCTAGGCGGTTGCCTCTTTTGCAACCCGGGCACCCACGCGAACCGCACGGGCCTGGCCCTGTGCGACAAATGCCCAAAAGGCCCAAGGGGGCGGGACCGAAAATTCAACATTGTCGTTGGCTCTGGAAGGGGTTTAAGGGTTTTGGGGTTCGGAGTTTAGGGGTTTAGGGTTTTGTGGTTTGGGCCGTAGGGTTTTAGAGTCTAGAGTTTTAGGATTTTGGCTTTACGGGGTGTTCAAGAGAACTGTGTATGCCCATGATTCGTTGTTGATGTTGGGTTCCCAAAGAGCTCAATACCTCTTACTTGAAGATTATACCTTAAACCACAGAATGAAGCCTTCTATGTGGTATATCACGTATTTACCCTTCAACTAGGAGGTTTGGAGCTCTTTGTGTTTCTGTTACTTTCACGAGGGTGGTTGGAATTGGCGCTTCGAGCTGGCGGGATTAAGAGATTGTTTGTTTGTGGGATTTTGGGTGTTAGGTGCCCTTATAGTGCCCTTCTAGTAGCCCTTTAAAGGAACCCTTGTAGTGCCCTTATAGTAAGCCTTTAAAGGAACCCTTATAGTGCCCTTCTAGCAACCCTTGGATTTCATGGTCGGGTTTGGTTCTAGGGCTTCGAGCCCTAAACCCTAAACCCTAAACCCTAAACCCGAAACCCTAAACCCGAGGGTTTGGGGTTTCGTGTTGTGGTTGACGGGTGTCGGGATTGGGAAGTCAGTGTCGAAGCAAAGCAGGTTCTCAGCGTGGTTACAGGTTTAGGGGTTTAGGGTTTAGGGTTTAATTGCCTTTTTACAAGGGTTGCATAAGGATTTTTCTATAAGGGTTCCAGATGGGCTTCTATCAAGATCTTTTTTACTGGCGCTTTCCCCTTGCAACTAAACACCGTCACCCTTCCACACTAACAATCCCTACCCGGAGTATTGGGTTTGTCGGGGTTGTCTGGGTCTAGCGTCTTGGAATAGCTGAAAGCTGCTTCTTCACGATCCTGTACTCCGGAATACCCAAAGAAATGGGCTTACAACTCCTTTGCAATAGCCTGAAATCTGAAATTGCCATCACATTCACATTGTCTTTCTGAACATGGAGGAAGCAAGTGCGTGGTTTAGGGTTTGTGGTTTCGGGATGGTACTTGGAGTTGCTGCAACCGTGGCTTGCAAAAATGCCAAGCCGTAACAGCAGGCACCTACTTCAACGATTCTGGTGCAGTGCACTGCACGAAGTGCCCTTTGAATTTGACTACGCAGGACCCAGGGGACACAGGTCTTGGAGTTTCGGGTTTAGGGGATTACTAAACCCTAACCCGTCTTAGAGTTTCTGCTTCGGTGTTTCAGTCTGACACTGGCCACTTGGGGACTTAAACATCATGCGCATGCGCCCTGAGCTGTGCATGCAGGAAGCCTTAAACCTAAACTCGAGACTCCCGACGTAAGTCAAAGTCCTAAATCGTAAGCCCCTAAAACCTACCCACATCAAAAGCTTCCGACTCTCATTCTGCATCTTCTGAGCCTTGACCCCTGCGCCCTGCAGGCCATAGGACAGATGTAGGGTGGCAGGTCTGGGCTAGTAGGAACGCTAGCATGCCCTTGCCACCAGAAACCTGTCACGACGCCCACACACGTACTGGTAGCAGAGTAGGATTAACCTGCAGTGCGAAACCCTGCAAACTTGCAGGTTATGGACCCATGATTATGGAATGTGCCCGCGGAAGATAGTCAGCTTTGACCTCCACAATTTCAGTGTGTAACCCTTGTCGCAGTAGGTGGTTGGATCCATAGGTAGGGTTTAGGGGAAGCTCTCGGATTCGGGAGTATGTAGGGCCAGGTAGGCTTTAGGGCTTAGGGTTCTACTTTCCCTTAATGGGCGTAAGAGGACCTTATATACAAATCCAAGCCCATGCTGAAAAAAGGATTTACTATAGAGGCCTGAAACATTACCTATACTATTCTGCTGGTTCCTAATTATAATTATAGTATAACGGGCCCCAAGACCCTATTCCAATTATTAAGGCTCCTGCATTCTGGCCTTCGGGTTATATAAGGGTTTCCTGGCCGTGTGCTCTCCATTCAAAAAGCCGAATCCCTAAACCCTACTTAGGATCATGGGACTTAGTACTTGGGGTTATGAATAAGGTAACCATACTTGTAGTTTCTTATAACCCCAGTTAAGGTACTTATAACCTTACCTACTAAGTCCCATGATCCTCCAAGTATAAACCCTAAACAGGCCGGATCTCCGGTGCCTCAGGGAATCTGGCCCAAGGCGTATCAAGACCCTATAATCTGAGTACTCCTTTTAGGGTTTAGGGTAAGGGGTTCCTTTAAGGGATCTATAGGGCTCTAGGGGTTCTATAAGGGCTCCTAGCAAGCCGAGTAGGCAACCTTTAACCTTTTGGGGTTCATAGAATCTTACAAGGTTGATCTTTTCTGGGCTGGGGTTCTCAGCTCCTACAAGAACTCCCTTCAAAGACTCATTCGAAGGTTTTTGGGCAATTACCCAGAGGCCTCAAGGTAGTTCCTTTTTGGGATTACCAAATAGGATTCTATATACGAACCCCAAAAAGGAACTACTTTGGGGCCTTTGGGTAGCTGGCACACGTCATTCGCACACAGCCCCTAAACCCTAAACCCTTCAGCCCAAATCCTCAACTCCCAACCTGAACCTCTAAACCTCTAAACTTCCTTGAACCCCTAATTTAGGGGGCCTAAAGAATTACCAGTACTATGTTGGGGATTCCTTACTATGATTGCAGTATGAGGGGCATTAAACCCTTAAGCTTTCCTAAACAGCTAAACGTTGTCATAGTTGGGTAGCATTTTACATTTGTATGGGTACTTAGACCCAAATTATGAATAAGAATGCAAATTTTTAATCCTATCCCAACCATGAACTAGCAAACTTGTAGCCCTGCAACGCCTCGGCGAGGAGTCGGGTTCCATCGATTTCTCAGAATGTCTGTGTGCCGAGGGGACCTTCCTTTGTGAAGGCTCTCGACTGGGTGCGGCTATCAGGGGTTCTTGCAAGGGTTGCCTATCAAGGGATCCATAAGAGTTCTATTGGGTTTTCTGTGATAAAAACCTTCTATAAGGGTTCCTACCAAGGGATCTATAAGAGTTCTATTATGGTTGAAGGTTTAGGGGGTTCAGAGTCGTTGAACTGCTAGTACTTGCACGAGGTCACGCAGGGCCTGAGCCCTAAACCTTAACTCACTTTTGATATTGGAGGAGCTCAGGAGCCAGGGATGATGATAATCCCTATTAAATAAGGAGCTAAAGAGCAGAGCCAAGGGACCCCCGAAAACCACTGGCTAGCTAAGCCCTCAGCCTGGTGTAAAGTGTTGTTACTTGGAGGTTCATGGGACTTAGTAACTAGGGTTATAAGTAGGGTAACTACACTTATATGTACTTATAATCCCAATTAGGGTACTTATAACTGTACTTACTACGTCTCATGAACCTCCAAGTATAAGTCGTCAAGGCTTAGTTTCTTAGTCCGTGGGCTTTAAATCAGTCAAGTACGTCAAGCTGTCGTTGGGCTGCGCACTTTTGGTTGTATACTCTGCTCATCTGCGGACCCCAGCAGAAGGCAGAAGTTGCACCGAATCGCTTCAAGCGCGGGACACGACTGACTGGAACTTGCCCTGCACGAAGACTCAACCCCAGACCACAACAAATCCAAAGCCAAGATTTACTCTGGACATTTTATGTTTTCCTTATTGGGCTTAGTAGGACCCTACTTACGAAAGTTTTTAAGAGGCTTTAAAGGGCCAACCTAGTTTAGGAGCCTCAATCCGAACCTGCAAGTCCATCAGCACCCAACGAGCCCAACTGCAACAAGAAAGCGCATGAGAAGCTTGATCAACCCCAAGAAAGTTCAAGGGCGAGACATCGACCAAGCCATTGGAAAGACCAACCCAACCCTAAAAGCACCAAAAACCTTACACCCTAGACCCTAAACCGTAAACCCTAAAGCGTAAACCCTAAACCCTAACATGAACCGTGAGAGGCTTGGGTTGTCTTCCCTGTCCTGGTGGCCTGAACTGCCCGGCGGGGCGGGGACCGCCCCTACGACAAGCAGGCGCTGTGCTGCGGCCTTTTCGGGGCCGTCATGTCGAGTTTTCCACTCAAGGGTTCATCGGACTTGGTAGCTACATAGGGTCATAAACAGGGTAATTAGCTATACAAGGGTTCATCGGACTTGGGAACCAGGGTCATAAAAAAAGGGTAACTATACTTTTGCTTCTTGCAGCTTTGGTTGGCCGTGCATACATTTCATTTGCGGGTTCTGTCAACGACAACCCTCTCCTGCACACCTACGGTTGATGATATATATCCTGCATTACCTTAAGGACCCTAAACTATGGGAATTATGGTATATTCCTTATTATGGATAATGCAGGATTTATATCATCAACCGTACGTGCAGCCAAACCCGAAACCTGGACTAAGCGCTAAACCTCAAAGCTTAAACCCTAAGCTTCTACGGTGAGGGTCAGGGTGTCGGGGTTAGGGCTGTGAGGGTTTAGGGTTTAGGGTTTAGGGTTTAGGGCTTAGGATAACCCCAACAAGAAGGAACATAGGAAATAAGCACACGATACACGCATTGTGAGGATTGTTTGCACTGCGGATGGGTATGTACACATACAACCATTGCATTATATACATTACATGACATTACATTACATCACATTACACTATAACACAATACGCTACATTGCCTTACATGGCATTCAAACTGAAATACATACATACTTATGTTCCAGATGAACTGAAGAGCTTGTTCGTCAAATCAGTTAAGACCTAAACCCCACACCCTATTGAGTGCCTCCGACCCAGAATTCCTGGACTGGAGCTTTGGGACCCTGGATGTTGATGCCCTTGCTCTCATAGGGGTTTAGGGGTTTAGGAGTTTAGTGCTGTAGGGTTTAGGGTTTACGGTCTAGGTTTAGGCCCGTAGCGTAGAACATGGCCCCAGAATAGAAGCATTGTGGCCCTCACGGCGCCCAAGTCAGGCCTAAACCACGAGAAGCACACACTAAGCGTACTAAAAGCATACACGATCCAAAACCCAATGCTGTGTCAGAGCCTTCAAGAGGCTTAAGGGAAGCGCATCTAGCCGAATAAGAAGCCAGGGTATTGGTCTCCCGCGGGAGTGCCCGAGCAGTGTACCTTCAAAGTCCTGCGGTGTCGGAACGGAGTCTGTGGCAGCAATTGGTTTAGATATTAGGGTCTTAGGGCAATGTCCAGGGGGTCTTGGGGTTAAGGGTCTTGGTTGATTACTGTAGCGGTGATAGTTTCAGTTGATATGAGCCGTCGGGCAGGGTTCAATCTAGTTCAACTTTGGGCTCAAGGCCATGCGTGGAGAAGATGTAACGGTTCGTTTGTGAGCACTAACGAAAAACTACCGGGTTTACGGTCGCTCTGCCGAGTTGGATTTCCGGTGCATCCTCAAAACCTGAACCAATAAGCCCGAACCTACTAGCATCATCTTGCTGGGGAGGCCGAAAGCCGCAAAAAACAGACCTCTACAAGCTTCACGCCACATGAGCCATCGGCAGTGCCAGATCGTCCCTATATACATGAGGGTTAGCGTTGGGAGTTTGGCCCAGACGTGAGCCCAAGAGGCCTGTTACAAAATGAGAGCTACACCGCACTAGACACCGAAACCCTGCGAAGGACCTTAATAATTACCTATACCATCGTGGGGATTTTCTTATCATGATTATAGTATAGGGGGAAATTTAATTGTATTAAGGCGGCTATATTAACCTCCCCATAATACCCCTTATAGAGCCATTTAAAAGGATCCCTTCAAGGAACCTTATTCTAATTCGTAAGGCCCCTATATTACCCTAACTACTCAGGCTCGCTAAGGCCCCTAAACCCTAAGCCCGCGCGGAAAGCTTGCGGTTTAGGGTTGAGGGTTTAGGGTTTAGGAAGAAGCGGGGCTGTAACCGGGCTGCTGGACAACGAGGCCTGCTGAATAAAGGGTTTCGGGTGCTTGGCGAGGATACTATATTAACCCGCCATAGTAACCCTGAGTAATCCTTATAGAGCCCTTTAAACGGACCCCTTGAAGGAACCCTATTCTAAGAGGATACCAATGCACGGAGAACGCGGTGCTCGGGGAGTGCCCAGAGGGGCGGATGGGCGATGCGTGCACGATTTGCTCCTCGGCCGGCTTGCGATGTAGGCTTTAGAGGCTGGCTGAAAATTCAATGTTGAGGGTTCGGTACATCGATGATACACAAGGAAAATGGCTGTGCCTGAAGTCCGGATGTGAAGTTGCTGGGCTGCTTGTGAATTGTTTTTTATAAAACCTGTTTTTATAAAAAACAATTGTTTTTATAAAAACGATGAGGGTATGTATGTTGCACTGTAGCTCCTCCTCAAAGCCGGGTTTCGGGCTTAGAGGTCCCAGGTCAAGGTTTTGCATTGTCTGAATCCTCCTAAAGTAAAAGCCAGAAATTTGGAATATGATTATCCTAAACCGTTTATGGTAAATTATAAGGTATCCTACCCTGAAACCATATTCCAACTTTCTGGAGTTCCCTTTAAGCGCACCCCAGACGCTGAGGCCGCAAATCGAACTTGACAAGCCATAGGCCCAAAACCCCCAACCCCATGTAGGCTTTATTAAGAGTGCCACACAGGGGTTTAGGATTTACGTTGTACAGGGCACTGTCAGGCTTCTGTGAGGGTTTCCATTATAGGCTAAAAGGGTTTAGGGGCTTATGCGGTGTTTTTGAGGTGTTCACTTTAAGTTGGGGGTTCGAAGTTGCTTACCGCAAGAAACCCGAACATGGTTCCTGATCTACTTCCCCACACAACAGACCTCAAGGACCATATGAAAGTAGGAGCTCACTACCCCTATGTATTTTGCATCCCGATGTGGCATATGTTGTATGAACCTTAACCTTTTCGGGATAATTACATCTCGAAGTAACGGACCCACACCCTGAACGCGCTCCAAGATCCGACAGTCTATGTGCATGCGCGCTTAAAGGATCATGGGACTTAGGAAGTTAACGGTTAAAAGTACCATAATTTGGTGTTATACGTAAGTATGAGTAAAGTTACGGTAGTTGTACCCTAGCTCCATGAACCTTCAAGTATAGCCCCAACATCCGAAGCCCATCAACAGTAAATCATAAACCCCTCAAGCCCCAAGTCTCACGACGTAACCATGAAACCCTAGACTCTGAGCCTTAAGCCAAAAGCCCTATACCGATGTTACAGACCAGAAACCCTAAACCTTAAACCCGTCCCAACCTGACGTCTAAGGTTATTAGAAGTAGGGGCCCCCAATATGGACCCTTAACCTTCTAGAGGGAGTTCTAGGGACATGTAGGGCATATAGTAGGTATTTAAGGATTCCAGGGTTAAGGGCTCATGCTAGCGGCCCATTCTTTCAAGCGTTGATGAAGGCAAGCCTAACCACTATCCGGCTCCCATGGGTGAATGCGCCGCTCCCTGACTGCTATAGCCTATTAGTAGAGTAGGTAGCCTTTAACCTTTTTGGGGTAGTATAGTCCCTATGTAATCCCTATATAACCAACGAGGTTAACCTTTCGTTCCCCATGATACCCGACAAGTAGGAAACCCTAAACCCTAAACCCCTAGGGTGTATAGTCCCTATGTAATCCCTATATAACCAACAAGCTTAACCTTTAGTTCCCCATGATACCCGACAACTAGGATAGATTTGAGCTTCCGGCTGAAGGCCTGTCTGAAGGACCAAGTAACACTGGCGGTTGATGATATAAATCCTGCATGACCCCATAATTCCCATTGTTTAAAGTCCTGAAGGTAATGTAGGATTTTACCATCAAGAGTATTTACAGCGATTTTATACCCTGACACTATGGCGCCCCAGGTATGGGTAGTTGTCAAAATTATGGGCCCTTTTTGGGTACCCTAAATATTAGGTGCCGTATTATAATAAGGACCCAAAGAGGGACCCTAATTTTGACAACTACCCATATGGTAGATGAGCCTAGATGTGCCTAAACCCTTAAGGGAACCCTGAAAGGAACCCTAAAACCCTAAACCCTTAAAGGAACCCTAAGCCCTTAAAGGAACCCTGAACCCTAAACCCTTAAAGGTAGATGAGCCTAGATGTGAGCCCAAGGCCGAACAAACCTGTTTGAAGGACCACCTAAGACTTAAAAAACAGGGCCTCTGCACCCTTACCTTACGGTTGTCCAGCATTACCCATAATAAGGAATATGCCATAATTCCCATAGTTTTAGGGTCCTTTAGGTATTGCAGGATTTATATCGTCAACCGTATGCAACGCCACATGGTAGATGTACCCACAACCCATTTACAGTTCATTCCGTCCTTAAGGTATATGGTTCATTTCATGATGGCAGAGCACTCCAGTGTGGGTCTCGAGATCCTTGCTGAGTGTGAACCCGCAATAATCCCTACACCCCCAAGGTATTCTCTCGGCGTAAACGGGGTTTCTTGTGTTGAACGGCCTTAACAGACCGTCGGCATGTGGTGTACGCTAGCGGGAATGGGCTACATCCACACCGCGAGGACTACTCCCTCAAGTTGGCAAAGGCAATCGACGTCGTGCTGGAAGCGGAAACCATCGACCTGGGTGCCCTGAGAGAAGCCAATCGCATCTCGCCCTTCACAGAGATCGCGAAGGCGGCAATCAGCAAGGAACTCCTCCAGACCTTGGGGATCTCCAAGACCTTGACTGGCGACAAGAAGAAGGAGACGACGAAGGACACCAGCAAGCCCTCGAAGCCGGATCCGAGCCTTCGTGAATCGGTGGTTTGCAGTAGCGGTCTGGGATTCATTTTGGGTTGGAGGCCAAGTCATTCATCCCCTAATAAACCCTAAGCCCCGAGACCCTAAACCCTAAACCCCTCCACGGACTCCGAACCACATGCCTCGCCTGGATTGTCCGAGTGCGCCGAAACCCTAACCCGGGATTCCTTTCCCATAGTTGGATAACATTTTACATCTTTATGGGAACTTAAACCCAATAAGGAAAATGTACATTTTTAATCCTATCCCGGCCATGAACTAGATTCGATGCCCCTCCGAAGAACAGAAGCACTCGCTTGTCGGAATAAAGCCTGGTCAGCTGAGGGGTCTTCGGTGCATTGGCACAAAAAGGGGCCTAAATGATTCGTTACCGGTACTACTTTGGGGTTTCCCTAATATGATTATAGCATAAGATACCCCAAAACCCCTATTCTAATTCTTAAGGCCCCTATGTTACAAGAACACCCACGACAAGCTGTAGCTGCACCTTCGCAGGATGTAATCGGCATTTTCTGATGTGTTGGTGTCGAAGATGTTTCTATGTAGAGCCCTGACTAAAAGAGGGCTCTCGAAAATAGTTGTTTGTTGTTGAACTTCGATCACACCCACAGGCTACAGCCTAGACCCATACGTGCGGCGAACACCTGATATTTTGGGACGACATCGCGGGAACCCAGCGGAGGTGAGGCGAATCAACCCTAATTAAAAGGAACCTGTACAACCTCACCACGAAACTGCGTTTAAGCAACACATGCAGAAACGCTGCAGAACATCAAAGGACCATCACGCGATGAAGTTTTCATAACCCAAAACCCGACAGCCAGCCCCGAAAGCCTAAGCCCTGCACTGTATTACTCCCGAAACAGCCGAAACCCCCCAGCCTACAACCTAAACCCGAAACCGCTCACCGTAAACACATAAGCACTTGCATGCTACGCCATATGGTTCTGGACAGGTAGTATGGTGACACAGTTCCTTTTTGCGCATGGCCTGTGGTATGATGGATCTCGGTTCATGGGTCTTGTGTCATCGTAGCCAGGGCAGTGACAGTGGAGACTCGCACATGCCTTGCCTGCGTTGAGCGAGTGTGAAACCCGAAAACCGAAGCATAAAAACCCTAAACCCTAAACCAGTGGACTCGTAAGTAAAAGAAAACTTCAATGAAATCGGTCACGATCTCGTCAAACCCTCAAAGGAGCCTTGACGGGAACCCTAAACCGGTCCCCGGAGTGTCCTTCGCTTTGCCCAGTATAGGGCATACAAGGGTCTGATTTTGTTAACAAAAGTTTTGGTGTAGTTTAGAACGGACAGCACTATTCACAAGAGTGGCACAAAATGAACAAGAGCCACAAATCACTAAACCGCACACACTAAGCCCTAAACTCCAGAAAACCCTATATAGCCCCCCCAGCCCCAAGCGCGATCCTACAAAATCTCAGATCTGCGAGCCCGTGCATGTCCTGGTGGCGGTTGTGGCCACTCTCTTCGTGACGTTCTTCTCCGTAATGTCACCCAGTGGGCACAGGGGGTAAGATTAGGGACCCAAAAAGCACATAAGCATGAGCATTTTATCACTACCTTATGGGGGTTCTTGAAACAGGGGTTTGTTTGGGATATCCCTATCCTAATTTTTGCTTATGTCACCCGGTGGGCACAGGGGGTAAGAGTTGCTCTTCAGGTTCCTTTGGGGTTGCGTTGCTTTCAAGGATCTTTCCTGGGTTCCATTGAGTGTAGTATAGGTTTTAAGGGTGTAGGGGTTTGTTTTCTCCCTTGATTTGCTTGAGCTGGAGAAAAAAGAGAGACAGAGAGAGAGAGAGAGAGAGAGAGAGAGAGAGAGAGCGAGAGAGAGAGAGAGAGAGAGAGAGAGAGAGAGAGAGAGAGAGAGAGAGAGAGAGAGAGAGAGAGAGAGAGGGAGAGAGAGGGAGAGGGAGAGAGAGAGAGAGAGAGAGACGAGATAGAGAGACAGACGACAACAAAAAACATTACATAAACCTTCGACAGGCTTATTAAGCACAGCCCCTGAAACGTAGTCAAAGGCGCAGGATCCCTAATGGAAGGATGATAGAGCCCTTGCATGAAAGTTCACTTTAAGCCCTTACAACAAACTCAAACCCAAAACCCCTAAACCCGAAACCCTTAAGCCCTAAGCCCTAAACCCAAAACGTCCCACTAATGACCCTGACAGACTCCAGATTACGCCGTAAGCGCTTTGAACTCCCAAACCGAAAACCTCAACCCAAACTCTGACTCCACTTGGAGGTTCATGGGACTTAGGAAGTACTTAAAGGGCTCCTTTAAAGGCTCTTTGAAGGGGTCAATAGGGTTCCTTAAAGGGATCTAAAGGGTTTAGGGTCTAGGGTTCTACTTGGAGGTTCATGGGACTTAGTAAGTACTTAAAGGGCTCCTTAAAAGGCTCTTTAAAGGGATCTATAGGGTTCCTTAAATCTATAGGGTTTAGGGTCTAGGGTTCTACTTGGAGGTTCATGGGACTTAGTAAGTACAGTTATAAGTACCTTAACTGGGGTTATAGTGAATTGTAAGTATAGCTACCCTATTTATAGCCCGAGTTACTAAGTCCCATGAACCTTTATGTAGACTGTACCCTCAACCACTTGGTGGCGTTTTTTGAGAGGGTTTCATGAGGGCTTCGAGATCAGTTGTAGGGTTTGTGTTTCTGGGAAAAGTTGCGGAATCGTGGGACAAGTCGGGCACAAGTCTATCGCTGCAGAGGCCTCCTAAAACCCAAACTCCTAGCAGCAGACATCGCAGCATCGCAGCAACTCCGAACCGGTCTGAACCCTTTCAAACCAACTGTGCCAGTATCCCCGAACCCAAAGACTTAAAACCAGAAACCCCGAACCCCAAACCCGTAGCATAAGTAGGACCCTTCAGAAGCTCGGGTGATTGGTTTATTGGTGCTTCGAGGTTCCTGTCGAACATCAACACCGACCTTCACCAGATGCTTGGAAGGGTTTTGCTGCAGGGATTGGGGTCCAGGTATAGGTGTGAGTTTCCAAAAATTAGGGGTACCTTTTTTGGGGGTCCTTATGATAAGGATCCTACCCTACTATTTGGTCTACAATATTCGGGTCCCCTGTTTTCCGAAACTCCAGGTGTAAGATGGTGTAACGGCCTTTGTGCCGTTGATTGGTCCAACCCATACAAGTCCGCTATGCGTTTAAGCCAGAACGGCCAACGGAAGACAACCCTGACCTTGCAAAGGACACTCCAGGACAAGATTGAATGCCTTAGATCCCCAATAGCTAACCTTTAAACTTTTTGGGTTCTTATAGTTTAGAAGGGATCGGAAAGTTTAGCTATTCATTTCTGTGGCTTATCGGGGAGTAAGATGTTAGCTGTAGGCTAGCTCTGGATTTGAGCCCCAGAAGAGGAGCAGGGATCGGAATGCAGACCCTGACAACATGATCTTTATTCGATGGGCCTATGAGCAAGGCGGATTTTCAGATTTTCGACTTTCACAAGTGCATAAGTTTTGCCTCCATTTCTGCCCTGAAGTTTGCAGTCGTCACCCTGCCCTCCGGTTCCGGTTACGAAGGTTCGACCTCAAGGACTCAGAGTAGGCCCTTATTCCCTTTTTAGGCGTTTAGGTTCCCTTACAACTCCCTTTAAACCAAAAAGGGCAGCCTGTTTATTCCTAGGTTACTCTTAGGTCTAGGCATCTACTTTCTATAAAAAACATAAAACTAGGTATCCTGATAAAGGGGTAGTAGGTTTGGTCTACTTAAAGGTTCATGGGACTTAGTAACTCGGGTTACAAATAGGGTAACTATACTTACAATTAATTATAACCCCAGTTAAGGTACTTATAAGTCATAAGTGTACTTACTAAGTCCCATGAACCTCCAAGCAGTGAATGTTTCGGCGGGCATGATGCTTCAGCCCAGGGTCTAATCATTTTCATATGGGCGGTTGTCAAAATTAGGGCCCCTTTCGGGGCACCCTGAATGTTAGGGTCCGTATTATAATAGGGACCCCAAAAGGGACCCTAAGTTTGACAACCACCCATATGTAGCGGAACTACATCGGGCATGATGATGCTTCAGCTGAGGTTTAGGGTGTAAGAAACTTCTGTTCTGAGAATGAATATGTAGCGGAACTACATCTTTGCCGCGGCAATCTGCTTTCTTGTCTAGTCCTTGTGGCTTTTGCCAGCGTCCGAGTTAAATATTTCTGGCTCAACTGCTTAACAAGTTCGAAACCCTTCAATATGTATGCCCAAAACTTGGACGAGTTTTAGAGTTTAGTTTTGTTTGGGAACCTGGTGGAAGAAGCTACGACGATCATGATCCTTCAAGCAGCTTTAAACCTCCAAGCTTCAACCCTTCGCCACAAAGCCATGAACCCTAAACCCTAAGTCCCTGAACCAGGAAGAGTTTGAGCTTGTTAACGGTCGCGCTGATTGGCGGTCAACTCGTCCTAGCTGTGCAGGCCGGATTTTGAGCAAGTTAGCAGTTCCGGGTTCAGGGTTTATGTAGGAACCCGGTTAGGAAACCTTGGGCCTTTATTAGGGTTCCTTATGAACCCTATGTTTTTGGGGTTATAGGCCCAGGGTTTCTGATCAGGTTGATTGTTCAATGCCGGCACAGCCGTAAACCCTCAAGACCTGAAGCTCGCAAATCGCAGGCGCTTGGGTCCATCCAGAGGACGAGCATCAGTTGCTTTGCTTGAAGCATAGGGTTGAGGGCTCAGACATCTGGACTTTTATAGGGTTTCGTAGGTTCAAGGGTGTAGGTATAATACTCCAGGTAAGTATTCGCTTACCCGTGGCCGCAAGCCGTAAGAAATTGCAGGTTGCTATGGGACGAGAACCTTCCTTGACCCCAGAGACTCCAATATCCCTGAATTAAGGAATACTCCTTAAATCATATTAGGGATCTTAACTTAATTTAAGGTATATTCCGTAACTAAGCGATATTGGAGTCTCTGAGATCGTGAAGCTCCCGGAGACTCTAAACCCTTTGCTTTCGGAACACCTCTTCAAACCTTGGGCACGGCCCCCACTCAGTCATAGTTGAGTAATATTCATAATATAGACATATTAGGACCTTAGTCGTAGCCCAATTATAGACTCTTTCTGCCGGGGGGCAGTACCTAGTTCAAACCTATGATGTAGACCCGGGAATCACCATCCCACGGCTCCTTGAGGCGCTCATTGGGGTTTCGGGTTTAGGGTTTACAGTAGAAGCCAGAAAGTTGCAAGATCATTAGCCTCACGCCCTTAAAGCAAAGTATAGGGAATCCGAGCACTGATCCTCCGAAATCCATGTTCCAACTTTCTGGTCTTCACTATAGGATATCAGGGATCCCTATGATGATCCCTAGCAGGGGAGGCGGGATCTATTGACCAGGGACCTACATGCTTCCTAGGCTTGGTGCCTTCATATGGGTGGTTGTCAAAATTATGGTCCCTTTTAGGATCCTTCTGATAATACGGCACCGAATATCCAGGGTACCCAAAAAAAGGCCCTACTCTTCTCAACTACCCATATGGGAATCCTGTGGCGCTCAGAGTGCTTGTGCTGCCAACAATAAAGGGGTCTAGGTTTAGGGTTGAGGGTTTAGGGTTTAGGTTTGGGATTTAGGGTTTAGGGTTTTGAGGGGGATAGCTCCCCTGCCCTTCTCAAACAGAAGCAATGCATAACCCACTAGCTTGAACTCCGTAGTATGGGGTACGGATCTACAGCTCCTTACACAGCCTAAATCCTAGCCCCCGAACCCGCAAATCAAGCCTTGGCATCTAAATCCGCTTTTCAAAGTCGGAGGATTGCCAGTACAAATTGACAAGGTTTCCCATACATCAGGTCCTAAGCCCTTAGCCCGGTTGAGGATTAAGAGCTTAGTGTTTAGGGATCAGCAGCCTTCGAGGATGGGTGCCACCGGTCCGAGACATCATCGCTGCTTGGCGTTTCAGGGGTTTAGGGTGTCTAGGTTGCAGGGCTTCGGGGACCTAGGGGGTTAGGATTTCCATTCTAGGGTATGCAGGGCTTAAGGGGTACCCTAGTGTGTAGAAGGGTGCATGGTGTTCAGGGTTGGAGTCTCCGAGCTGCCGGTTTCAGGGTATAAGAGGTTTAGGATTTCGTGGCGTAGACGCGTGCAGTCACGTGGTCGTTTTCCACATCCGTATTTGGGGAGGAGGGGCCATAGGCGATAGAGTTTAGTTTTGTGTAAAGGGTCTGGGTTGAGGGCTAGCGGGCTGTGGCGATAGCAGTTCACCTCGGGAGTGGGAGTGCTGAGCAGTAACACAGAAGCTTGGCTGTCTGCCAATATCATTCCATAAGGCTGCCGATTATGGGTAAAGCCCTTACATACCTAGGATGCCCAGTAGTACCCTTATTCCCTTTTTGTAGTCCTAGGTTCCTTATAAAGTTACCCAATACCAAAAGAGATGCCTTTTTATTCTTAGGTTACTGGGTATCCTAGATACCCACTCCCCAAACCCATTCAAACCATGAAGGCCCCCATGGTGAGACTCTCCGGGCTTCCTCCGAGCGAATGGCTACAACCCCAATCCCTAACTCAGAGTCGGACACCGACAGGATTCTTCCTGTTGCCAAGGTTGTCAAAACCGCCTTGACTGCCCTGAGCATTGGATTAAAGCAGGAGTTCCTCAATTAGTTTGTCTTTCAAGATCAGCCTTTCCCAGCATCGGTCACGAAGCTATATGGAGATTTGCGCTGGCTGGACGCCTGGTTGGCGCTTTTCCCGCCTTATCTTCACACTCTCTCACTTTCCAGCAACCTCCCTCCTTCTCTGCGGATTCTGATGGTCCTGAGTGGGCCAAGAAGGTGGACGATGGCATATGGTTTGCATGAGAGTGGTTCCACTTGGAGCATGGGTGCGTAAAGCGACAGTGCACCTCTCAGGAGGTTGGAGACTTCATTGACAACCTCCCGGGTGACCTGCAGACACTCTTTCCGTCACCGCCTTCTCATGAGCAGGCTTCACATGAAGATGTGAAGTACGCTGAGGATAGCGGTGAGGAATTATATAGGGGCCCAAAAGGCACATATATACGCAAAAACTTTTTATGGGGATATCCCTACCTTATTGGCCTTCCTTTTAAGGGGGCTTATATGGGATATCCCTCTCCTTGTTTTTGCTTATGTGCTTTTTTTGGGCCCTAAGGAAGGAGACTCGCTTAGGTGACTCTCATTACGTCGTCGACGAAATTGGCTTTTCATGTATTGGAATAGAGTGGAGCTTGGTGGAGTTGAGCACGGTGACGCTGGCGGAAAGCTTGTATAGTCCCAAAACCCAGAAGGTGCACAAAAACACCCTGCCTCAATGATTAGGATTAGGGATTGCGGATAGCCGAAAGCTATTTGATGATTGATACCAGTAATGAGTAATGAGTCAGGTTTCTGAAAGCTCCAAAGATATGGGTAGTTGTCAAATTTATTATATGGCCCCTTTTTGGGTACCCTACATATTAGGTGCCGTATCATAATAAGGACCCAAGAGGGGGACCCCAATTTTGACAACCACCCAGACGTAGACAGTAAGGCCTGAACCGCAGTAAGGCCTGAACCCCTACTTGGAGGTTCATGGGACGTAGTAGGTACAGTTACAGTATAAGTACCCTAATTGGGTTTATAAGTACATATAAGTATGGTTACCTTAATTATAACCCTTGTTACTAAGTCCCATGAAGCTCTAAGTAGACTGCAAAAAGCCCGGATCCAGGTTCTTACCAAGCTCGCTTTCTTCGAATTCGATTTCATACGGATCTCCTGCATGTTCGCCTCAGATGACCCGGTGACCCGGCTCAGCAAAGATTTTGGTGGGGTGCAAGTCAATTCTATGTGTCGGTTTGTTAACATAAGGGAAAGCTTGCTATGCGGCCCTCAGAATAGGGGTGCTGCGATTTGTTGCTGTTTGTAGAGGCGATGCTTCTTGTCTGATACGTTTTCCTTATTCTCGGTGATGGTTTGTTTGGGTTTTGGTAGGGCTTAGCATCGAAAGTGCTGTTCTTTCGTTGTGAGTTTTTTATTTATTCGAGGGGTCTGAGAACTTCGTAGGCGGAACTGTCTTATAGTCACAAGACTAACCGACCAGTAGGCTATGGTATACTCCCCCTAAGCCCTATTCCAATGATCGAAGCCCCCCCCCCCATACGGTGGGATGAGCTGACATACTTGGAGGATCACGGGAATTAGTAAGTAAGGTTGTAAGTACCTTAATTGGGGTTATAAGTAGTTATATGTTACCTTACTTATATCCCCAGTTACTAAGTCCCATAATCCTTTAAGTAGACGCTAAACCCTTAACCCTTAAACTGAGCCCTATTATAGAACCCTATAGTACCCTTAAAGGTGGCCCCTTATAACCCCAGTTACTAAGTCCCATGATCCTTTAAGTAGGTCCGACGTCCTAGAGCCGGAGATTGAACTAAGTCAGGAACGGGGTTTCCCCTACAATCCTAAACTTTTCTTAGTAGCTGAGTGGATACACTTTACACTTTTTGGGAGACTATTACCCATTATAAAACTAAAAAGTGTACACATTTGGGGGCTCATGAACTCAGCAACTAAGTTTAAGCGGGGTTAGGGTTCATATCTGAGGCACCTTCCCCAACCGAAGTTCTGAAGTTTACGTGGAAGATCTCTTTGTCTGCTTGTGTTTGTGCTTCGGGCTTACTGCTCCTCGGAGCTCAGAGCTTCGGCGGCAGTTTTGGGTTTCGGGGTGTTGGGTGGAAATAGCTTTATAGACCCTAAGCATCCCTAAGCCCTAAACCCTTCGTGTTCAGGCAGGGCTCCGAGCCCTAAGCCCTAAACCCTACGCCTTCTGGCAGCGGTTTAAAGTTTAGGGACAGTCGTTGCAGGCCTCTCGCGCTGAGGACTTCCGGTTTCAATTTGGCGGGGTTTAGGGTTTAGGTTAGGTGGTGGCAGTGCTGCTTCCCAGCTGATCAGCAGAGGCTGGGTTCAAACAAGGGGAAACTTGTCCCTTGCTGCAGTTTGAGGGCTTCAAAGCTTCGCGGTCGCCTTGTGTTCGAAGGGGTGCAGCCTTTGGCTGCTCCCTGCTTTCACTACATGGGAGTTTCCGACTAGAAGGGGTATCTTATTTTGGGGCCCTTACAGTATAGGGATCCTACCATTTAGGGTACTATATTAGGGTCCACTATTTTCGGCAACTCCGTCATGGTGTCCTACATACAGCTCTTTCCCAAGGTTTCAGGACGATGCCGCAATCATAAAAGCAAGAGCTGTTCCAGTATCCGTGCGCCGAATGTCGATTACGGTGCACGTCGGGCTGCTCAGCGGCAAGACAGCGGCTTTGATAGCCGGTTTGGATGAACAGTTGCAAACATTGAAGAGTCGGGCACAGATCGCGCTAGGAATCGGAAGAGGCCGACTGCTGGACTCATCTGGAAACCTTCTGGATGGATGCCTTCCGGTCAAGCTTTCTAGTGTGCAAGACGGTGCATCCCTGACTTTGCACGTATCTAAAGTTCAAGTTCAATGCAGCTTGGCTTTTGTTGCCATTTTGGGCGACGGAGCGGTCGTGACCTGGGGTGATGCATACTACGGTGGTGACAGTAGTGCTGTGCGGGACCAGCTTGGGAATGTGCTGCAGGTCCAAGCCGCTCCCGGCGGTGCCTTCGCTGCCATTCGTGGCGACGGATCCGTCGTGATGTGGGGTAATACGGACCGCAGTGGTGCCAGCCGCGCTGTGCAGCATCGGCTGAAGAATGTGCAGCAGATCCAGACGACTCGGTATGCTTTTGCTGCAATTCTTGGTGACGGATCAGTTGTGACCTGGGGTGATCCGGAATACGGTGGTGACAGTAGTGATGTGCAGGACCAGCTGGAGAATGTTCAGCACATTCAAGCCTCTCGTGGTGGCGCTTTCGCCGCAATTCGTGGCCATGGCTCCGTCGTGTGCTGGGGTGATGTGGACGACGGTGGTGACAGCAGTACTGTGCAGGATCAGCTTAAGAATGTGCAGCAGATCACTAAGGGTGCCTTTGCTGCCATTCGTGGCGATGGCTCAGTCATAACGTGGGGGAATGTTCAGTTTGGAGGTGACAGCGGTGCTGTGCAGGATCAGCTGCAGAACGTACAATAGATCCAAGCCACTGGCCTGGCTTTTGCTGCCATTCTTGATGACGGATCCGTCGTGACCTGGGGCAGTCAGGGCAGTGGTGGTGATAGCATTGCTGTGCGGGATCAGTTGCAGAACGTGCAGCAGATCCAAGCCGCTGAGCACTTTGTCGGTGGATGTGCTTTTGCTGCCAAACTTGGCGATGGATCTGTCGTTACCTGGGGCAATGCCGCCTCCGGTGGTGACAGTAGTGGTGTGCAGGACCAGCTGAAGAATGTGCAGCAGATCCAGGCCTCTCGTGGCGGTGCTTTCGCTGCCATTCGAGGGGATGGCTCCGTCGTGACCTGGGGTAATGCGGACCTCGGTGGTGACAGCAGCGCTGTGCAGCATCGGCTGAAGAATGTGCAGCAGGTCCAAGCCAATGTGTATGCTTTTGCTGCCATCCTTGGCGACGGATCGGTCGTGACCTGGGGCGACCCAGACTACGGTGGTGACAGTAGTGCTGTGCAGGATGAGCTGAAGAATGTTCGCCAGATCCAAGCCAGTGAAGATGCGTTTGCCGCCATTCTGGCAGATGAATCCGTCGTGACCTGGGGAAGACGCTCCAGTGGCGATGACGGCAGCGCTGTGCAGGACCAGCTGCGCGCCTAGTAACACATCTCCGACGTGGGCTGTCCGTTTCGGGGTACTGTAGCTTTATTTATAGTCTTTGCATAATCCCAATATACTCCCAAAGGTTAACCGCTAAAAACCGTTGGTTCGCCACGGTACTCGACAAGTAGGTCGCGCACTACAATACACTGACAAAGTCACCCTCTATCTAGCTACGTAAATTATGTACACAGGTAATGCACACATACATATATATATATATATATATATATGAATATATATGAATATATATGTATATATATATATATATATATATATATAATGTATAAGAACAAGTAGAGACATGAATAAGCCCATCAACCCCAAGATCGAGATGAAGCCTATAGAGAACCAGCTATAAACCCGCCTTGAAAACCTGAAGCACATTTGAAACACCTAAACCCAAAGTCCCGGAATCTCCCAAAAGTTCCGAAGCGTGTCTGAGCCGCTCTAATGCAAGAATAGCGCGCCCACAGGAGAGAAGCAGAACTTCCTATGAATCCTAACCCCCGAACCCGAAAGACTAAGACCTCATTAGAGTCCTTATAAGATCCCCAGAGAGCCTTGCAGAAACTTACAAGCCCCCCCCCAAACCCTAAACCCTGAATTTCAAGATCCCATGCTTCGGGTTTAAGGGTGCTGCACAAGTCTCCAACCCCCCCTTATAGGAAACTCCAGAAAGTTGGAATATGGTTTCATGGTAGGATACCCTATAATTTACCATAGAAGGGTTAGGATAATCATATTCCAACTTTCTGGCTCCTACTGTGGAGGATCATAGGACTTAGTATCTAGGGTTACAAATAGGGAAACTCTGCGAATAATTGCCTGTAACTCCAACTAAGGTGCTTGGAACACCGTATGATTATTTACCAAGCCCCATCATCCTTCAAATACTCTTATACCGTTATCGAACCCCTATTCCCCTGATAGAACACTTCTAGAACCCCTATGAAGATCCTTTTTGATCCTTCTAAGGAGCCCTTGAGGTTATTCAACCACTACAGTAAACCCCATAAGGTTTGGGGGTTCCCTTTAGAGGGATCTATGAGGGTTTAAAGGGAACTTTAGGTTTAGGGGTTTAGGGTTTAGGGTCCAGGGACCTCAGTATAGGTACTTTGGGGCTCATGTATCTCTATATGCGTACATGGACCCTTAGGGATTAAACCCCATAAAGTTGGAAACTGGATTAAGGCCAAATAGTGCTGGGATTCCCTATACATTATTCTTAACGATTGAGGCTATGGGGTTTCCAACTTTTGGGCTTCCACTGTAGTGATCCCTTATAGAACCCTCCCAGGAAACCCTTGAGGAACCCCTTAAGTTACTAAGTAGGAAAACCCTAAACCCTTAAACCCTACACCCCCGAACCCTAAACCTTTAAGATACTAAGAATCTCTAGGGTTTCCCCAAACCCTAAGCCCTTTGAGCTACGAAGAAACTCGACGAAGCAGCCAGGTGGGGGGCTTCTTTGCCAAGCTCTTAGCCTGTCCCGCAGGGCTTTGCATCTTTATCGGCCCCCTGGTGCAGACTTTGGGTTTTTGAGGGGTTGGGGTTTAAGCGGTTTAGGGTTTAGGGGTTTAGGGCTAGGGGTTTATATAAGGGGTTTGAAGGGTTTTAGGGGTTTTAAGGATTTAGGGTTTTAGGGATAGAAGGTTTAGGAATTTTGGAGTTTTAAGGGTTAGGGTTGAGGGTTTAGGAGTTCAGGAGTTTGGGGTTTAGGGGTATGGAATTTAGGATTTAGGGCCGCCAGTCTTTATGATTATGGGTAGAGGTGCGCATGCATTCTTACATCCGCATGGCAGTGTATATAAGTCTAACATAGCTTGACTCTATCTTGCTCTCTCTCTCTCTCTCTATCTCTCTCTCGCTGACTCCATCTCCCTTTTTCTTTGTCTGCGTACAGACAGTACGAAACTGTTGGAACTTTGGGGGTCAACTGCTGCGGCCCTGAAAGCCAAAAGACCATAGGCACGGAATCCCGCCCAAGCCTTTGAAGCCTTTGTGCTTTAAGTTTTGGGTTTCCGGGTTTGCACATCCTAAACCCCATGGGCTGGGTACTCCCCCCCCCCCCCCCCCCCCCCGCCCTGTAACAGTTGGATAACTTTTGTATGGATATATAGTATGGCCCTTACTATGACCCCATAATATGGGCTGTTGCGGCGTCAGGTCAGTACCCAACCTACAGACCTAAGCCCTACACCCTAAACCCCGAAACCCTAAACCCTCAACCACAAACCATTTCCCTCTGTTCATTTACCGAGGCCTAAGCATCCGGTTTCGGCTTTAGGCATGTTTCCGAAAATTGGGGGTACCTTATGTTGGGTCCTTGTAATAAGGATCCTACTATTTAGGGTACTCTATTAGGGTTATATTCGGAAACTCCCATATGATTTCTGGATTTCGGGGCAGCAGGAGGACTCTCGGAGTCGTCGCAATCTCGGAGACGGTAGTATATGCAAGTGTTCGTCGCAATCGCTGCAGATCTTTATGTGCTAAAACCTAAAAGCCTCAACTGTAAACCGCGACTCGAAACCCCCAAACCGTAAACCCGGTGGAACCATACAAGCGCAAATCCCCCCCAACAATTTGGCAGATATCATTTCCACGTTTGCAATCGCGAGCCCTGAAAGTTGTAGTCCTCACCATGTTTATGGTTAGGGTTAGGGAACTCTGCATCTAGGATACATACGGCCGCGGATTTTGTGGTGTCTCTACCGAGCCCGTGTGCTTCAACGGCTGTGCATTTCGGCGTACTTCTTGTCATGAAGTAGAGCTACATCCAAGCCATACACACTGACAAACCCTAGACCCCAGTGCCCAGAAACTCTAGACCCTAAAGCCCCAGACTCTAGACCCTGAACCCTGGCCCAAGCGATAAGATCGGCTCCAACACGATCTCCTTCGCAGCTTCTGAGTTTCCTAAACCCCTAAACCTAGTAGTAGAGTAGGAAACCTTTAACCTGTTTTGGGTAGTATAGTCCCTGTATAATCCCTATATAACCGAAAAGGTTAACCTTTAGTTCCCCATGATACCCGACAAGTAGGTTAACGCCGGCTGACCGTATCCAAAGACCCCCTGGGAGAACCTGGCTGGAAACCCAGGTCGCAATGGCCCAGACCTTCCAAAATCCCATTTTTCAAAGGAACATGTATGCCTTAAATCGTATAATCATATAAGGGATCCTACGATAATCTTAGGTATACTTCTTAATGAAAGGAAGGCCCTAAACCCTATACCCTGAAGCTCATTAGGAGCTGGCCTGGTTGCAAAGCTGCCGCTCGCCTCACCTCGAGGGATTTTGCGAAGTGAGTGCTGCAGGTGGGAGTACCCGAAAATTTTGGTTGCCTTCTTTTGGGGTCCTTATAGTAAGGATCCTATTTTTTGGGGGGGAACCATATCAGGGTCCCCTATCTTCGGAAACTGCCAGATCTTACGGTCTCGTGCTGAGGTTATGACTTCCTGTTTGCATGATATCGGAGGTCGCTAGAAGCACCTTCAGTGTTTTCGGTTTTATGTTCAAGTCGAACTGCCACCATGACCATCGTCATTACCATCGTCATCATCATCACATCATCACTCTCCTCACCATTTTTCAATCACCGCCATCACTAGCATCATCATCACCCTTACCCTCATCACAATCGTCATCATCATCATCACAACCACCACCATCATCATTGTCATCGTCGCCAGCCATACAAGCAGCGTCATCATCAGCGTCAGCACCGGCATCGTTGTCATCATCATCGTCATCATCATGTCGCCATCACCCGCGTTCGTAGATCAAGTAAAGGGGCCTGAGGGTATATTCTACCATAACTATATTAAGGAACCCCCAGACTAGTATTGGTAATTATTTTTAGTCCTCTATATTATTGCCTGAACTTTCCCCATGTCTCGCGCGTATGTTTTGCACAGAATTACGGAATGCTTCGTATACACATACATACGTGCATACGGACAGCCAGGCAGGCAGGAAGGCAGGCAGGCAGGCATCAGTACATAGATACGCGTATACATATACATACCAAACATACAAACACACAAACACACATCGTAGACAGAGAGAGCGGGAGAGAGAGCGAGATGGAGAGGCAGAGGGAGAGGCAGAGGGAGAGGGAGAGGGAGAGAGAGAGAGAGAGAGAGAGAGAGAGAGGGAGACGGACAGACAGACACACAGACAGACAACCGCACTTACGTGCTGTACTTAGGCACTTGCACACTAACAGACACACTTAAAAGGACACCTACGTGCATACACGTACGTAACCATAAGTACATGCGTACGTTCATTCATTCATCCATACATCTGGGTGTGTATACCAGTAAAGGTATAAACAAATACATATATATATATATATATATACACATGCATATGTGGACAGAGAGAGGGCTGGGTATGCGTGTTAGTCTCTTAGAATGTGTCTACAGACGAAGAGGGACAGACAGCCCACAAATGCATGGATTCTACCACAATGAATATCTTATATATGTATATAGACACTTAATAACAGCATATTTTGCACATACACAAACATACATGCACGCATGTGTCACTACGGGCATGTTCTCTAGCTCTTTTGCATCTCAGTCCGTCCCTTGTTCATTCCGTACTTGTAGGTCCAGGTGTGCGCGCGTGTGCAGGCACGGTTTCATCGGGCTCAGGGTTTAGGAACTTTGTACGTGCAGGATTTAGGAGTTGCGGCTTAGGGCATGAGTGGCGAATTCCACGTTCTCTTGCAGTTGCAGCAGATTAGATTCTACCACCTGGGCAAGTCCAAAGGCATCGTCCGACCTAGGAGAGAACCGCGTAGAGCTCGACACAACGTGGTTCATCGATACCTGCAGCCACCTAAATCCCAAAACCGTATAAGCGGGCTGACTCCCGAAGCTGAAGCGCTTCTTTTGATATAGCCCAGAGGGTCCATATACACTACTATTATGGAGTTAGGCCCCCTAAAACCATAATGAGGATGGTCTTTGGGGATCTGATTCCATAATAGTAGTGTATGTGGACCCTCTGGGTAGAGAGCCAGCATGAGGCACTAGGTCTGCCGACGGTTTTACAGATCCGGGTTCCCCTCTTAGCAGCTCAACCTCACGGTCTTGGGTTTAGAGTTTAGGGTTTTAGGGGTTTAGGTTTTGGGGCTATCGGTTTTGGGGTTTAGGGCTTAGGGGTCAAGAGTCAAGAGGCCTGGATGCAAAAAGGGCTTAGGGCTTAGAGCTCCTAGTCGTGGTCTGGCTAGACTTGAGCCCAGTAGCAAAAACGAGTCCTGATCAGGAGGATGTGCTGCTTATTCGCATCTGCCGCATCCACTAAGGCGGGGCAAACATTCATCCTTTGATGCCCTGCTGCCTGGCAGATTTTTTTTATGGATCACAGTACTACTTCTCATCAGAACCATATCCCGGGCAATCGCATCGCCCAAAGTACCTATATAGGGACTACTTTAAGGCCTAAGTATATGTTATTTGGGTACATGGAGGCCAAGTACCCCGACCCCCGGGAGGATCCAAAAAGTAGATCCCTTAACGGTGGTTCCTATAAAGTGCCCCTAGAGTATTATCGGGCCCCAAATTAGGGGATCTACTTTCTAGATCCTCCCGGCCCTAAACCCTCAAACCCTAAACCCTAAACCCCAAAAACCTATACATCCTTTCAAAGGAACCCTTATAGATCCCTTTAAAGGGAACCGATCCCTCCCGGGGGTCTGGGTAGGAGGAGGCCAAGGAGGAGAGGGTACAGGCGACGTCCCACCTTTCCTCAGCCGATCAGAGAACTTACGGGAACCGTTAAGTGCGGCTACACATATGGCCCCCTATCCGATTATGCAGTGCATGCCTTCTGTTGGTGCCTTCCACTACCAGATTTATCAACATGTAGGATTCAGGGTCTATGAGGACCTGGGCGAATATCCTTTCTGTACAGTTGCAGGGGTTTAGTTTGGATCTTTAGGCTGGTTCAAAGCGCATTTCTTCTTTAAGGTATGCTGTTTTGTGGCTAGAACCTCACTCTAGAACCATGCAAGATGTCATCAAGAATCCTCGTAACACTGAAGCCCCAACCCATTTTATGAAGGGTTTAGGGTTTAGGGTGCGGTCTGGCGCGTTTCGTGCCTTGAGATGCACGAGCCATCGCTGAGGCAGGCAACTTGGAAGTACTTCAGAGAAACCTCGTCCAAAAAGGGTAAGGTAGGAACCTGATTAAGAAACCCTGAACCTAAAAACCCCAAAATAATAGGATCCATAGAAGGAGCCCACTAATAATGGCCCAAGGTTGCTGAATCAGGTTCCTACATGATTATTATAGTATTATAGATCCCTTATAGTAACCCTAATAGACCCCTTTAAAGGAACCCTAAGAAAGGCCCAAGGTTTCTTAATCAGGTTCCTACATTCTCTCGCCCCCAGGTTGAACCTCTGCCAACGAAGTCTGGGATGCCACGAAAGCCCTAAGCTTAATCCATAAGGACCCTTAGGGGGTTAGGGGGGAAGGGCGTTGGGGACTATACTTCTAAACCCTAAACCCTACCCCTCCTACCCCTCTAAGGGTCCCTATGACGAATCCCTGAACCTCCGAGTCCCCAGCCCTCGCGCAATGTGGAAGCTTAAAAGATTACCAAGACTATTCCCTAGAGTACCTTTTTCCGGTTTATACCTTAGATAGAATACCACCAGAACCTATCCTAGCTACTCAGACCCCTGTATTGCTCCATATTAGTACTGTTCACGGGACTTAGCAAGAAAGGTTGTAAGTACCTTAATTGGGGTTATAAGCAATCATAAGTATCGTTACCTTGCTTATAGCCCCAGTCACTAAGTCTAATTATAGTATAATATACCCCCAAGCCCTGTTCTAACTATTAAGTCCCCTATAGTATATTGGTAAGGTTCAATCTCTGCGGCATGGCTTTCTTTGCGCTCTTCATCGGCCTGACGATGACGGTGGTTGAGCCGAAACCCGGCTTAGGAGCATCCGTTTAATTAAGGGGTCTAGGGATTACTTTAGGGGGGACATAGGTTTAGGGTTTAGGACACGTTTGTTTGTTTCAATATGCTGTTGGTTTTTTGAATGTTGTTTTTGTATTGTGCTGCGGCTTAATGGTGTCTTTATTTGGTGGCTTGTCTGTTTTTCAGTGTCTTGAATTTGACTGCGTTCTTCAACAGCCCCTATACAACCTTGTAAGATCCCGAAGCAACCTTGTCCTCTGAAACCCTTATCAAATAAGACCCTAACGCACCATCTGAAACCCTATATCCATAGTAGGGAAACTTAAAAAAGAAGGTCTTATAGGGTCCAGGTAAGCTGCTAAGGCCCTAAGAAATTTGTGTTGAGCTGTTTTTCCAACACAACTCGAGGGTTTAGGGTTTAGCGTTTAGGGCAGATGTAGTATGACACGAACCCAGCGACCTCGTCTCGCGAGTCCGAGTTGCAGGAGCATAAGGCCCTGCAAAAACCGCCATGACCTTGGATCCTAGACCCTTGGCTCCTAGACCCCTAGACTTTAAGTCCCGAAGCCCTTGAACCCGAACCACAAACCCCAAAGCCTGAAATCAAGCTTCATGACTTTGTGCTTTGTTACCTTCAGGGTCAATTTTAGGTTTGCTGCGTTGAGGGCTTACTTTGCTTTTAGGGTTTAGGGCGAATTTGGGTTTAGGGGATTTGACAACGACAACTGAATTCTGTATGCTCTCATAAAAATTACACCGGGGCTCGGTTATTGAAACTGGCATCGAGTTTGGGGCGTCGTGTTTTCAGGTGTAAGATGTAGGCGTAGAGGGTTTAGATTTGCGAGGGCAAAAACTTGAGAAGACGAGTTGCGCGGGTTGAGGGCTCGGGGTTCAGGGAATATCGAAACGCTCACCTCCCAAGTGTACCCATTAACCCGACATCGTAATCCAGAGACTCCAATATCCCTTAGTTAAGGAATATACCTCAAATTATGGCAGGGTCCCCAATATGATTAAGGAATATTCCTTAATTAAAGGATATTGGAGTCTCTGGAATGTGGGGGCGCCAAGGTTCAAGTGCCAGCCAAATCCAGACGGAACTTGGTCGAGGACTTGGTCTCCATCAAAGCTCCCAAACATGGCGAGTTCTCTACATTAGCTAAACCCTAAACCCTAAACCCTAAACCGTGGCTTTTTGTGACCTTTTTTTTCAAGGGTGTCTTTTTCTGTATTCGGGACAGAAAAAGGCACCTCAGTTTACAGAACTGCCCATGTCTTGGTTGGAGTTATTCTTGTCTTGCTGTATAAGTTGAACACGAATACATATATATATATATATATATATATATATACATATTATATATATATATATAGATATATATAGATATATAGATATATAGATATATAGATATGTAGATATATAGATATATAGATATATAGATATATAGATATATAGATATTATATATATATATATATATATATATATATATTTACATACCTACATACAGACATATACTTAGCTCATCCAAGCCTTCCCACTATCCATGCCAGTCTGTTTATCCTGCAAGAGCTCATCGTGCTTGTTGTTGTCCGCGCATTCTGATGTTCCGTTACGGGTTCCTTGACGGGGATCTTTAGGGCCTTCTTTGCAGGTTCAGTATATGCCAGACCAATTACCTAAGTTCTTCCTTATAGGGTTACTTACTCCATACCAAATATGCCACAATATATCCCAAAACCCTATTCTGGTGATGGCTCGATTCCTCGTGATGTTGAGGTGTCCAGGATAGTAACGACATTCGGCTCTGTTTCTTGCCCCTCTCACCCAGAGATTCCAATACCCCTGAATTAGGAAATAGTCCTTAAATTATGATACATCCCCTGAATTAGGAAATAGTCCTTAAATTATGATACATCCCCAATATGATTTAAGGCATATTCCTGAATTTTGGGATGTTGGAGTCTCTGCGTACCTTGCCGCCACAGCAGCCTCCCTGCCCTGCCGAGTCAATCAATCCTATAGCCCTGCAGGGTACGCATGCCCTAAACCCTAAACTCCAAACCCTAAACTCTTGTCTCCTAGACTAGGTTAAGGTTCTTGTGATGGGTTTTATTTGCGCGCCCTGATAAGGAAGCCCTCTTGCAATCGATCCCTATGCTAGAATAGGGATCCCTATTCTGCGAGCTAAAACTAGGTCCCTTACGAGAGCCTACTAACCGACGCTGGTGCCACCGTCGAGTCATGGTGATCAGTCCGCATAAATCAGGAATCTGATAAAGAAGCCCTGGGCCTATAACCCCAAAATATTAGGTTTCTAATCAGGTTCCTACACTAGGGTGGATCGATCAACGAAGAAGGTGCAAGATCTGCCAGATGGTTGTGCCACTGCCGTGGAAAAACGTGGAAGGAGCAGCGCTCTATCTTATAATGCAGGAGCCTGATTAAGAAACCTTGGGCCTTTATTAGGGTTCCTTATTTGAATCCCTCTATTTTGGTGGTTACAGGCCCAGGGTTTCTTAATCAGGTTCCTACATTAGGCTGCTTCGTGGGCATCTGCAACGGACCACCGCTGGAGCCTAAGGGAGTCCCTCTTCTCCGGGTCGAAACGAGGGTGCTGCGGTCCCACCCATAGACTCCAATATCCCTTAGTGAAGGAATACTCCTTTAACCATATTGCGGATCCGACTCTATAATTTAATTGAAGTATATTCCTTAATTAAGGGATATTGGAGTTTGTGGCATGGCTGTGGAGAGGCGGCCGCATTGGATCGCTCTGCGGGCTCTAGCGTTGCCTACTTACGGAGGTGGGCGGCCTATGCTGTGAGTTTAAGGTTCGAAGATTACGTATCCCTATAGAGCCCCCAAACTCTGCACCCCTCAACCCAACAGTTTTTGGCACCCTAAACCTCCAGCCCCACACCGACACCATAAATCTCAAACCCTACTTGGAGTATCATGGGACTTAGTATATAAGTAAGGTTATAAGTACCCTATTTGGGGATATAAGTGGTTCTAAGTATGGTTACCTTCTTTATAGCCCCAGTTGATAAGTCTCCATCTAAACCCTGAACCCTAAACCCTAGACCCTAAACCCTAAACCCATGATTCTTTTTGTACGTGAGCCCGAAGAAGCTGAGGTCTCTGTCCTCCAATCCGGCGATCATTTGTTTTGATTCCTCGGAGCACTTGGCCATGTTGGGGCTCTCCTGCTTCGGGTTCCCTGGCACTATCACTAAACCTTACCTGAAACAGAGTTTACGGTTTAGGGTATAGGGCTCTCGTTCTCTCTCTCTTTCTCTTTCTCTTTCTCTTTCTTTGTCTCTGTCTCTGTCTCCGTCTCGGTCTCTCTCTTTCTCTCTCTCTCTCTCTGTCTCTCTCTCTCTCTATGCAGTTTGAGGGTAGAAAGGGTTTTATGCAGGTTGTGTTGCCCGTTTTTGGTTTAAGGGATACTTTTGGCTACCACCGGGGAGGAGACGAGCGACCATTGACCCTAATCCCACATGCTAAGCCCGTACTTCCTATGATTCTTGGGGTTACGGATACTCCTGCCTCTCGTTCGCCCGGTAAACCCCCAAGGCCAAGAAGAGCGCAGGATTTAGGGCTTGGGGCTTCAGGGTTTAGGGCTGGAACTGTCCTCAGTGTAGCCGTTTATTGAGCCAACCGCTCCCGGTGTAGGGACCATCATAATGGTAAGGACAGAAATTCATAATAATCATAGTGGTCAAAGCAACACAAGGTCAGTCATATAGTCGTGTCTACAATAACAGCAGTAGCATAGTAATACCAAGGTACGGGCTTGGTTTTGACATCAGGCGTCCATATTCACCAGGCCCAAGGCACTACGCCCAAAACCCTGCTCCAGCGCTGAATGGGGGTGGCCGCAAGCGTAAGTTAAGGGAAGACCAGGGAACTGCTTTGCCTGATATCTCCGGCTATGAAGCAGGCGGCGAAGTCAACCAAGAAGCTACAGATGTTTCAGACATGGAGCCCACAATTCTGGGCGCGGAAGTGCCCTCATCCTTGAAAAGATTCTGGCTCGTGTCCAAGTCTGGGAACAACGAATGGTACTCTGGTCTGGGCTCGCTTCCAGAGGCTGGCTTAAGTAAACTCCAAGAAGGACGGTTTAGGGTTTAGGGTTTAGGGCCAAGAAGGACATGAAGGTCTTGGCCATGTACCACCCCCCGCTTGTCCTAGGAAGGGTAGCTGGAGATTCCTCCTATTCTTCAGCGTTTAGGTACGCTATTTTACATTACGCCATACAGCATCTACTGGATACTCTATACAGTATATTATGTACTATGTACTACCCACAATGCGCTGTACACTGCACCACGCTCTTGCATGTTCCACCTTCCCTCAGTCGGACACCCCCTTCACATCACTTCAGCCTAGTTGGAAGGTCGTGCGATTTGGTAAGTACTCAGTACACGGTTGTAAGCACCTGAACTTGGATTGCAAGTAGTTGCAGTATGGTTTCCTTATCTACACCCCGAGTTACTATGTCCCCCATGATCCACTACTTGGTAGTAGAGCAGGTAACATTGAACCAGTTTTCGCATACTCTAATCCCTGCATAATCCCAAAGGTTAACCTGTGGTTCCTCTAGGATACTGGACAAGTAGGTGTTTTTGTTAGGTGAAAATTAATTTTGTTTTGGTTTGCTTCGCTGTGACCGTTAGGCCCCAAATCCCAAACCCCACAAAGCCACAACATGAAAAAAAAACCGGGACCAGACGTCCTCAAAGTCCTTAGCACAGAATATCGAGCCCTGAACCCCTAAATCCCAAAAAACACTGTCTTTTGTGGTTTAGGGGGTTTAGGGCTTAGGGTTTGGTGCACATCCCTTAAGAGCCCTCCAAAAAACCTTCAAGAAACCTTGCTAAGGAAGCCATAAAGGAACCCTTTAAGGACGCCAGAGCCTTACAAGACCCCAAACCCCAAATCCCTTAACCCGAAGCCCCCAATCCTTAAGCCTTACGTACACTTCTAATAGACGGGCGTAAATAAGCATCAATATGGTTCCTTAGCGTTCCTTCTTACCAGGCCATAAAGGACCACCAAACCCTTATCTAATTTTGCAGACCCCTATACTCAATCCCTTTAGTACCCTTCCCCTTAAAAGGAACGCTCTTCCAATTCCTATACTAAACCCATGATACACCTTATAGTAAATCTTATATGGAACACTTTTAGGGAACTCTCGGGTTAAGCCCCCTATATGAATGTAGAAGCCTAAATAATTGCGAATATTATTCCTTCGGGTTCCTTATTATGTATATATATATATATATATACACTACAAAGGAGCCCAAAACCCTAGTAATCTATTAAAGTACATAAATTGAATCCACCCTTATAGTAGCCCTTATAGACCCCTTTGCCGGAACCCTATTTTTAACGGAATCCTATTCTGGGGGTTGAGCCCCACCCTAAACCCCAAAACCTAAGCCCTGAAACCCTAAACCCCTAAGCCCTGAACCTTAAACCCCTAAGCCCCAAACCCCGAAACCCCTAAACCCGATACCCTAAACCCGAACCCCAAAATAGCCCTTATAGTAGCCCTTAAAGACCCCTTCAAAGGGAACCCTCTTCTAATTGTTACGGCCCCTGTAGTACGTCCTCAACCCTGGGTTCGTCCTAAATCCTAACCTGTAAACCCTAACCCCTGTCTTAGGCTCATACTACGGCACCCTTGTTGGGCGGTTGTCAAAACTAGGGTACCTTTTTGGGTAGGTGCCGTATTGTAATAGGGACCCAACAAGGGACCCTAATTTTGACAGCCTCCCTTATAAAAGGGACCCTAATTTGGAAAGCTACTCATATGGGGGTTTCCGAAAATAGGGGACCCTAATACCAAAATCAGGTACCCCTTATTTGGGGAAACTCCCAACCCTAAACCCTAAACCCTTTATAGAACCCTTATAAATCCCTTTAAGGAACCCTTTAAAGGAACCCTTTAAAGGATCCCTTTAAAGGAACCCCCCAATTTTGAGGTTCATCTGCTACCCTATAGCCATCCTCTCCTGGGCGGCTTACGCGGTGATAATGTGCCCCGGCTTGGTCTTGGGGCTTTCGGCTTCGGGTTTGGGGGTGTACTATGGGGGCCTTCATGGTTACCTAGACTTTTCCTTAGGGTTTCTAAAAAAGGGGCTTATAAGGGATCTATAGTAGGGTTCTCTGGTAAAGGGGCCGAAATAACTACCAATACTATTTTTAGGGGTTCCTTTTTATGATTCCTGCATAATATACCCCAACACCCTGTTCTAACTACTAAGGCCCCGACATTAGGGCTTTGGGCTTCGGGTTTAGGAGGGGGCTTCGGGTTTCAGGGTTTAGGGTGTAGGGCTTCAGGGATTATAGGTTTGAGGTACACGCTGTTTAGTAGTTCTGGGTTTTGGGGCTTATGTCAGGGGTTCTACAAGGGCTTGCTTGCAAGGGCTCTTGGTCAAGCTCTCGCGCTGCAGTGCAAACTACGGCCCTATGGTTTAGGGGTTTAGCTGAGACTCCTATGGCCCTACTTGTATGGTTCCACATAAGTGGATTTTTTGAGTCCATTGCGACCTCTAAACCCTAAACCCCTATAAACCTTAAGCCCCCCAAACCGTCCCAAAACCCACAGAGGAGCCCTTAAAGATCCCTTAAAGGTACCCTAAACCCCTAAACCTTAAACGCCGCAACAGCCTGCAAACCCCCAGAAATCCCAAATCGCAGGTTTCCACTTGTTTGTAGCGTTTGGGGATTTTTAGTTTCATGGGTCTAATTCTTGAGGGCCCTGGTCCCTGGCTATTGGGGAAGGAAAACATCCTTAGCCAAGAAAAGTAGAACCCCAGAGTCTGAAAATCCCTTCAAAGCTTACATCGACAAGCACCCAGAACTCTCCACCGAAATCCCTAAACTTTACACGCTAAACCTCTTAAAGCACTCAGTGGACCCTGAAAGGAACCCTCACCTCATTCCTACATTAGGTACCCGGTCTGGATCACCAGTGGAGCCGGCCTCCGCATCGTAAGCCGCCATCGCTTCCTCTTCCAGCGATTCCGGCCGGCCAGGGGCCTAAACATGTGGTTCCTTTGAGACTTTGTATGGGGATGTAGGGCATTTAGGGTTTAGGATTCGGGACAGGTGGTTTCTTTGAAAAATGAGGAAGTCAAGCAGGGTTTTGAGGTCCAAGGGCTTACAGGTGTTCTCTAATTTTTTGCCCACTGTTTTTGCAACTGTCGGGGTTTCATGGGGCTTAGTAACTGGGTTTTGCTAAGATAGCAATACCTACAACTACGCAATTACCTATGGCCCAAGTAAAGTATTTCTAACGTTACTTTCTAAGTCCCATGTTCGTCCAAGTACGCTTCTATCGGTTCGATCGGGTCTTAGAGTTTTGGGTCTAGGCCTGGCTTTAGCTGATTGCTTTCAGGGTTTAGGGTTTAGGGTTTTGGTAGGATTTGTGGCTTGGGGTTTTAGGCATTTGAAGGTTTAGGGTGTGCACTCACTGTTCGTCTGCTGTTCTGTCGGAACACCAACGAGGCTGTGCAGTAGCGGTTCATTTGCCAGTGCTTGGTCTAGCGATCTCGCATAATCGCCTGAGAGCGGATTAGTCAGCCTGTAAGCATTCCGGATGTTTCGTAGTCCCAAAAAACTACAATTGATAATTAAACGTTGTTTCGGGGGACAGGGAGCTCAGCAGCAAGGTTATGACGTTAAGGCTTTCGAATCACCCTTAGGGGGAAGGGGGGTAGGGGACTATACCTCCTTTAATTAGCCTTACCAACTCTTGATTTTGGGTGTTAAGGCCCCCCCAACCCCCTTCCCCCCTACCCCCCAAAGCCCCCTACAAATTCGTAGGTTTCGGAAGTCATGTGTCCTCAGGGTTCCCCAAATTGCTTTACATAAGACGGTTTCATCATATCCTGAAGCCTTGAGGCCCAAGACCTGAAACGTCAGATTCTATCTGTTGATATACTGTCGGGGCAGCGGGCTGTTTTGCTTTAAGGTCTAGGGTGTAGGGAAAAGCAATTTCAAAGCCGGGAGTTGCAAGTCTTGTTTCTGAAGTCTTCTGCACACGCCGACTTGCCGTACGGTTCGAAGAGCATTCGCAGCCTCGACGCTCCTACCGCGCACTCCGCAGACCTACCTTGACAGCCATGGCGTCCCAGACAACTTCCCGCGATGCCGCCGTGGAGTACGAGGGCCTGGTCCACAAGCAGCCAGTGGCTCGCACCTCCCGCAAATGGCGCCTTGGCCGACCACTTTCGTTATCTTGTCGCTACTACTTGTTGTCATACGTTCTTGTATCTTTCTCTGCATTCTCATTTCGGATATTACGGTGAAAATTTCTTACTAATATTGAGCATTACTCTTGTGGTTGTTATCACGTCTTTTGACATGATGATATCTGATACTACTGGTATTTTACATAGACTCCATATGGCGATAATTATTGCTGTGGTGGTGCGTATGCGTCTCGACGAATACGCATCTATACGTTTAGAAATACAGTTACATCTTGGTCATGATGATGATAAAGAAGAGGATGACGATGATAATTCTAAGTCCGTCCCATAGTAGCTGAGTAGGTAACCTTTAACGTTAATCTTTCCAGGCTTATATAATCCTACCATAATGGATAAGGTTATCCTCGTTTGGGCTAGGGTACTCAGCCTCTGAGTACTTGAAGATCATGGCACTTAGTAACCAGGGTCATAAAAAAGGTAAACATACTTACAATTGCTTATAGCCCCATTTAAGGTACTTATATCCTTACTTACGAAGTCCCATGATCCTCCAAGTAGACCCTAAAAGCCTAAACCCTATAGATCCTTTTAAGGAACCCTATAGATCCCTTTGAGGAACCCTTTCATTAGATCCCTTCTATCCTCTACCACATTTATGTGTGTGTATATATATACAAACACATGTGCTGCCCCCACCCCCTTGAAAGACTACCATGTATATATATATATATATATATATGTGTATGTATATATATATATGTATGTATATAGACATACCTTTGTCCGTTTGGATCCTTCTGAAGGTACTTCCTCGGTGCCGGCCTTGCTCTGCTCGGCGTCGCCGGGGTCGCAGCCAAGGCATCTTAGCTTCTGAAATGTGGGGAGTTTCCGAAAATTAGGGGGTACCTTTAAAGGGATCCTTTAAAGGGTTCCTTAAAGGGATCTATAAGGGTTGTATAAAGGGTTTAGGGTTTAGGGTTGGGAGTTTCCGAAAATTCGGGGTACCTTATTTGGGGGTCCTTATAACAAGGACCCTACTTGGAGTTTCGAGTCTCTGATTTCTAGGTCTCCAATGCTACCTAGCCGTTATACATTTTTGGGCTAGGTTCCGCTTGAGGCTACCACTAAAGCTCCAAGAAGGATCCAAACATCACCTAGGTCTACAGTCTAAGATGTATTCTTTACATATGTACGTGCATACATACATGCATATATATATATACACACGCACATACAGGTGTGTATATGTGTATATATACACAGATATCCTAGATGCAGTATATACATATGTACTTACAAGTAGGACTCCCCAGGTTACAAGGGCTACTGAAGAAAGACGACTCCATAAAACCCTGCTACAAACGAAGCCCTAGTCTATGTTGTTTCCGGGGTGAGGCAATGAGCTCCGGTGGCGTGCTGTTTTCCTCGAGTGCCGCACGGAAAGGCTACAGGGCGAAGACAAAGCAATGTTTTGTAGGTGTTTTCTGGTAAAAGGAAAAGGTGTTTTTAACATTCGGTCTTCTTGGCAAACACTTTGTATAGATGATCGATCGCTTGATAGGGGCTTAAGGTTTATAGGGAAGAGGATGTCGCATCTAACGCGCTGTAGGCGGCCTTAGAACCCTCAAGGCGCAGGACTACAGTCCTGAAGCCCTGAACACTAAATCCCTCAACATTCAGCCCTAAAGCCTTAAACCTTTATGAAGTCCGTATAAGGGGCCTGAATGAATAGAAAAGGGTTTGGAGCCCATGATAGTTTTTTTCTAATCAGGAACCCCAAAATCCTGAACCCTAGTAGTTGAAGTCCTATAACACTCACTACAAACTGAAGCCCTAGAGGTACCATCCAGGCCGCTGAGACTTGGGAGGAGCTGCCCGGTATTGACAAGGTCATCCGCAAGGCAAAGGGTGTCGGGCTTTTGGGGATTTCGATGTAGCAAAAACTCAGTAGAGTAGGTAACCTTTATTTTTCGGGGGTACTATAAGCCCTGCAAAAATCCCAATATACTCCCAAGGGCCAACCTTTAGTTCTTAAGGATACTGGACAAGTAGGAACAGGGTCTGTGTTGATGAACTCCACCCCTGCAAGGCGCAGAGCTTGAAGCAGGAGAAGCCGATGCGCAACTTGCAGGATCTCTTCTATGACTCCCAGCCGGAGGAGCTGCCCTGGTTGCCAAGTTTTTCAGTAAATCTTTCAACTGTTTAGGTCTAGGGCTTTATTTGGGGTTTGGACTAACGGTCCGTAGTTTAGGGTTCTTGGGTTCAAAAATTCTAAAAGTTTAGGATGGTTGAAGGTTTATCCTGTAGTTAGTTGGTGGGTATCTGGCAAGCAAGGATTCGCACGGAATGCGTGATTGACACCGTACAAGCTGCCGCCTACCTTGGCCAGGCTGTCGTGTTCCTCTACAAGGCCATTGACTACGATGGGCTTGAGTGCCCGAACAACTCGCCGGTGGGATGCGCCGCCAGTGTCGCAGGCTTCATCACGTCCATTAGTTGGATCGCTTCGTACCTGTCCTTTGCCGCGAACGCTTGCGGCCAGGCTGTTAACAACGGCGCTCTTTGTGCTGGGTTGCACGAGCCTACCTCCACGATGGTGCAACCGGTTCCACGGAAAGGCTCAGGATCAGCAGCGATGGGCAGCTTGTATGTTCATCATGCACATGTGCACCAAGGGGCGCGCCATCGGAAAGCTATCTGGACAGGTAGTGTAGCACTGCTTCCTTTTCTCCGGGTCAGTCTACCACACGTAGTTTGCAGCTACGGGGATGTTGCAGTGTTTCTTGCCCAAGCGCGTGCTTTGTTAGCTACGCTTGCAGTATTGTGCGCAAATTTTGTCAGTTGCGTGCATGCACATGGAGGGGACATCATGGCTGTGCTGAGTGCAGCTGTAATCGCTGTGTTGTCTTCCTGGTTGGGGTTGTTCCTATACGGTTACTGGTTTGCTGCCGTTGTCCGGGTTTCGCCAGCAAGGTGGATTGGTCATCGCAGACACAGGGGTGCCCGTAGGGGATGGAGAATGCGTTTTCACAGCCGCATACAACAGTCGCACATGCCGCACAAGGTTGCCGGAGATCGCAGGCCGGGTTTGTTTCCTAGCATGCGGGGTGGTGGGGGATCGGCCGCCACAGCAAGACAACGCTCAGAGCGAATGATCTTGGAGGGATTACAAAAGCTTCTTAGCTCAATCGAAGGTTGTGAGGCCCCTGCACAGGAATCAGGCTTGCTCGGTGCTCTGAAACGCTTGGTTGCTCAGGCTCCTTGTGAGGCAGAACTCCTTGTACAACTCAAAGGACTCGTAGCCAGCTACAGTGCCAGACTCGAGAACTCAGATGCGCACTCACCCGCTGCACCACGTCATTGCACATCGTATGCTGATGCTCCTTGGCATGCGAATGCACGTGTTGGGAAAGGCAAAGGTCCGCAGGAGACGGTTGCCCCAATTCACCACGAGGCGGAAGCCGACTGGCAAATCAAGGGGCGGCGTAAGACCTTCAAGGAAGCACTTGTACTTGGCAAGGGTGCTGCAGCAGGCAATGGGAAAGGTAAATCAAAAGGCAAGACGGTAGGGATTGCCACCGGACACCATCAGCCACAGGGTAGGTCTGCACCAGCGGAAGTGTCACATCCCCCTGAGTGGAGAGCCCGCCCTGGGGATTTCAAATTTGAGACGTTGCACTTGAGTTCACATCAGGTCGGGGATGAGCTTGATAAAGACCCTTTGAAACCAATCCTTTGTCAAACTGGATCCCCAAAGATCCTTGAGGAAATGTTTGGCATGCTGGAAGGAGCCCGAAACACTCGATCTGCGATTTTCTTCACGGGCGAGTCGTGCCCAGAGCTGGATGCCATAGCAAAGCGTGCAGTTGTTGAACGCCTCCGTCTTCCTGGGACGGCGGGAGGAGTGCCTAGGTTAGAGTATGTATGGCAGGTCACATTTGCCGGCAGTGACACGTCAGGGCCACAGCTGGCATACCAGGCTTCTTTCGTTAAGGTCAAGGCCCCCAAGGCTCGGGAGAAGCATGCAGGCACAGTTGTAGTACGGGCACGCTTCGCTTCGGAGTATTGTAGTGCTGATACATGGTCAAAGGCATGTCGCCAACCAGGCACCGTGTTCAGGGACTGGATTGCAAAGCAGAGTCCTGCTGCTTTGAAGGCTGTGAAAGACACATGGGGGTGGCATGTCATGGATCAAACTCGTATTCAGGGCTTGGTGAGAGTTTCATGCGAAGAGGCGCGCACGCTCTTGCAACTTGGTGGCAGGAGTGTTGGCAATACCGCAGTCTTCATGGAAGCATTGGACTGGTCCAACCTAGGGGTCTGCACGCCAGTAGTTTTGTGGGTGGATAAGCTGCCGGCAGAAACGGACTCCGCATATCTTGCGCGGGTTCACGAGCAATCTACTGAACTAGGACTGGTTGTAGGCAAGCGGCAGCTTGGACTCAGGGTTGATGAGCTCGACGATCGGCTTATGCCCAAGCAAGCAGTGTGGCGACTTCGTAAGTGCCCTTTCGGATGGGAAATCCCAGACCTCGAGAACCTTCTTTCTCAGGCAGGCTTTGAGGGTTGTGAGATACTTGCCAAGCATAGACAGCGAGGAGCCGCTGATTGGGTTTTTCGAGCATACCGTGCGGATGGTAGGACATTCGTTCCTTTAGAGGTTGGGGATGATCTGATGTTGGAGGCCGTTCTTGAGGCCAAGCGCAAACCGGGGTATAAGACCAAGCAGGCTTTGCCGGGAGAACGGATCAGCCGATTCTTGCCCAAGGCCGATAAGACCCTCTTCCCTGGCACTAGGTACAAAGGGTCCGCGGCCCCACCTCACGGATCAGTCACTAGCTTCGTCCCAGCTTCGTCGGAGGAGCCGTTGATACAAGAGGAGCTGCCGATGGAACTTGATGGCGAAGATGACGTCACCATCGATGAGGCCCTTCACATGCCGGGTAAGCGCACTGCGACTGAAGATCTCGGTGCCGAAGCTGCAACAAAAGAGGTTAAGAGAGCCCGACTGGGTAAGGAATGGCTCACCTCGGTCCTCCCTGCGGGGGCGAAGGTGCGAACTAATGAAGGGCAAGGTAACTGCTTGTTCCACACTCTTAGCCAAGCGGTGGAACATGCAGGGCGTAGTGCCTGCACACATAGGCAGATGCGTGCGGCCATTACAACCTGGATGCGACGACATGAAGATCAGCTTGCATCCCATTGGGATGGCTTGGGGCCTGATGAGCAGCCTCTCGAAGGTGATTACCAGGCTTATGTTAACGAAGTTGCTCAGGTCGGTAAGTGGGGTGGTTTCTTAGAGGTTGCGGCGTTCTCTAAGGCTGAGGGTTACAACATACTTATCCTTGATGGGGATGAAGGAAAAATGTACAAGTTGCCGGCCAAACAGGACGGACCCATGTGTGTACTGTTTTTCCATGCTTGTCATTATGAGTTTGTGGAATGCAACAGTGGTGCAGTTGCAGAGCTTTGGATGCGCGCAGAAGTGCCGGATTTGAAGGGTCATCGGGGTGCATCACCCAAATCCAGCGGCTCTTCGCTTCACTTGAGCAGGTTTGCTTCTTCTAGTGGCAAACGGAGCCGTCCTTGTTCCTCGCTCCACCTGTCGGCTCCTGCTCAGGCGTCGGCGGATACCGTTGTTGCCACCCCTGCCAAACGTGCCCGTGGCCCAAGCCTCAACAAGTCAGTAGCGGCAATCACGGAACAGCGAGAACACAAGTGGAAATGTGACGTGTGCAAACGGCTTATCACCGGCACGACCCGAAAGCAACTTAGCGACAGACGCAATTGGCATATTTATAGTGTGCACAAAGGTGAGCCCAAAGAAAACTTCTCCCAATTGCAGGTCCGAGTACAGCTTGAGTTCACTGATCTGCCTCAGGCGATGCGCAAGCACACTTGTAGCTGGTGCGGCCTGGGGATTGATGGTCGGGAATGGAGCAAAAAGGCCCGGTATGAATGCCTGTTGCGGCATGTCAAGCAATGCGGAGGCCCGAAGGCCACAGTTGCAATGAATCGGCAACGCTTGGTAAATCAAAAATGGAACAAGGGTGAACGGTCATACGATCCAGGTGAGCGTAATAAGCATCGCAACACCACCGTGCGGCTTTGGAATGGACTGCGTAAAGCTGGCCAACATGAGTATCTGGATTTGGAGCTTCCGCTAAGTTTTAAGCGACCCGCTGGAAAGAGACGTTTCACAGTCCTCACGTGTCGTCTCTGCACTCGCACTTGGCCAACCCCTAGCTGTGTTCGTGATAGGACTTGTCCTCACCCTTCGGGTGTCAATAGGGATAGCACCCTCACTGCGCGTAAGTGGAAGTGGTGGGCGGGCCTTAGGCAGCGTGATGACCTGCGTTTTGCCAAAGCTGTGGTGGCGTGGCGCCTTACATGGCGAGAGCTCAATCTTCTGGAAGAGACGGCTAGGCGAAAGCATAAGAAAGGTTGGAAGCATGTAGCACCCATTAAGAAAGTTGAGTGGGAACGCATGTTGCGAGAAGAAGGTATCGAACCGAACCCTGGTCCTGGATCAGATTCTTTACTTTCGAAGCTTAGTTTGTGTTTTGGCAACGCAAATGGTCTCTCTAATACGTACCGGGCTGTAGACCTCTTTACCCAGCAACAGCCCCATGTTATTGCCATCTGTGAAATCCAGGCTCTTCCGCACGAGCAGGCATTGCTCCAATCGCACTTGCAGAAGGCTGGATATCGATCCTGGGTGGTAGCGACCCCTCCTAAAAAGAACAGTCGAGGCATCTCATATGCCAACGCAGGCATCGTGATTGCAGTTCGCACTGACGTGCGCGCTCATCTGGTTCAGACGCTTCTGCACGAAGAGGGAGAGGCCGTTGAGTTAGACTTCGAGGGTTTTTATCTTGCTTGTGCATGGCGTAGGCCTGACGCTTGGGAGGACGGGACATTCCTTCAGACACTGACTGAATGGGCATACAGTGCCGGAGGCAGGGATAAGCCCTGGTTTAGTGTCGGGGATTGGAATTGGCTGCCTGAGGAAAATCCTTTAGTTATGTCTGGTGATTTTCATATCTTCGGAGTTCGGCAGGGTAATGTATGGGCCCCCACTCGCTGGCAGTCTGATAGAGCCATTGATTATGTGCTCTCTACGGCCACGGATGTCCAGGCTGAGGTTTCTTTCTTTCCGGAGATGTATAGTGACCACAAATTCTTGAGATGTCGCCTGACAGCGGGTTTCAACCGTGATCCCCTGTTTCAGCTGCAGCAGACGGTTGTGTTTAGCAAGCCCGACGGGGTTGATGCTGGTCGGTGGAGGGAGGCCCTCCGGGCGCGTTGGGATGCTGTTGCGTTACCAGAGGCAGCTACTACGGAAGAGGAATGGATATGGTTTAACCGCGTAGCCAGTGACATCTTCACGGATTGCCACCGACATTTCGGTTCCGAACCTCGCGTGCAAGGCCTCAGAGCCAAGGGCACTCTGCCGCGACTCAGCGCTCAGGGGTCTACAGCAGGCAAACCCGCCCAGGAAGGTACCTTTCGTCAAAGGCGATTGGCCAAATTCATGGGCCGCCTCCTGGAGTTCGCCCGCCGTCGGGATGATTCCTTTTTGGAAAGCAAGCTTAGGCGCACTTGGCCTGAAGATCTCCCTAAAGGACGCCCGATGGTTGAGACGGTTGCTGCTGCCCGGCAGCTTCTGGAAAAAGAAAGGCGTCAGGCCAAACAGGCTGCGCTTGCTAAGTGGCGGGACCGGATGCGCAATGGCGGCAAGGCTCTTACTGCATGGATCAAAAGGCAATGGCAGCCACTGCCTCACACCTTCTGGCGTATCGTGGGGGGGCAGCGTCAGGTTGCCGCCTCGTATGCGCATGCCTTAAGCCTCATAGTGGACTTCTGGCGCAACATATGGGACAGGGATGTGCAATGCCCTGCGGTGGAGGCTTTAGGTCGGGATCTTGAGGTCACGACGCCCATGCCGGGCAGTTGGCGGCTCGAGGTTAAGGAGGTTGTCGCTGCGGCTAAGCAGTGCCAAGGTGCTCCGGGCCCTGATGGCTGGCGACCGGATGAGGTTTCGCAACTCCCTGAGCGGGCTTTTGCTTTGTTCCTTGCTC